AGAGAAGACATTGCTCTGACCGTTACCGTAGTTCAGAATCTCGTTCTGAATAGCCTGCTCGGGAGTGACAAGGTAAGGGAAGTTGGCAGTTCCACTGCCCCAGCCCATGGCCAAAGTACCATCGTCACAGCCACGGTCAGAGCAGCCGTTGGCACCAGCAGGGTTGGAGCCCGCATCCTCACCTAGGATGCCGACAAATCTCTCCTCGTGAGTCAGGGGCAAACCACCATTGTTCTTCAGTAGCACAGTGCTGTCGGCACCAATCTTGCGGATAACATTGGCGTGGTCACGCTGCACGTTGACGCGCTCATTGAGCTTGACGAAGTTCTCGCTCACCATGAAGTGCTCGTAACCGTACTCATCGCGAGTCCAGGAGCTGAAGTTGGGAGGAGTACGGACACGGTCACGGCCAACCTTGTAGTAGGCCGCCATGATACGGGTTGCCATATCATCAATGCGCCATTCAGGGATAGTACCGTTCAGCACGGAGATGGTCAGGTTAGTACCCCAGAATGAGTAGGGGCTACCCAGGATAACGTCACCGGGCATGGACATGTCCAGACCAGCAAGAGCATCACCAACACCACTGTGGTGGGCACCCCAATCACTCATGACGAAGCCCTGGAAACCAAGCTCACCCTTCAGCAGCTTGTTCAAGGTGTAACTGTTGGAGCAACCGTAGCTGTTGTTGATCTGATTGTAGGAGCACATGATGGATCCCACGCCAGCACGCACGGCATCAACGAAGGGCCAGAGGTAAAGTTCGTGCATCGTAGTGTCATCAATGTTAGCGCTCACACTCTCCGTAATGTTATATCCGTATCCCTGAGCCTCGCCGGCCTGGCGGAAATGCTCCTGCTCATTTCCAATATAATGCTTGGCACAAGCAATGATACCAGCATCTTGCATTCCCTTGATGGTTTCAGCCATCATCACACCAGTGAGAACGGGATCGGGGGAGAATCCTTCCCAAACACGGCCACCATCGGGGTTCTTGCCCAAAGGACCAGCAACGGGTCCCAGCTGGACATCGACACCCTTGTCTCGATGCTCCTCACCCATGGCCATACCACGGGCGTAAGCCAGCCTCTTGTCAAAAGTCGCGGCAACATTGATACCAGCGGAGAAACCCGAGTTGTAATCACCTGTTCGTTATGAGTCAGTTCTTGATGTTCACGTTGCCGAATCATCCGCTCCACGTACTATCACGAATACCTAGAGGCGAGTCTTGCATGCACATGCCCCACATTCCTAGTCTTAACAATCGTGTCAATTATTTCCGCTCTCGCGCATCGCTGACTGCTACTCGCGTCTTACCTCGGAATACCTCCAGTCTCTCCGACACATCGTTCCTGTTCCCATCTGGTGCTGTCAGTTTCATCGGCATCACACGGTTGTATTCGCAACGTACCCAGCACCAGTGGTCAGATTGACCTTCTCAGCCAATGTTAAGTTGGACACGAATTCGACAGCGCGTCTGTGAGCCTCTGCCCACTCGCCTTGGCCGGTCATCCATGGAGAAGGATAGAAGGGAGGGGAATACGCCAATTCCTATCGCGTTGTCGTTAGTCTTTCATCCAACACGCATCGCACCAGCTTCGTATCGTAGTCCAACCTTAGCACTAGCCACCGAGGCAGCGCCCAAAAGGCCTGCTTCCAGCAACCCAAACTTCATGGTTGCTAGTAGATGAGCAAGGTAGATTCAGGAACCCAGATCTCTTGAGGGTACTAAATCGCCAAGCGAGGGAAGGTTGAAGAGATTGACAAGCACGAGCTTCTCCAGAAGCGCTGAGGGACTGGCGACTATTTAAATGCTAAATTGTGGATTATTTACAGGGACAGGGGAATCACGGTATGGCGTAGGTGCTCCACTTGAATTCCAAGACGGGGGGAGCTGGGAAGCGTGGAGAAACCAGTAAGGATCGACAAATAGTTGGAGTCAGGGTACTAAGGGCGTAATACGATGTTTGGGTTTTGTTTTTTGCTTGGCACACACGATCGCGTTAACTTCAATGATTTGTTGATCAAACATCCTCGATTTGTCCCTGGGAAAGGGAGAAAGTAATGCGAGTGGCTGGACACGCGAGGAGACGCTCAAGTATGGACCCTGCATTGGCCCAATACCAATCAAGGGATAGGACAATCCCTTCTTTGTAGGCGGAGTGACAATCCCAATCAATCATGGTCAGATCTGATTCTATCCTAATACTTTCCAATACAAGATCAAACAGTCTTGCCCAAGTTCCGATGCCGAGTGTGCCGGGGAATGGGCTTGCCGCTTAAACTTCGGGTGCATTCCATTGCTACCATGCCACTTACTGCTTGGCGGCTTGCTGGGCTCCGCTAATTCCCCGCCTCTTTTCAAGCCTTCCAGGAATGTTCTTTGTGGTATGACAGCGGGGTAATTCTCCGTTGCATTCCAGATAGACAAGGCTCTCGCCCGCTAACACAAGAGAAATTCCGATCCGGGCTTCGGTCAGTCCATTTGAAATAAATTTCGGCACAAGTTGGTGATTTCCGCTATTGATCTTCACTCATGTTGCCAAATGAGGGAAATCCCTCAGGCCATTACAGATAGGTTTCCACTGGGTCTTGAAGCAGTGCAAGCCAACAAAAGATATTCTTACTACTACCTCTGCGTGGGGGTGTTGGCATGGTGGCGTGCATTTACAGCGTGGCGGCGTAGCTAACACCTGGGCAGGTACCCTTGGACACTAAAGGGGTTTTCAACCATGGTACCACTGTATATATTATAGTCCCTATATATGCTTAACACAGGAGTTGGAAATCCAGTATGCTGTTAAGCGTAAAGTGTTGATTGAAAAAGGAATATTATTTTCCAATTCATTGAGATCAAGTCTCCGGGGAATCTGTGGGGACTAGTGCGGCCGGGGTGTGTTATGTGGGGTCCAGTCCCCCAGGTCATATGCACTCCGGACAAGTATTTTGGCGGGGTTCATAAGAAGTATACATTACCATTCGCAAATGATAATTCATGACGTTACTATTCCGTAGAGAACACTATAATACGAACATTAGAGGGGTCACTTCAACGTGGTGTTTTCTCTTGGCGACGCCCAAGGTGTTTTGCGTCCTGCGCTATGAAGTCAGCCGACCCCGGCCTGGGGTCCTCCCGGGCCCGTGCCGTGCTTATGTCGGGCTGGTCCGATTTCTTTTGCTCTACCGAGTCACAATGCCGTCTGATTGTTACTTCACAGCTTACTGTTTACCACCTTCCACTTCTGATGCGGTTCTCTTCGTTTGGGATTGACTTTGGTGCGGACTTCTCTTCCCATTGTTTAGTTACCCCACGTCCGCTCACGATGGAGAGGCTCCTCATCGAGCGGTAACCTCGAATTTGACCCTATGATTAGTTGCGCCTAATATGCTAGGATTAATTTTGACGTGCCATTATCACATTAAAACAGCGATTGCTTCGACGTCATATTCCCTTGTTCTGTCGGCACTTGTCCGGGCCGAGATTTTTACTCGGACAGGGTGGAGAAGCCCCAAATATTTCACAAGTGCACGGGCTCACAATTTTGTGGAGTGCATATTCTAGGAAGGCGTGTTGTTAGAGATTTTATTATCCAATATCCACCTGGGCACCGAATTTCTATCTCGAACCGTGGACGGAATTAATGTACGGTATATAGTACGAGGGTAGGGATCAAAGCCGATCCCTACTCATTTGTGTCTTTTAATCTAACGTACCAAAGTCCATAGCGATGCAAAGACATATTTGCCTTCTTCACGGCTAATAGTCGGTGAATTGCTCCACTCCAAGAGATGCCTCGAAAACTTTATTCGGCAATATTGGAAGCGGGCTTTCAATGAATTAAGAGCTATGCTCATATTGTGGCCATAAGCCATTCTTTTTTGATTTGCGGGGCCTTTGGGTTCAGTCTTGGACTATGTAGCTGTAACAGAATTTCTATTCTATGTAAGTTGGAACCGTGTTATTGGGCGAGGTCATGTTTGTTGGGCGGGAAAACAAACATTTATAAGATGAAGTGGTCCCTTCCGTCGATGACTACGCATTAAATGATTAAAGAGTTCCACAGACCAAATTTCTGCCCGGGCACTTACGAAGTAAGCTTGCTATCCTTCTATACCAGTTAAAGGAGGAGAGTTATTATTCCATCATGCCACTATCTCTCAGCATCAAAGATCTCAGGATTGGACTTATCTCTACCCAGATGATACACTCTCACAACACCTGAAAATAGGAGCTCCAAAGATATAGTGGTAACTGCAGTCATTTCATGTTTCCCAATATCCCTTCCAAATTATCCTCGTCACTTGATGATCCAATATGTACCCTTGGAGTCCAAGATATTTGATATGGCGGACACTGATAGTCTTTATGTGAAGCTTCGGAGCTTTCGGGGTAGTTGACTAAGAGGTAGCTTATAGCTTACGTACCAGCAGCGACACAGGCAGGTTTCCTGATGGGCTTGCCGTGCCCTGGTTGGTGCTCCACTTTTCTCCCCATTAACCGCGTAGAAGGCGAAAAAAAATATTGACGCAAAACAAAAGAAAAAAAAAGATAACAGGCCCGAGCCGTGGATCGAACACGGGACCTCGCGCAGGAGTGCTTAGGAGTTGCTGCCCTAAGCGCGAATCATACCACTAGACCACCCGGGCTGTTCTTGATGAAAAGTTGTGGATTTATGGTTCCATAAAGGTAAATTCACGATGCAGGTGTTAATTTCCATGTCTCAACCTCGACTTAATTGGTGGTCCGTACACTAGGACGAAGCACCACGGAAGACCACGCATCTGATTTTGAACAGTTGAGGAATTCCAAACGCTTCCTCCTCGTCTTGATATTTCTCACGCCAATGGGTTTTGCTTTAGGAAACATCATACATAACACTTCCCAGGTGGGACCAAATTTCAAAGGGAAATTTCGGACCCCTCTCTAGTGAGCGGCTTTATTGGGCACACTCAACATATGAGATTTTTTGATAATTGGTAAATATTATTTATTGAATTATTCAATTACTAATCTCATCCAGTACTTGAAACAAGACATTGTTTTGAACACGGCAGCCATCGCCGGGCTGTCCTTTTGTAAACCCCGAGCAGAGCCTCCGTCGAAGCTCTTCTATATCGGTACCTCGTGCATTGCACTGAACAATGAGATCTTCTGCGATCGCACAAAGAGTCGTGTTCAACACGTCTTGTTCAGATGACCATTGATCCGCTTGCTCCGCTGGGCAGTTGCAAAGAGACGGAGTTGAGCCCTCCGGTGGCAACCATTTTTCTCCTGGTGGTATGGATCGCTGCGAAGCGACCTTATTGCAACGTGATATGAAAGCCACTTCTTCGTTTGGTCGGGGAGTTGCAGGTATTGCGACTTTGCGATCCACCACTGTGCCTTGGCCGGCCAAAGTAACATATTGCTGGATCAAATCCCCGGACACCCCCAACGAGCCTAACAGAGTTTTGAGATTCTGGTTTTCTGCCTCTAATTTCTGGATGGCCAATCGATCTTCTATGTCTCTATGTTGTGATTGCTCTTTGTAGATTGCCAGTTGCTGTTCGAGTTCGCGGACATGCTCTTGCTTTCTCGCACGGCTTTTACGCTGATTCTCACGCACACGGGCCAGCCGTTCCAAGTTCTCGACCCAAGGTCAGATTTCATTCAACGGACCGGAAGGAATGTGGACAGACCTTGTGATTATCTTCAGCATCCATCTTTGAGGTGATAACGTCTGACAGTGAAGAATCTGGTTAGAGTTTAAAATCGACTATACTGCTTTGGGCCGCTTTTGATGCCCGAGACTTCAGGTGCCATTAAAATGGAACACAAGCTTAATCCTGATTCTCTTCCCACCAATTGTTGTCCACAATGTTTCGCAACAGGTCAAGGACTAGAAGTAACTCTAGTTTCAACAGGGATGTGATTTCCCCAGAATAAGGGGTGAATTCAGCCGATTGGGTCGACCCCGGAATGCACGAGCCCTGTCGCGGGGTAAAGATCATTTGATCGTGAATCGAGGTATACTACCTACTATGCGGACAATAATTCATTAAGGAAAATTAAGTCCCCAGCAGTTTGGTGCAAATCTTGGATCTTGGCCCGAAACCAGCTGTGCTGCACAGTTGCCCGCAAACGAACGTCCTCGGGGGCAACGACGTCACTGGACGTCAGTCGCGGCGAACTGTGGCATTCCCCAGCATTTCTCTCGCACTAAAGCAAAATAGTTAGCTTCCTATTTACCTCTCACGCGAACACTCTCCCCATATCGCATGAGCTTTTCTCCCCTATCTCGTACTATTCACGATCGCGCGACTATACTCTATACACTTGCGATTTGGTCCCAATATTTCAAAGCCCATTACCCACCATGGTCTCCACGCGACATCATCCTAAGGAATTCCCATCACCCACGCGCGCCGCGAAGGAACTGGCCAAGTCGTCACCTGCGCCCACCACTACCGGCAATTCGCGCAAATGGGTCCATACACCGTCGGTCGCCTTGACCCTCTGGCTTGTCTTCTCTGTGCCGCTGGTCATATGGGATGCTAGCTATGTGTTGTTGCGACCGCATAGTATGCCCGGTGGCCGCTTGCACTCTCCCCTCTGGACCCCATATGCGCTATATGGAAAAATCGACTATATATACGGCTGGCCCGCATTCAATGCGCGCAATGGTTTCACCGCTGCGCAAACTGCGCTAAACGTCGTTGAAACTCTAGGCTACCTCTACTACCTATTCATCGTATACCACCATGGCGCAACGGTCGTGAGTGGTCGCGGCGCATCGACGCAGAAGAAAGGCTTGGTTTGGTTGTTGACCGGCGACAAAGTTGTGGCTGGCCGGACGGGCGCAATCGCGCTCATGGTCGCGTATACTGCGTCTGTTATGACTCTCAGCAAAACCGTTCTCTATTGTAAGCTTGCCGTGGTCCTCGGAAAAAAAATACGCCCCGGTTCTTGAACCATGCTAATATACACAGGGTTGAATGAATTCTTCTCAGGCTTTGATAACATTGGCCACAATGATGCTTTGACTCTGATTGTGTTGTGGATTCTTCCCAAGTAAGTTCCAGGACATATCTGTGTGAAGCCTATGGCTAATAGTGTGTCCAATAGTGGCCTGTGGATTGTCTTCCCCACCTATAGCATCTACTCTCTTGGAGGCGAGATTCTCACTTCGTTGGAACAGGCGAGCCCTCGTGGTCGTGTGGGACGTCCCAAATCCTCATAGGAATTGAAGCCAACTTTGAGTATGAAAAAGAAGGAGTCTGCATGTGCACTATGACTCGATCGGATTGCAATTGAACAGAAGCAGATGACGAACAACTATGGTTATGTTAGAATCCTTACCTGTCTGTATAAGGATGTGACTGTAAGGAATTATGGGTGCTTATAATGAAATTCATTTGCTCAGTTCTACATGTTAAGAACCCTGTGTTTAAAGGATGTACAGAAGCCTGAAAAATCGACATGAATATCAAGATCGATTGCCCTATATTTCGGGCCGAGGGTGGACCACTTAGGCATCGCACTAAGTACAGTACAGAACCGTGTGAAAGTACCTTGTGGAACAATTTGCCTGACTTAGAATAGTGATTGATGGTCAGCAGTAATTATTGAAGATCTACAATTCAACGGATAAAAGTGCATTACCGAGTCCGGATGGAGGCATGTAACGTTAAGGCACTGCGTGGCTCCAGTTTCTTTCTTTTCTCTTTGCTTCTTTTTCACACATTTTTAATCTCGCAAATCCTTGTGGCTGAAATTGAGGCTCGTTCATTGGTGGTTTCAACGAAGAAAAAAAAAGCGCTTTGAGCTCGTAATATTAATTGAAAGCGCTGCCAGTGGGAGAGACTTCGTGCCAAGCCGCCCGTCGCCGCTAAACCTTTCCCCATATTCTTTCGTTCTCCTCTCTCCCCCAGACCCTCGACTCCCGCTTGCTAGCAGCCCAAATTCGAGACCTATTTTAATACCCTCCTATTGGCCTTGCCTGCGCCTCCGGCTGGGGCTTTCTCCTTTTTCTCCCGTTCTTCTACGCCGAACGATGCTTCGGGTCTGGGTCCTGGGGTACCCGCACCCGTCATGAGCCATCCCGACTCCGACGAATCGCCATTGAAGACCTCTGGTGCTGGCTTTGGCTTGAACCAGGAGGATCCCACCGCTTTTCTTGACGATTTTGATACTCAAAGCCATGCAAGCTCCCGCGATCCCGGTAGCACACAGACAGCTGACCCCGCGACGGGTCCCGACGGTGCGCTAGACAGCCACCTGGATGCTACTACCCGAGACATAAATTCTGCAACTGTCGATAAGGACGACAGACCCATGTGGAGCGAAATGAAAACTAAAGCTGGCAAGGAGCGGAAGCGGTTACCGCTGGCCTGTATCGCATGTCGTCGCAAGAAGATCCGTTGCTCGGGGGAGAAACCGGCGTGCAAGCACTGCACGCGCTCAAGGATACCTTGCGTATATAAGGTCACCACGCGAAAAGCTGCGCCGCGGACGGATTACATGGCCATGTTGGACAAGCGATTGAAAAGAATGGAAGATCGCGTGATCAAGACGATTCCCAAAGATGAGGCGAGAGACATGGCCTCGATCGGTAGGTCGGTCGTCAAACCCTCAGCGCAAGGGCAGCTTTCAAAACAACAGAAGAAACGAAGCGCGGATGAGGCTTTCTCTGCGGAAATGGATGAATGGACTCGAGAAGACCGCCGCCCGCCGCATGAGACTCTCCCGATGAATCGCGAAATCAAGTCCTCGGATGGATCCGGACTTCTGACCGAGGGGGCGGAATTCTTGCCTTCGCTGGAGATACAGGAGCACCTGGCTGAGGTCTTTTTTGACTGCGTCTATGGACAATCATATCTACTCTTACACAAGCCGAGCTTTATGCGGAGGCTCAAAGCTGGCACCGTTCCCCCAGTCTTGATTCTCGCGGTCTGTGCGGTCTCGGCTCGATTCTCGACGCACCCCCAACTTAATTCAGAACCACCGTTTCTACGCGGTGAGAACTGGGCCAATCCGGCTGCAGCGATTGCGCTCAGCCGACACGATGAGCCGAATATCACAATTCTCACCGTCTTTCTACTTCTGGGCCTTCACGAGTTTGGAACATGCCATGGTGGAAGAAGTTGGTCGTTTGGTGGGCAGGCTTTGCGAATGGCATACGCCCTGCAGCTTCACCAAGAGCTCGAAAGCGATCCATTACTCGGACAGGGCAACAGCAATTCACAGTTGAGCTTCACTGACCGAGAGATTCGCCGAAGGACAATGTGGGCATGTTACTTGATGGATCGCTATAACTCCTCAGGAAGTCAGCGACCACCTATTGGGAATGAGAAGTTCCTACATATCCAATTACCTATCAAGGAAACCCACTTTCAAATGGAGATACCTGGCCCTACAGAAGACTTGGACGGGGACATCCTGAATCCCACACCCGAAAACTCCGGTGAATTGTCCAATGCCAAGGATAACATGGGAGTGTCAGCGTACATTATACGTGCCATCGTCATTTGGGGTCGTCTTGTTGACTATCTAAATCTCGGTGGAAAAAGGAAAGATACACATCCCCTGTGGCATCCGGAGTCCGGATACACGCTACTGAAACGGCAAATTGAGGAATTTTCTTCATCACTTCCAGGACCTCTCACTTTTACCTATGAGAATCTCCAGATCCATGCTGCGGAAAAAATAGCAAACCAGTTTTTGTTCCTCCACATTATTATTCACCAGAACATGCTGTTCCTCAATCAGTTTGCAATTCCTCTATCTCCTGGAGGGCGGCCACCCAGAGACATGCCGAAACCGTTCCTTAGCAATGCAGGTCGAGCAGCAGTTGAGGCTGCTCATCATATTTCTGTACTGTTTGACCGGGCCTCAGCCTATCCGCTCACGGTTCCCTTTGCTGGCTACTGTGCATACACGGCTAGTACTGTTCATATCTGGGGCATATTTTCGAAGAATGTGCAACTCGAGGCTCGTTCAAAGGAGAATCTTCGACATACATATCGATATCTCAATAAGATGAAGAAGTACTGGGGAATGTTCCACTATATGGTCGAAAGTGCCAAAGACCGGTATCGACAATTCGCCGATGTGGCCATCAAGGGATCTGTGGCTACACACAATGGTACCTCATTGGCTCCGATGTTCCAATACGGCGACTGGTTTTCTAAATACCCCCACGGTGTCTCCAGGTTACACTGGGAGGACCCGGATACGCGACATAAAGAGACGGGTGACGATGCTGTTATGGGCCAGAAGCCGGACCTGCAGAGTGTCGAGGATTTCTTCGCCAGCCTGTCACCAACGCCGCAACCCGCTCTTCCTCGCAAAGTACGTTCGCGCAAAAATAGCAAACTCTCCGACAGCTCGGGCGTGGATCAAACATCCCCATCACAGATGGAGGTGACCATGGGAAATACCCCGGGTATCCCAGGAAGCGCATTCCCCCAGCCGTCCATGTACCCACCAAATCGGGCCTTGTCATTTAATCAATTTGACTTCAACATCCCCCAGGACCAATTACATCAGCTTGATCGACAGTTCGTCTACGGCTCGTTCTCGGAATTCGATCCCACAAACTTCATGCCCCAAAATAATCCGCCTATACCACCCGTCAACGGCGTTGATGCACAAGGCACGGACCACTCCCTCTTCACCGGTCAACTTGATCCAGGTGCGCCCTCCGGGACTGGTGAATTTTATCAACCCAGCGCATGGTTCCTGCCTTTCAACTTGGACCCGCTCGGCGGTGCCGCCCAAGGCCCCCCGCCGCCTGCTCGGAACTCACAACCTCCTCCTGCGCCAGCGCCAGCCCCTGTCCCCGGCTCGAGTGCTGGTGTAAATGTCCCCGGTATACCTCCCTTTGTTGGAACGGGTGATCTACCCTTAAGTGCGTATGATCTAGGCCTAGGCGGGTCAGACCTGGGACAAACCTCGCGGCATGGGTAAATTGAACCACACGGATATGGCTTCGGCCGCTCAACGACCGAGATGTGGTGTTTAATATTGTTTATAATGAGGTATTTTGATTTGGATATTGGTATGGCGGGTGTTTTGTTCTGTATTCTCCCTGGTTTGTTCCTTCACCCAGGTGTACATATTCTTGACCTATGCATGTACCTATATTTCCCTGTGTAGTGATCTAGGCTCTACCGAAATGTACTCGTGAGTTTTCAATCTCTTAACAGTGGACAAATTAAAAGAGAGCACCGGCTTATCGCTTGTCACTAACACTAGCCTTAAGATAACAAGCTGAAGGTAACTCCACCAAAAAAAAAAAAGAACAAAAAGAAGAGGACTGCATCATCCGTGAATCGAACACGGGCCTCGTCGATGGCAACGACGAATTCTACCACTAGACCAATGATGCTAGTTCATATAATGAGCGGCAGATTAATGTTAGATGAACTGAATTTTAGTTCTTCCCGATTGAGTGAGCAGCGCCGGGTGCTTAACGGGCAAATTTATTCCTATTCTCAACTTCGACTAAAGTTCGGATGACAATTCTTTCCTGAAAGTTTTCTGCTTACATGGAATTTCATGCTCTACTACAAAAAGATTAGGCCTAGCGAAATCGGGTGTCAATTGACGTATGAACTTTCACTAGACTATGTTCGGATGAAAAATATATATTGATCGATTCAGATTCCCATAATTCGCACTGCTTACGCATATATAGGTGTCCAAATTTGTCTACTTATTATGGCCCCGGAGCTGGAGATCAACTGACAGTCCTCAAAAATCCTTCCAACTCATTGGATTGAATATTGGATTGAATTGAAAATGTTAATGCTACAGTAAGATCCAAAATTCTTGAGCGAAGGCGTGAATTTGCCCTAAGATGGACACGACCATACCGAAACCTAATCATCCCACTCCTCGTCCAATTGATCTATCAAGCGATTCTCTGCGTCCACATCACCTCGGCCACCCGAGCCCCTTCCCCGACCACCAATAGCACCAATGAAGCCACCACGGTCATCAGAACCAGGGCGCGTGTAGCCACCATTCGAAGGCGAACGTCTCAAACGAAGGCAGTTGCCAATTGATGAGAAGGAGATGATGAACATGTCCTGTTTCAGGAGAGATTATTAGCATGATGATTTGCTGAATTAATCCCTTGAATTCGAGTCTCTGGTCATAGATATGAAGCAAAAGTGGCGGTGTACCCAATGAATCAACTACCTAGGTGACTATCTAGGATGCATCCAAGGTTCAGACCCCCAGGTAGAGGAATTGGGAATTTGTGTCCGAATAAAATGACTGGACAGTCTGCGATGTATATCATGGCACCTGGCCTCAACTTCGTAAAGAGAGTACATGCTGCGATCAATGCAGATACGAGAAAAGCTGATCGGTGAAAACGAAACGCGCCGCGCATGAATAGACATCAATCAATCGGAGAGACCGGCTCCCAATGAACAGACTCAACCAACACGAGCGCTTTTGATGCGATTAAGATCCAGACCAGCCGGGGTATGCTTAATCCAAGCGCGAAACGGGTAATCCAGCTAAACTTGAATTTTTGTGCTGATGCGAGGCCACATTGCCATATCTGACCCTTCGAGACCGACAGGGAACCAAAGCTAAAAGACATACCTTAATGAAGTCAAGCATTCCAGCCCACAAACTGAAGTTGGGGCATTGGCGCCAGCCGCGCTGGTGCATGACAGTGCGTTGATAAGCACAACCACCGATAAAGTAGGCGGCAACAGCAATGAGCATACTTTATTCAGATGTTAGGAATTTTTTCCATCTCGAAAATTAGGAGGCAGTTTGAGGTGAAGCTTACATGACACCGAAAACACCGGCCGGTCCCATGCCGCCGGAGTTGGGATCAACCGCAAGGCCACCACAGGCAGCAGAGCTGCGAATCTCAAAGTAGTAGGAACAGGAGTCCATAGTGCCGACGAAAGATGCGGTTGCCTGGTTTGCCGGTGCGTCGCGGTCACAGAGGAAGGACATCAGCGTGGACTTGGTTCGGACGGAAGCATTGGAAGCAGCGCCATTGAATTCATCAGGACACGGGGAGCCATTCGTATAGTTGAGAACCAGTTTGCGACCACGGAAAAAGGGATCAGAACGTTGTTCGCTATTGGAATCCAAGACAGTCAGTATGCGAGACACTGAGCTCCAAACAACAAGGGATCAGCCTACCCCAACGAATATATCTTCCCATGCTGCTCGTAGAACGCGCTGATATTCTGCCACCGCGAAGATGGCACGCCAACCACATCTGTGAAGTTCTCAATCACCGGCGCGCATACATTCAGCGTAAAGTTTGCGGGGTAGTCGTGCCCCTTGGCGGGCCAACTTTCATCCCGATCCTCCTGCGATACTTTCTTGCCGTTCTTCACTTGCGGTGGGGATAGCGAGATCGGATTGAGATCGTAATACAGGCCACTGGTTGGCGAGTGCGCCACACATGTTGCTTCATCGTTCAAGTGAGAGGAGCTGGCGGCGCAGGAAAGCCCCAGGATGGATGATAAGAAGAGAAGGGAATAATGAGCGGAGCTAGTTAGTTTCATGGCCGACGGGAGATGGTGCAAGCCTCAGACTTGTAAAGTGTAAAAAAAGGAACGTCTATTCAAAAGAAGAATATGAGTCCAGCTCAGAGTGGAGTGAAGAGGTGTTTTCGAAATGAAACAGGAGCTTACGTAGCATCAGGTGTTTCGCTGCGGCTATGATTGGCGTTTGCGGAGAAACCGGAGCACGGGATCCGGCATCGTACGCGAACTCAATCGACAAGGCAGCTTTGTTATTCGCGCCTATTTATTCGCTGGCTTTTTCCCCCCAGTTTGGATAGACAGATTCGCCGAACTTGATTTATTACGCTCGCAATGGCTCCCAAAAAATCCTCTAAGCCTTCCAAGCCGCAAGGACAGCCTGTGCCTGAACAGCGTGGCTATGAATTCGGTGGGCCGTACGTACTGAACCTGGACAATTGCAAGAGCTTGAGCTGACATGTCCATAGCCTAGGTGCATTCGGAATCGTGTTCGGACTCCCAATTCTGGTCTACATTTTCACCTTTGTCTGCAATGACGTGTCTGGGTGTCCCGCGCCCTCGTTGCTCAACCCCTCGACCCTAACTATCGATCAATTGAAACGTGAAGTGGGCTGGCCCAAGGAAGGCATTGCAGGACTCTTTGACCTTGATGTGACACTGTGGATCCTGAGTTACTATGCATTTAGTCTATTCTTGCAGGTTTCGTTGCCTGGTCAGGTCCTGGAAGGTGTTTCTTTGGCGTGTGGGGGCCGACACAAGTATAAATTCAATGGTATGGCAGGATCGGAGCCGTGACTCGGAAATTATTAGAAAAAGGCTAACAAATATTGTGTTCAAAAGCATTCCCCTCCGCCCTCATCATCCTCGGCGGTTTGGCTTCCGGTACCTATATGCATGGAGCGGATTTCGTGGTCTGGACCTTCCTGTGGGACAATTACGTGAAGGTTATTACTGCCAACCTTCTGATCTCTTCCGCTATTGCCATTTTCGTCTATCTGAAGAGCTTCTCGGTTCCCAAGCCTGGCAGCGCTAATCCTGACTCGCGCGAACTGGCCCCCGGTGGTCACACAGGAAATGTGCTTTACGACTTCTTCATTGGTCGCGAACTCAATCCCCGAATCCGTTTGCCTATTCCATTCGTCAGCGAAGAATCGCGGACCATTGATATCAAGGTGTTCATGGAGATGCGACCAGGTCTGCTCGGATGGACTATCCTGAACCTGTCCAATGTGGCTCACCAATACCGCACCTACGGCTATGTCACCGATTCGATCATTCTTGTCACCGTCTTCCAGGCATTCTACATCTTGGATTCACTCTACATGGAGCCGGCCATCATGACTACCATGGATGTGATCATGGATGGATTCGGCTTCATGCTTTCCTTTGGCGATGTGGTCTGGGTCCCTCATGTCTACAGTATCCAGAGCCGCTATCTTGCCGTCTTCCCTCTCCAGTTGGGATGGTCCGGCATGGCGCTTGTTGTGGGTGTTACTGCCGTTGGATACTCCATCTTCCGTGGTGCCAACAACCAAAAGAACCGATTCCGCACTGACCCCAATGATCCACGCGTCAAGCACATCAAGTTCATCGAGACTGCCAGTGGGTCGAAGCTGATGATCTCCGGTTGGTGGGGTCTAGCCCGCCACATCAACTACCTGGGCGACTGGGTCATGTCGTGGGCCTACTGTCTGCCCACTGGTATTGCCGGTTATGCCATCATTGAAAGCATCAACCCAGCTAGTGGTCACCTGCAGAAGCAGGCTGTGCAGACCCCCGAGGTTCGCGGCTGGGGAATGATTTTCACCTACTTCTACATGCTATACTTTGCCGTCTTGCTGATTCATCGTGAGATGCGTGACGAGGAGAAGTGTGAGAGGAAGTATGGCGCTGACTGGACTCGGTATACTTCTCTGGTTCGCAGCCGAATTCTTCCCGGCATTTACTAGAGAATTTACCCTACAGGCTTTCCCCCCCTCCTTTGTGAGAAACAAACAGAGTCTAAGGGGCTTCAGGCTTAGTGCAGGTCTGATGCCTTGTCTCTTATACAAAATTCGATTTCTGTACAATGGTTTTTTTTTATGTGATGTTTCATGGACTTGAGCAACATGGCTTCTTATTTAGTTTCTTGTGTTTTGGCCAGAGCCAATTATTCTTTAGTGATATAATTCTCGTTCTATACCAAGGGTCCGTGAGTTTCAGCGTTTTCGCTTCTTTGGATCAACCAAGACATCTAAACCCCAGTCTTCATCTCCTACATTCCGTATCCACCCTTTGAGAACCTCTCTGGCATCCCGTATTGCTTCTTCGCGAGGTTGATGGGGACCTAATACCTTGTCTGGGGATTGTTTCAAGACTTGGTACGTAGTTGCCTTTTGAGTATCTTGCGGAGGGCACGTTTCTGGAAGGGCCTCGACGGTTTTGTTCGCCGACTGCTCCCTGTCGTCTTGGGAATCCTGTGCGCGGCCTTCTGACTCAAGGATGTTTGACATGAGTGCCCAAAGCTTCGACCGAGATAGCGCTGACGCACCACGCGGAAGAGGCGAGGATGCCTTGTTACCTTGCTTCACACCTCCAATAATGCTTTCATATAAGCCAGTCTTGGATCGGAAGAGCGAGGGTAACTGCTTGCTACCGACATCTGATAGCACCGCACACCTATGCGAATGTGATGGAGCTAAAGTCCATACAGCGCTGACATTGCCTGGTTTGCTCTTCCTTGGCGTGATGGCGGCATCTGAAGCTTCTGGAGTGATAGATTTCGGCTTCGCAAATTTCCAAAGTGCCTCGATTTCCCGAACAGGCACAGAAAGAATCTGGAAAGGACGGAATTGATATCCGATGCGACCCGGGGTATCAGACGGCCAGGAACGCCCCTCTAAAGCCTTCATTCGGCCATTCGCACCGAATGCCCTTTTACACGCAATGTGACTGATCTCGTCCTCGGGAAGAACGAGGCCCGCCAGGTATGCATTTTGAGTTGGGGCAACCAGCCGACTGGTCTGCCATGATAATAGAGATGAAACCTGTTTCAAAGCGAGCTTATCTGAGCATGATTTACTGCGCGTTGACTCCGCATCTGTGCGTGCTGGTTTGCGACGCACGACGCCCAGAAGAGAGAAATGAGCTCGACCGTCGAGGAGATTATCTTCCACCAAAGCAGGGCCTTCCTGTGCCTCTGAGGTGTTATTTGTTTCACGTATCACCTCCCAAGGCGTTGCATCGTCTTGAGCGGCCATGCACAGCTCCATGCTTCCATCGCCACAAGGAGCACAGGTGCAATACATGTATAGTTTGACGTCGGGCCGAATCTCAAAAGGTGGCCAATCTATTGATGAATTTGACGTGCCACTGCAGTCATTTGGGAATGCTCTCCTCCGAATGATTGGCGACAGAGAGGGCTTAGTATTCTCAAGCTTTTCTTCGGTGATTAAGTCATGACATTCTGTTAAGAGCCAGTAGTTGAAGGCGCGGATGGCTAAGATTTCTGCATGGCAATCATGGAGGACGAGACCCCGACACCGTGGGATATGGGATGCTGATAAACATTTCGCACCGCTCCTGTAAGCAGTCAGTGGATTATGCCAGTCGTGCCCGTGGTGTAAAACTTACGTGACCGTTATGCAATGAAGACTTTCTGAAGATGTATTTTCACCTATAGATTGCAAAGAGCCTGTTATTTCAAGACACAATTTTATTTTCAAAAAATGGCACATACCTTTGACAGCTACAATGCCAGTCATTGGAATCCACTCCCTAGAGCCATCGGGAAAGATAGTTGGTTTACTGCGTGTGGGCAATGCATCGAAATGCGCATGCACCAACGAGGCTATTCGAGATGCCAAGGACGCTGTAGAGGGCGGTTCAGACATATCTGCACATCTATGATGAGAGAAATAGCTCGTAGAGAATGTGACCAAACCGTTCAATTCGACTTGAGCGCAAAATGTATGATGTGGGCTAAACTGCGATTTCGATAGATAGTCACATGACCGATTGACTTATCTCAACCTTCTCCAAACCTGACCGTCGATTACTTTGTCGACACACCCAGACAATTTCCACAACTCCAAAATGGCCGACAAACTCCGCACTCTCCAGAACCTTGAGGCGCTCCAGGCCCGTTACATCGGTACTGGCCACGCCGATACTACCAAGTACGAGTGGACCTCCAACATCATCCGCGACAGCTGCGCGTCCTACGTCGGTCACAACCCGCTTCTTTCCTACATGTCTGTTGGAATGGGTGAATCCAAGGAGAAGACCCGTGTCATTATGCTGGAGAAGATGGTCAGGGGCGCTGGCAACCCTCCGGAGGTGCGTGCTATTGGTTTCCTCCCCTTGAGAGCAGATTACTGACGTTTCTTGCTTGCATTCTAGACGCAGGAGTAACAAGTTTGAGATGACTTCTTAAGATACCCAATTCAATTTCTGAAACATACCCGATACCTGACACGCCAGAGCCATTCCAAGGTTGCGGAACTACATGTCCATGTCCTACTCTGTACTTGCAAATGCGCCTAGAGACTTGACATGATACCCGACTCGAATACATACATACGAAGATTCAATACGCTCGTGCCAATATGCTATCCGGTGGAATAATTACATATTAAAGATGAGGTTTCATTCATGGAGAATCAGCGTCTCGCATCCCCGGACAATTTATCACCGCGCAAATGAACCCTCGAACTTGGAGAACCCCAAGGCCATGTAAGCATCATATTAGCTGTGACCGGGGTCCGAGTATCATATTACATGTCTTTTCTCATGTGTTACATTTATTGGAATTCTGAAAATGCTTTAGGAACTCAAACCTTCTGTACATGCAGGATAGCGAATGTATCTGAAATAACCCAATCGCCATGCTAAATGTTTTAGCTTATGGATAGGAAGAGCTCCTAGATCTGCCAATACACCTCAATTCATAATAATCAACTCCATCGCTAATTAGTGAACAAAAGACGTGATATACATTCAAAAGCCCTGAATAAACCCCAATATACCATCAAGTAGACCCATCCACCGAACCCCCCGTTGCAACCAACTTCGTGTTCTCCGCTTGCAAAGAAGCAATGATATCAAGCCACTTTTGGCGCTCAGCACGCAGGTTGCTCACCTCCTTCTTCAGGTCCTTCACTTCCTGTCGTAAATCCTCAACCTCAGATCTCGACTTAGACTTCTCCGAGCGTTCGGCGTCCTTCCGCTGTCGAGCCTCGATCTTCGAAGCATCTTTCCGCTGACTAGCTTGAATCTTCGAAGCAACTTTCAACTGACTAGCTTCAACCTTGCGAAGCTGCTTCATCAGCTTGCCTTCTTCAGTAATAAGCTGCGCAGATACTTTGTGCATTTGTGCTAGTGGTTCAGGCGTAGGAGTCCGCATTTGTACAGCTTCCTGACCATCGCTGCTAGCACTACGTTGGTGACTTTGCCTTGTCGAACTGCTCGGCGTTCCGAATCTGTTCTCTGCTGCCCGCTTGATCATCACGCCTGTATCGCTGTCGACGTCGTTGTGATTTTTTGTAGGAGTTAAGAGGCCGCTTTGTATGGTGGTGTGTGTTTCCAGCTCCGAGCGAACGGTCTCGAGTTTACGTTCGATTTCGCGCTTGCGGAGGGCTAGTTTGGCGAGTTCTTTTTCATGGGAGCTTAATTTACCGTTCTTGCTCATTTCCATTAGTTCAGTTGGTGGGATATTGCTTTGTACCACTTCTTCTACCATTGGTGTGGCTGATGTGGAGTGCCCTGAGGCCAGTGAGGCTCGTTCAGTTTCTTTCTCTGTAGTCGACGACGCATCGTGGGAAGCTTTTGTGCGGGATGACTTCGAGCTGCGAACTTCGGTATCGTCTGTGGTCTCGTCGGAAGTGCCGAATGCGCCTGGGACAGAACGGGACGGCTCTTGATGGTGTGGGAAGTAGTCGAGGACTCCTGGTGCGTATCTCTCAAGGCTAGAGTTGACCAAGCCTGTGACACTGGCGATTAATCCGTGGTGGGAATGGACGTCAGAGTCTGTGAGATCCGAATCTGAGTCTGAATCAGAAGACTGGCTTTCTTCACCATCGCCTTCGGCTTCGTTTCTGGATTCCCCGGATCTAGGTTCTCCATCACCACCTTCTGATCTCTTCTCTCGTTTTGCGGGCTTGTCTTCTTGAATAGCCCAATCAACAAATTTGGCGGCATCTGCTCCCACGCTTTTGGGGGTGCCTTTGTCCACCATCCATCGAGGAATGCTACCACCTGGGTCACTTCTAGTAACCATGATCCATTCAACCGGGTTCGATTCGGGGTCATTCCCTTGCGTTGATTCATCCGTAGTTCCACTGCCCTCGCTCTTCTTCTCCGCACTCTTTGCACTGGAAGAGCTACTGCTACTTCCGGAGCTGCTTTTCTTGGGAATTTCACGGATGAGTTCAACAGACTCATAAACACCCCGAGTATACCCCGGCTTATGTGGTATATCAGGGTGATCACAAGGCTTAGAAATCATCAACCAGCTCCGACCAGGTTGCTTAGTGCCACCAATCCGCAAGCCATTGTTCGATGTGATAATCAGCGTCACAAAATCTCGCGGGGCTGTGGGCTTCGGGAACTGCGCCGAAACATGATAGACGGTGATCTTTGCCATCTCCGATCCATCCTCATCCTTCACCTCCACCACCTCAACCTTCCGTTCGGCTCCAATACCACGGATACTCTTATCGGGGGTTTGACCCTTCTCAATCTTCTTCAGATTGACCTTCAAAGTCTCATCATACTCCGACGACATCTTTTCTTGCCATCGTGTAAATGACATACCCTCGTGCACACTCCGTCTCCCAAACCATGAGCCGCCTCCATCATTAGCCGAGAGCTTCCAGACGTGTACGCCGAGGGGATTATCTCTCGGCCCACCCATTTTGATGGGCTTGCCCCATTCCTTTTGCAGAGGTATGATATCCGGGTCTGTTTCTCCGACTCTAGCTGATGAAGGGATAACGCGGGGTGCAGACGTATCATTGGGTCCTTCGGTCTCATATGATGGGGGATCGGGTAGTGATTCCGCTACCAATCTACTGTGGTGGAAGATATTGCGGACATATTCGCGGAGTTCATCGGGGGATTGGGGGACGGCACCCCATGTTGTCGGCTTGAGACATTCGAGCGCATCATATAAGGTGGCCATGGGGACTGTGGCTCGGGTCGTTCAAATTGGTATAGAAGAGAGGGTAATCAGGATTATGAGGTGTGCTGTGCTTCGAACAAGAGTTTCAATGCTCGTAGGGCGTCAATTAATGCGGGGAGGAGAACAGAATGCAAGACACATGTAGTGGGGAAATGAGTAGGTCCGATAAGATGCAAACCATGAGTTTGAAATAATCAAGGCCGCGGAAGCGTCAATTCACTGCGTTTGAGATAATGACAAGCTTTTGCCACTGTTTGATGTGGAGAGTAAGAGCGTCGACTCGGTTGTCACGGCTTCTGGCATTGATGACCGACGGTGAAGCCTGCTTGGTCGGAATTGCTGCTGACGTCATACAGCGGTATTGTAACTATCGGGGTAAGTGGAGTCGTGCTACGAACTATATTGGACTTTTGCCCTGGTTATTTGTCCACTCTTACCCCTGATTCTATAATGACCTGCAGATCTGCGTGGTACAATTCTTGTTTTCTTTGGAACTCGGTCTGGGGTTAGGTTCGTGGGTCTGGTCGAGTCTTGAGTCTTGTTTCTCGTCACGGAATATCGGCGGGCGTCATCTGGAATTCCTCTCCGCTTAAAAACCCAGGGGAATGGGACACAGCTAAAGTTATCTCATTGTGTTTCTAATAATCTACTGTACATACTGTAACTATCAAGTTATTGCCGTATCTGTAACTTACTCGAAGAGTGGAACAAGGACAGGGCTTTTGTGGTGTATGCACCTTTCAAAGAATTCACTCTAAAAGATACATACAAATTGGAGTTTAGGTGACAGATTGACAAGAAAGACAAGAGAAGAGAAGGCAGCCAGCGCGGGAGGTCTAGCCCCCCGATCGTGACAAAAGAATGGAAACCAGCATCCTAATCTCGGTGTCAGGAAAAAACAATAGAAAAGTTCGATCAACCTGTGACAGAACTCCTGACATCCGAACCCATCCGAGGCCCAGCCTGGATGATGTCGTGGGGGTTGACCCCAATAGAGTGCGAGCCATGGTGGTATGATAATGAAGTCGAAGAAATTTGAAGAACAGACCCGTGAGACCACTCGTCGCAAAGTCAGGATGTAGTGGATTGCTTCAAGTCACAGACCTAAAGGGTCAATCCAATCCCAGCCTTTCGCGCCCATCGTTCGCCACAGGCGAACAATCGGGTCTGGCGAGGGCGTTCTCAGGGTTTGTTTTCTTTTCGCTTGATCTGCACCACCATAGACCATGACAAGCGAGAAGAGAAGGGGTGAACAGTTCCAGCATGTCAAATGCTGATGCTGGTAACACCCGAACGCGTAGAATCATCCCTTCAACCGTCCCAATCAAGAGCAGGCTGAAATCCGGTATCCAGCACCGGTAAGGATAATGTTCAACGGCAATTGGCAATCGAGTAACACACGTCAATCCAGTCAACGATGAAACTCTCCTGCTGACCACTGTCGAACCGCGCCAATGATAAAAAAGACATAATCGTGGAGACATTCCACATCCGAATTCATATCCCGGTGCCGCGAGGCTTCCTGGTCTTCATGACATATATATGGGACATGAACAAAGGAGAAAATAACACACAAGAGCCGACCCGTCGCTTCTTGATGCAAAAAGAAAGCTGCAAAAAAGTGAAAAGACGCTGACGCTGGCTGAGTAGAAACAGAAACGCAGACAAAATCACAGGTACAACGCAGATACCAAAAGGATTATTCTGGATATGATGCAATGGCAACGAGGTGGTATCACAGATGCACACAGGTCTCTCAAAACAAGAACGCCGTCAAGAATGCCAATTAGTCAGAAGTTGGGATGTGATCAATGGTGGGATCCACTTCCACAAGGATTGTCGGAGAAGTCCGAAGTCGCACAAGGGAGGTCTGACCTAGAACGATCCACGTTCAGGGATATCAGGCGCGGCGACCCGGGAGGCTCGCGGAGGTGTCGCCGGTAGGAGAAAGGGAGGGGGAGAGTAGACACCATCGAGCTTAAGCAAATTGGGGGTCTCCCTTTAGATCGTCGTGCCATAGGGCAACGGAGCGAAATCTCCCCAGCCGAAGCCTGCCATGTTGGCTACCGTACTGCAAGGTTGCACGAGCGTACTCGGGAGCGGAAGGGGTGCGAGAAGGGCCGAGGTCGTTACCATGTTGTCATACGGAAGGTACGGGGCGGTGGTGAACGGCTGGCAGTAGGACGGGGTCGGCGATGGCAGCTGAGCATCACTGAAACTGAGACTGGCCCAAAGATTCGGATTAGAATCATCCGTGGCCGGGGTTGGGCTGGGCGGCAGTACTTTCCACGACTCGATTTGCGCGGACGGTGGGCAAGGGTTGTGCCACCAGACTTCGGGGCCTGTCGAACTGGGTAGAAGAGGGACGGCACGCATCACATCCACCACCCGTGGTGGAGGTGGTAGCAGGGGTACGAATAGATTCGCGATGGCCTGCTTAGCGTCTTCGCCTCGTCCACACATCAGGTCCCCGGCGCCATCCTCTTCCAATCCCTCCAGCGCTTCGGCATCGGTCCGGTACACGAACTTGTTAGCGGCTTGCACGAACTCCTCTTGTAACTTCTTCAGCTGGCTCTGCTTCCCCGACCAATCCCACGTGTTGGCGGCCGCATCCACCGAGTAGACATCTTGATGATAATCCACAAGGGATTCAATTGTTTCCGGGGTTAGTTTGAATGCGACTTCATTGCGAGAGACCATGTCGACGTGCACGACGTAGGCCTCTATGTGGATCATTTGATAGTTGAAAAGACCTTCCACGAGTGGGTTCTCGTCTTTCCGCAGCTCCGCCTCGGGAGCCTTGGTGAACATCATTGAACATAGGGTCCAAATCGCATTCTGCGACGACAAGGTCTCCGTCAGACACCGGGTGTGTTGGGTGACATTGTTCAGAGGACGCTTGACCCGATTAACTCGTTTCAAAGTGGCTGTCAACCACGGCGCCACCTTGGTATTCAACACGACGTTGGGCGAGGACCGCGGCGCAAAAGCGGCCGCGGATGACGGCAATAACATGGTTGGCATTATGACTCTGTGTGAATAGGGGTACGACCGGCGTTGTCAAAGATAATAAAAGAATGTAGAATATAATCGAAGGCCAAATTCATCAAGGCGACATTCGCCCACACAATAGACACCGAGTTGAGGTTGGGATCTGGTTTCACGGTGACGTTTCGGGATTCTCGTTTAAATCGATCGCATAGTCTGTTGGAGTGGGTTCAGGACCTATGAGCCGAAAAGTTGCGTTACTATTAAAGTGCGGGCGAATGCGCGTGGGAAAAAAAAAGGAAAGAATAGAAAATTATATCGAAAGGAACGTGAACAGTATAGAAAGAGAAAAGGATGGACGATATACCACACATAAAAAGAATCGGGAGGGGCGGGATCCATAACGGAAGAGCCAATGCAGTGGAGATTTGAATTTCCTTCTATATAGAGTGCATTAAGGCTAGGGCTTTCTGTATGCAGCCCGATGGAGTCGGGTACGATACAAGTAATGGACCACACGGACTCCCCGATCTGCGTACTTGCACTCGGATTTTCAGGTGGCAAGGATATGCACAGTTGAAACCTGCAGTACTCTAAACAGTTAATTCGAGAATAGAACATAGTTATTATCCTATAATAAAATACCTGAAACCGAAAACTGATCGCACAGTATTTCCCAGTCTCACGGTCTGCGCGTTGCACGTCCATTTGGTCAGAGCCATCTGCAAGATGCCCCAAACTGCAAAAGCTAAGCCCCGATGATCCGCACTGCGAAACAACTACAAAATCTTCCGAGTCCAGAATCCCCCCCCCTCCCCGCCCAAAAACTAAAAAAAAACTAGGATATGGCGTCTTGGCTTGCGTCTAGAATTTGACACCCCATTCGAATGTTCTATGTACCTATCGCTATGGATAAATGTTTACATTCTCAGCTGGAACCTTGGAATGTCCAAAAATACGCTGTGCGATGGGGAAGTTTATGTGGAAAGAGAAAGAGCAAACCATGGAACTCTTGAGCGCTTCCTATGCCGCTAATTCTTACTCCACAAACCCTAACCAGAATGATCTCTAGGCAGATCGCGCATCTCCCACGTTCCCTCCCCGCGACGTTCTAACGTTTCAGAGATCAATACTCCATGTACGTCTAGAAAAGGGGAAACTGAAAACTGAAGGGGGAAAAAAGGAGTAAACAATGCATTTTCTCCTTTGATCTTTGGATGAGTCGAATGGTGGACAATCTCAGCTGATGGAGGGTCGAGCAGACGTGGGGCAACTTGGTCTTGGGCCGCTTCTGGTCTCGGATTCGTCGGTCATGACCGAGTCCGGCCGCTCCACTGTGAGCTGAGATCCCTGTTCCGATCTGCGATTGGGCTGAATGATGACCGGGTCATTGACTTTTTGAGGCGCCCGGCTTTCAAACCGGCGGTAACAATACCGGTTTTGTTGGTTCTTCAGCACTCTGTGTGAGGCCACATGATTGTGATCTCATCTTACAGCGACTTCCCTCTTCCCATGCGCCATGAGGCTTCTCTCGTTCAATCAAAGCTCTGCATTCTAACAACCCTGGAGCCTGGCGGCATATGATTTCGGTCATGTGGTCTGGAGTGTCGTAAGGGGGGGTAGCGGTTGGAATCGGTGATCGAAGCTTTCCATATATGCATTATCCATGAAATCAACCTTCCTGCAGTATGTACTGTATTGTTGGCTTCAACTATGGAGCCAGGTTTTCAAGAAATTCAAGAAATTTCCCTGCTTTGTTGGCAGATCTCGGATAAGGCGATGGCGTGGAGTTGTGGATGATTTTCTTAAAATAGGTGTTTGTTGACTTAGCACTGCCACATGCGCCACGTCACTCGCCACCGGTTGGACGGAACTGTGGCGGTGCCTCATATTGTAGGCATTCACTCATCCATCTGTATTGCAGCGCGTAACAGAGTTTGGCATCAACCAAACTCCAAGATTGTGTTCATTTCCAATCGATTAAGCTCAGATGCTTGTTCTTCAAACTACACTGATGCACACAGCATGGGGCCTTGTTGAGAGCCCGTAGCACCCGGACTAAAATGTGCCCATTTCGGTATTATTGACGATAATCTGGCAAATTACCTTGATAGAATACGCATCAGACCAATCCAGATAGTCTCAACTCTATGACTCATGGTCAAGCCGATGACGGCAGATTTGAAACTGAGCTGTCTTTTTTCTCACCGACAAGATACTCGGAGCGCATTCGGAGCAATGCCCAACTAAAGATGTGAAAGTATCAAAACATCTTCATTAGTTTAGAATCTGCTTAAAAAGGCATATCTGGGCGTGAGTCATGGTTCGTTCTCCGAAAAAATCGCCTTTATCGCCTTTACAGCACGGGGATCATCACCCGTGGACGGGTGAGAATATCAGGTTTATGCTTGGGTCTAAACTCAACAGGTTACTTACTGCATGGACGTCCTGAACGCGTGTGATAGATCATTTAATTTAACATTTCCTATGACGAGCATATTGGCTTGTGTGATATATGGCAGAGTGTCTTGCATGGATATGTGACGAACTGCAAGCATCGCCCTATGCGGATAAGTGTCTTATCTACCGGCCTTTGTTTGCAGATATCTGGAACCTTGGGAAGACCCTTTCAAGGATCCATCTAGACGTATCTCAGAAAGGGGACCATGGAAGACTTCGGGGAACCGGGAAGTCAAATCCCGAAGAATGCCCATCATCTTCAACCTATATTCCAGGTTGGTATGGCATGACACTAGAAGGTCATGGGCTTGAAATATTGTTGTGCTTGTGATCTCACAATACTTTATTTTGGAGTTGTCTAGTGGTTCCTTCCGGATCAAGCCGGGTTGGTATTGTTCTCTTTCTTGCCTAGAAATTACAGTTAGAAACGAGAGCGTGTAACTATCAATACACTGGAGATTTTGGAACCTAAAAATGAACAGAATTCCTTATATTAGAATTCCTTCCACTGGGTGAAAACATATTCTGGTTATTCGAGCCATCATCTGGAGTTGAGTCAAGGTTAAGGGTTTGACGAAGCGCTTGGGTTACGACGTACAGCCCTTAGCGGCTACATTAGAGGTTGTAACCCACCATCATGACTGAAACCAGCTAAATCAGTAGTAGATATTTCAGTGGGGCCTAGGATATAATTTCAAGACTTGTTTTGGATCTATCAGATTCGGTAAACTGATAGTTCTTGCCCAAAACCCCACCCCCCAACGGCTTTAACACATCGTCCTTACTTGCGCCTCACTTTGGAAATGAAATAGGAGTTGTAATTCCGAATACAAAGTAGCTCACTGTAGCAAACCAAGATCCCATTGGCTCAATTCAGGAAGCCTCACTGCAGAAACTCACCATTCGTCTCCCTCAGGACCAGCTGATACTCAGGCTCAAACTGCATGTACATCGCCTCGGGGCTATCTGTTCCTTTCTTAGTGTATAACGCAGTCTCATGATCAATAACTGTCTTTTTCAGATTCCCTAAGATACTTCCCACGGAGCCGGGCGCAATAGAAGACTCCACCAGAAGCTGATTCTGACATGCTCGTTCAAGTGCAATGAATAACGCGGCTGCCTCTGCGACGGTCCCACCAGAAGTAAGAAGACCATGATTTTGCATAATCGGATTTTTCTTTGTTGGTCCAAGGTATCCTGCAATCCGTTGACCCTCTTCTTGCGCAAAAACAACCCCACCGAAGGCCGGATATACCGAGAGGTCGTCATAAAACATGCATGAATCTATGGGGATTCCATAAGATAAGAATCAAGCTCGACTATATAGTCTCTTACCTTGGTTTAGCATATCAGTCCCCTTACCAAAAGTACTCCACGCTCTTCCATACGGGCTATGCATATGACACGCCGCATGGATATCCTGTCGTTTCTTATGAACTGCAGAATGTATCATAAAGTCCGCAGCGTTCACAGGCTTATCAGCTCCACCTACTCGATTTCCCTGCTCGTCCCCCCGGACCATATCCGAGACTTTAAGAAGGGCGAAATGAACGCCATACGGATTTAACCAAAAGGTTTCGGGCTCGATGGGATCTATCTATGTCAGTATATGTTGAAGGCAGGGCGCTAGAGAGCTATGAAGACAGACACACCTCGAAGACTGATCTGTCCACTGCTACCATCCGCGAACCGTAGTTTGGCGAATATACGGAAAGCAGCTGCCATTTGTCCTAGAAGCGATTTTCTCTCTGCTTCTTTGGTGCCAGGTCGAGGGATGTGATGCAATCTTTTGACTTGGCCGTCATTCACTTTTTCTGTGTTCAGAGCTGAAGATCCGACTTCCGTTTCGGCCATGGCAATATCGAGTGGCATGATGACTGATTAAGACTGGGGGTTTCGGACGGGAATGCTCAGAATCAGTAAAAAAGTGAAGAAAAAGTTCGGATTTGGTGCTAAAGAGAGGGGAAGGATAGCCCCGCATAACGTTTCATGACGTGCCAAAGCTTTCCAAGAACAGCTCGAAAGAAGCCGAATGAAAGAATCCAGATGATATGAACACAATAATGAATTCAAGATTTGAGCGTATGTCAAGTCATAAATTCAGAACCTCTTACATAATTATGCACGCGAGTAACTACCTAGGTTGGTAAATCTAGGCCCAGGAGGTGCTCCGTGGATGTCAGGAAAGAGCAGTATACTGAGAAACCACTCAAAGGTCGTCCAGATGCATGGAACGTAGGACTCAACTCATGATAGAATCAAAAGAGTTATAGAGTGGTCGGTACCTACCCAATGATAATGAGCCAATCAAAGAAGCTAGCAGAATACCTGGTCACTGAAAGAGGGGCAAGGCTGCAATGAGAAGCGTATCTTGCTCCTCATTATATCAACCCGACCACTATTCAAGTCCCATTCCAGAAATGCCATCATTTCTTGATCTTCCACCAGAGATCCGCCTCTTAATATATGCTTATGCGCTCAATCCCAATGAATACGTGAAAAGCCTTCGGAAGATCATTAGAGTCGTGGCACTTGCTGCGACAGGTTCTCCTCTTTCTGCGACAGGTCTTCCACTTTGTGAGGAACCACGTTTATATGTGAAGCGATACACACCTTCTATTTTATTACTTAACAAAAGAATCACGACTGAGGCTCTTCCTGTCCTATACCGAAAATCGCTGAATTTCTATGGAACTCCAAGAACAAACTTCACAATGCGCCAAATGGATATTGCCGAGTTCATTAGCGAGCATTTACTTCAGAAAACTCAATATAGCACTTTACGACTACGGGAACCCAACAAAACCTTTGTTTTATCATTGCTTGATATTTGGGGTGCTGGTAACCAATTGAGAAGGTTGGATGTTCATCTTCCAGAGCAAGCAGCACGCAATAATCGACACTGGAATATTGTTGAAAGCAGGGTACCAATCCTTCCTCTGCAGCACCTCTGTCATTTTACATTTTAACAAGTCTATTAGCTTCAAACGTTTTCCACAATGGTCCCTATTAAGTGGCACGAGCTTGTCAACCCGTTAAAAGAGGAGACGAGAGCCGATTAAACCATGCACAGATTTAAATAAAGCCTGCATCTTGTTCTAGCTGTTAAATGGTCCAAGTCTGACATGTCTGGAACTTGGACGTTCATTTCAATATGAAATTGTTTACAGTTCCACGTGGGTTCCCACGGTACGGAACCGAGCTAGCAACCACTATGGATCTTTAAGGGTCCGTTCCCGGATCTGTTTTCAGGAACAGGAAGCTAGTGACGAGACCACATCCATTGAAATGGGTCCCCAAGACAGAGTAAGCCTGGCTCGGAGCGTATTTGAGGAAGCGATCGCCAATATTATGACGATCGGCCTTCAAACCTTGGAACCCTTACGAGATAGGCATGTTGTCAGAAAACAACTTCCCCAGGTTCTGGGGTAAGCGACTTGGCGACTTACTGCGCCTCATTACGGAGCCTTGTAGGACTGTTACTCCAAAAGCGTTATATAGCAGAATCTGGGTCTCGTGATCATCAATGAGATCGGCTTAAAGCACAAAAGGGTCTTACAAGGACCAGGGCACTCGTCGAGACAGATTGCATCAAGTCAGTGAAGCTAGTCAGTACTCTATTGCATTTTAATGATATACAGATTGTAGGTGACATCAATTGAATGACTGCAAAGAATGCCAGATTTGGTCCGGGGCTCCGGCTCCAAATGAACCCCGACGCTTCATTACGCGAACCCCGCGACGCCGATCATCATTGCGCTAGCAGCGCATACGACCCACTGTGAACGAATACGAGGAATCATGTTCCGTACGTGTTGCATTCTGTCGTTGAAGAACCCCCGTGTTTCATGCAGGGTCCACTCCATAGAATCAGTTCGGGTTAGACTAAATACTACTTCTATGCAGCCACCCGAGCACCCGAGCATGTATATGGGCAAACAACAATTGGATACCCAACGCAGCCATTGAAGTTAAATCACTGCAGCTATTCAAATGAGCGCAGAAGCGCAAGAACTGGTAGCTACCCCTTATAAGGACCAATTCCCCCCCAAGGATGGTGTTTTGGAAATTTGAATAGCAAATTACGCGTGAAAGAACCTCTTTGGCACGGACCCAAAAACCAAGATCTACTAAAACAAGATCAGCAGTCAATTTTCCTGACCATCCTGCCGCGCTTTGCTAAACGAATAACGGAATATTAGCGTATCGAGCTATGGTTACATGCAGATCCTCAAGACCGCGGACTGCCCCGGTTTTCACTCCCGTCCGAAGACCTTGAGACCCATGGCGAACTATAGAACCATGATTCTCATGACGAAAACGGAAAGTGACCCGTTAGAAAGGGCCAAAACACTCCAATTACTGACATCAAGGAGAATTCCGGCACAAGTAGAGCCCGGTCAACTCACATGTGGAGTCCCAACGTCCTCGGCTCAGGCAATTGAGTGGATCTGGGGAAAAGATACCTGGGACTTTAAAGGGGTGGAATATCTCCATTAGAGGTGAGTTTTTTTCTGCTAGACGCCAATTACCAGCCATCAACACCGTGCCCCAGGAGTGAGGAAGCAGCGGTTCAAGATGCGTTTCTCAGCAGCATTCATCTCAACCCTTGTGCTGTCTAGTACAGCTCTAGCTGGATCTGCCAACCAGACATCCCCGTCAGCTCAGGCAGATGTTGAGACACAGTCCATTGCTCAGCAGGACTCTAACGCTGATCTTGTGTCAGAGACTCCTTCTGTCGCCGGTACCCCGAATCATCCCGCCAACGCTGCTCCTACTCCATCGGATACCACAGAAGTGACCCACCATGCTGCTGCGACAGCTGACCCTTCCGATAACCGAGAGGAGAGTAACGAGGCTACCGATATCCCAGGTATTGAACCATCGCAACAGACGTCCCATCCAAGTGCCCAGAAGTCCGCTGGCACTAACATCGCTGGAGTCAACAATGATCCAATGACCGTCAGCAACTCCGCCCCCTCTGCCCCTAGCTCTGGCATGCAGACTGGCCAGAACACAGAGGCTCCGGGCTCAAAGCCTTCTGGCACACCAGCTTCTGAGCCCGCAACTGTGACCCGAACCCGTACTGCTGTAAGCAGTAGCAGTACATATAATGGCGATGATGACGATGACACTCTGCTTAGCTCCTGGAGCGATTTTGGCAATTTTCTGGATGGATTGAAAGGTCTTCTTTCACCCACGTTGCTGGAAGATATCGAGTCATTCTTCCACCATGTTGCTTGGTTACTGGATGATCAGACGACCACAAACACCAAGAACCTAATCAACACTGCTAATGGACTCCTCACCAAGAGCCTTATCAACAAGCTAGAGGCCCTTTTGGACAATGCTAGCGCTCTTTTGACCCCTGAGGTAGTCAAGAATCTCAAGGAATTGCTTCCAGAGCTCTCACCTCAGCTTCTGAAGGAAGCGAGCAGCTTGCTTGACAATGCCAATAAGCTTCTTACTCCCGAGACCACATCTGAACTACAGAAGTTGATCTCGATCGCGGCGCCAGTTATCAAACCAGAGCTGTTCCAGGAAATTAACAGCTTGTTGGCTAACGGCAACAAGCTCCTCACTCCCCAATTTGTTGATGAAACAAAGTCCTTGATCGGCACTGTGGCACCAGTGATCACCCCCGAGCTGCTGAAGGAGGTGAACTCCCTGCTTTCGAATGGTAATAAGTTGCTCTCGCCCGACTTCATTGACGAGACCAAGTCTTTGATTGGAGCCGTGGCACCCGTGATCACACCAGAGCTCCTGAAGGAGGTCAACAGCCTACTTACCAACGGTAACAAGCTTCTTACCCCCGACTTCATCAATGAGACCCGTAATTTGATCGGTACCGTGGCACCTGTGATCACCCCCGAGCTGCTGAAGGAAGTGAACTCTTTACTTTCCAATGGCAATAAGTTGCTCTCGCCCGACTTCATTGACGAGACCAAGTCTTTGATTGGAACCGTGGCACCAGTCATTACACCCGAGCTTCTGAAGGAGGTCAACAGTCTACTTTCCAATGGCAACAAGTTGCTGTCGCCTGACTTTGTCAATGAGACTAAGGGATTGATTGGTACTGTGGCGCCATACATTACGCCTGAGCTCCTCAAGGAAGTCAACGCGCTGCTCTCGAATGCCAACAGTCTTCTCACAGAGAAGACGACCAAGGAGTTGACCGGTCTTTTGGATATGCTTGGGCCAGTCTTGACGCCCCAGCTCTTGCAGAATGTCTCTTGGCTGCTGGGCAACGGTACCAAACTGCTTAACCCCGTATTCGTCAACCGGACGGCTGGTCTGATTGATGATATTGCACCTGTTATCACACCTGAGCTTCTGGGCCAAGTTGGTGGATTGCTGAACAATGCGGACGATCTTCTCACTCGGAAGTTTGTGAACGAGACACAAATTTTGATCGAAGATGCTGCTGATGTAAGTTGGTTTCCTGGGGTAGTTTGAAAGCTCACTAACTTTTTTTCTAGATTCTTCCTCTCGTCACAGAACTATTGAATTCGCTGTGAGATTTAAGGATGGGGGCCTGACAATATGTAATGTACAGTATTCATGGATGATGTCTGAGTACGTCTAATACGACTTAATTGATTGAAATGGGGAATTATTACATTCACATTGATGTAATGCAATTATTTTATACAGTTACGATTCAAGTGACTATGGCAAGCATTGGATGTGGGATATTTGGAAACCCATGTCTTCGCTGCTACCTAACTTGAAGAAACTCATTTACACCTACACAAACTCATATACGCAACGGGTTCCCAGGTTGCAAACCTAGCCACGAGCTTTTCGACCCCTTGGAACACAAAGTAATTGTCATCAAAATGAAAACTGAGGTAGATGAAACAGACCTATTCTGTCTGCCTGTTTAGTATTAAATTAAAATGTCTATAGTCCTGAAGTGGGTCAAACCCCCCCCCAAAACCCCCAGACCCTAAATCAGTAAGCTCCGATCCCTTACAATTAGATGCGAGAGGTAAATTGGCGGGGGTAAAATAAATCCGATTGACGTTTGACTCAAAGCTAGGCGTGCATCTAGTAAGAATGGATGTGCATGTATCAATTCTCTTCAATCTTTGGAGGATTCCCGCCCCTGTCTTGCCATCCTTTTCTTTGGTGAATCGTGGATTCGAGAAATGTGTCATTTTGTCATGAGAGAGACGAATGAGAGCGATAAGCAAGCCATTGGCGCCTAATGTGATTTCATTGGTGCGCACGACAAAGTTATGAGAATGATCAGAGTCGTTGCTGGAACACATACTCCGATTGCCGCACGATTCTTCAGGCAAGTAATTGGCTTGACCTACTTGTTTCCCAGAGGGAAGCAAAATGGTATTAAGGGTTGGGTATGTGGGATCCCAGGGCCGGTAAATGAGTCGAATGTATATCTCGATAGGCGCAAGCGCATATGGTCCCTTAGTAACAGGCTCAAGGCTTTCAAGCCTAGTACTTGTGAAGGATTTGTGCTTTGTTGACCAAAACTGGTGTTGCCTCCTGATTCATGGGAAGCCTTTCAATTGTCGAAAATGTAAATGGCAGAGTATCGTCTGGGGGGCCTCAAGATGGGATGTCGGATGCCTTCACTTGGTGGTATTTGGAAACAACTTTCAGCTCCGTATCCCGTTCCTTGATTTTCTTGTCCATTGCTCTCTGGACCTGTTCTCTCTTTTTCTCAGCTTCCTCGATTTTCCTTTTCACTTCCTTTGCGGCCTGTTCTTGCGCCCTCAAGGCTGCCTCCCGCGTTGGGAAGTCTTGGCGCAACTGTTCGAGCTCGACCTGCACATCTTGCTCATCAATTGGCTGGCAGGTGATTGGGTGGTAGCGATAGACGGGAAGTGGTTCCCCTGGTACTTGGATTTCAGGAAGATCGGGGTGGATTGGAGTGGTGCGTAGGGGCGAATCAAGCGGAACAGCGGAGGCAGCCTCGGATGGTGGAGAAAGAAGAGAAGCTTCAGTTTCGAGCATTGTTGCAAGCTGATAGACTTAAAATATGAAAGTGGCTAGAATTAATTCGCCGCGGCCTCTTGCTTTGAAGTAGGAAGGATGCGAAGTAGAAACAGAACGCCGAGCTTCCGCGGCATTGGAGATTCTGCCACAATTGCCCCACCGCCTTTGTTCACGACGTATGCGGGGGATCGGATCTCCATGGACTTTCAGATGTGCAAAATTCATGAGGCTATAGGATCTTCCGAATAATACTAAGGTGATTATCTTAGGCAGGTCCTAAGTGGACACTGCTGTGCCTTTGTCGCCCAAGGCTAAGCAACAAGATCCCTGACTGGAACACCGTCTCACCAATAGGGTGCATTGGGCTTGCTTGCATACATTGAAGAATCATGCAGGCATTTGGTACGTCTTCCCCCTTGAGTTCCCAAATATTTTTTCCATTATAGGCCTTGAAGTGGCGTACTAACCATGCCGTGGAATATAGTCCCGAAGACCAGAAGGGTAAGTCTTCGAAGCCTCCAATGGAGTGCAAGTACAGACTAACATGTGCCCCTAGCCCCGGTTTGAGCTTGTTTTAAGGGTATTTTGTCATTCAACTCGGCCTTTTGACACGTATTTATACTAACAAACCACAAGATCATTGACATCAACAATGTTCCTTTAGGAAATGGCACCGTGTGGGTAAAATGGCGCCTTCCATCATCATGTGGTGCGTCGGAAAGCCAGGGTCACACTGAAAAGGCACCTCTTGCGGATCACCGCGCATCTTGGAATTACGAGAAGACCTCTCTGGTGAGGATCACCATCGACAGAAATTCAATGCTACAAGAGTGCGATATCAACTTTGAAGTCATTCAAGAGTTTCACTCTTCACCTGCCAATGACAAGAACATACTCGGCAAAATCAAGCTCAACCTTTCAGAATATGTGGACAAGGTTGACGAGGAGGAAGGCGTGGTTAGGAGATACCTAATGTTTGACAGTAAAGTCAACAGCACAGTCAAGATTGGCATCGCTATGCACCAAATCGAGGGAGATCGCAATTTCACCACGTATGTTTTCCCACCATAGGCTATCCCTATTCAACAGCTAATCAAAAGCAGACCACCTCTGAAATCGGCCACAGTATTTGGAGGCATTGCAAGGGTAGTGCATACCGCAGAGCCCGGAGATGCAGACGAACCCGGCAACCTAGCATCAATCAGCACCAAAACCAGTGAAATGGCAGACATGCAAGACATGTACCGGCGTACCCTGGCAGCCTCTTGGACGTCCCGAGCTTGCGACTTGCCAGCTGATAAGCTGATCGAGGAGCTGTTTACCGGAAGTTCATCTTGGAACAATGATGCCCATAACGCAGACGAGCCAAGGGACAGCCATCCAAGCGCCTTTCTCAGCGTAGAAGCAGCTGAACGCCAAAATCGCTCAGGGAAGAGTCTTTCCCCCAGTTTCGAACGACGACCTAAGAGTTCTATCAGCGTTCACTCACATAGTAGTGGGAAGACTCCTGACTCTCTTACTAGTCTTGGGGCTTCACAAAAAAGCAGGGATCTGGAGCATCATTTATATGATGGGAAAGGCCGAAGCTGGAAGAGCAGGAATGCCGAGCACGAACGCTCTGAATTCGATGTCCGAGAGGATCTACGCAGCTGGGAACTACCATCTAAAGAATAGAGCGCTAGAAGCTTGAATGAAATGAACCCACCAGAATAGACCCGATCGTCAAACCCAAGCCTGGGGTATGTTTTTGTACTTATACTGCCCTCGTGACCATAAGAGCACTCAATATGTATGATTTGTCAAATCAACCTGGCTTGTCCCTAATTTTGCGTAGTTCCTTAGGTACAGAAATAAACTACCTGCTATTTTATCGATTAGAGTAGAATGCAAGAAACCCTTGAGAAGTGATCAGTGTCGGTTGGCGGAGCCAGATTGTAAAGCAAACGCCCCGGAGAATTCAGCCACGGAGAATCCAGCCCCACCGGGTATCGGGGACCCGAAGCCTGACCTCAAAGGTGTAACTCCTCTTTCCCAACCACCGGCTGTCCCTGCCCGACAAATTTCTGTCGTGACGGCTCGTTCGATCCTATAAAAACTTGTTTTTTTTTTTTCTAGCGACAATTTTCTAGCGAGAGCGTCTTTCCATCCCCTACCAGCGTGTTGTGCTCATTACCTAGAGCTGTTGAACCCCCACTCCATTATGAAGACCATGCGTGTATAGTGATTCACCGTTCCCGGCATGGACAAAACACAGGTTGCTAAGGTCAGCTCCGGCATAGTGCGGTCGTTTCTTTTCTTATCTTGGCAACTCACTAACTGCTGTTCATTTAGCAGGTTGACAATGTGACCTTGGCTCGCCGCGGCGAACAAGTGGACGGATCCCTCCATCTAACCCCTCACCATCTTATCTTCTCCCATTTCCCGCCCATCTCCGGCGAGGATCAGGCCAAGGGTGTGACAGTCAGACCGAAAGAGCTCTGGATCACCTACCCTATAATTGCTTTCGGCACCTTGCGACTGGCTCCCGCGGCCTCCCGCCAACTATCTTCTATCCGCCTTCGCTGCCGTGACTTCACGTTTGTCTGTTTTTATTTCGCCAATGAGCATAAAGCCCGTGAAGTATTTGAAAGCATCAAACAATGGACATGCAAATCTGGTCGGCTGGATAAGCTCTATGCTTTTACCTATCAGCCACTGCTCGCCGAGAAGGAGTTTAATGGCTGGGAGTTGTATAACCCTCGGAAGGAGTGGATGCGCCAGGGCGTCTTAAAAGAGAGCTCCGGCTGGCGTGTTTCAGACATCAATATTGATTACAGTGTATGTGCTTCTCGGGGCGGTCTGCTATGGTTGCTAACGCGTCCTTAGTTCTCTCCAACATACCCCGCTCTGATTGCGGTACCCTCCTCTATCTCCGACAATACGATCAATTACGCAGGCCGATACCGTTCCAGGGCGAGAATCCCTGCCCTTACTTACTTTCATCCGATTAACAACTGCACCATTACCAGAAGCTCCCAACCCCTTGTGGGCGTGCGCCAGAATCGCAGTATTCAGGATGAGAAACTACTTGCTACCATCTTCTCAACTTCGCGATCAGAACGGCCCTTGGGTAGCTTTTCTATCCCTACTTTAGAGAACGAGCAATCGGATTCCAGTCATGGCAGTTCGGAATGGAACGAGACGGGCCCTGACATGTCAATGGCTGAGGATGTCAAGGACGATATGCTTGCCGCTGCTCGTGGAAACCCTGAAGATGAGCGCTTGATATACGGTGCCCAACAACAAAATCTGATCGTTGATGCACGACCAACAGTGAATGCATATGCAATGCAAGCTGTTGGTATGGGTTCCGAGAATATGGACAACTACAAGTTTGCCACTAAGGTATATCTTGGTATTGACAACATCCATGTCATGCGTGATTCTTTGAACAAGGTTGTTGATTCCTTGAAAGAGACTGACGTTACTCCTCTTGGCCCTAACCGAGACCAACTGGCGCGAAGCGGGTGGTTGAAGCATATTGCGGGTATTTTAGAAGGGGCCAAGGTGATTACCCGTCAAGTTGGACTACAACATTCACATGTTTTGATTCACTGCTCCGATGGATGGGACAGAACAAGCCAACTTAGTGCCCTTAGCCAGGTCTGCCTGGACCCATACTTCCGTACCTTGGAAGGCTTCATGGTCTTGGTAGAGAAAGATTGGCTTTCCTTTGGTCATATGTTCCGGCATCGGTCTGGTCATCTGAACAGCGAAAAATGGTTCCAAATTGAAAACGAGAGAATTGGCGGCGACAACAATCGTGGATTTGAAAGCAGCGGCGCAGGGCAGGCCCTTGAGAATGCGTTCCGTAGTGCCAAAGGCTTTTTTGGACGAGACAACAACAGTCGTGACTCCCTGCAGGATTCTGATGGAGAGATGCTGAGTTATGACTCTGACACACCGACAAAGAAACCCAGTTCGGCTCCACGCTCCATTGTGGCTGAGAAAGAAGTTACGAAAGTGAAAGAAACCAGCCCTGTCTTCCACCAGTTCCTAGATGCGACATACCAGCTATTGCACCAATACCCAACTCGTTTTGAGTTCAATGAACGCTTTCTCCGCCGCCTACTATACCATCTCTATTCTTGTCAGTTTGGAACATTCCTGTTCAACAACGAGAAGGAGCGGATGGATACGAAAGCAAAAGAGAGGACTCGCAGTGTGTGGGATTGGTTCCTAGCCCGACGAGAACAATTCATCAACCCGCAGTATGATCCAGAAGTTGATGATCACAAGCGAGGACAAGAACGACTGCTCTTCCCTCGCCCAAAGGATACACGCTGGTGGGCTGAGTCATTTGGTCGAGCAGATGGAGAAATGAATGGACCCCGACCTTCTGATCCATCACTGACAAGTGACTATGATAGTCCCGGTGCAGTCCGGACACCCGTCTTGACTGGCATCGAGACCGCGCAGGAAAATGTGACAACTGGAACTTCTAGCGCCAATGTTTCCAACGTTGCAACGTCAGGTCTGGCTGCAGTCACGTCAGGATTATCCAACATTTCGATCCTTAAGAACAATCCACATGAGCCTAAAGGAGAAGAAAGCCGGAAAGAGATGGAGGTGGAGATGCAATAAGAAGAGAGGCAGCGGGTGGACATTTAGGATCTGATGTATCTTCTGATCACGGATTACCTATGGAACACATTTGAAATTACAAAGCATGGCATAGTGATATCCGCTGGGATGTCACATTTCCAAAGGACTGGCCCCAGATGAGGCTTTCTTCCGATTCTACTAGAACTGAAGAATTGAGCACATGAAACATTACCATACTTCCAATGACGACATTCATGCCTTCGTGCCTAAATTTGTAAAGTTTTTGACGCCCGATGGCTCAGGTGTCAACACTAGACCTGATCTGTGCTGTAATGTAAGCGAGGGTTGAGCCCTAGCCTAAACGGGCAATGGAAGCCCTACGCCCAAAAAATCCCCACTAAATCAAACTCGCAACCGAGCGACCAACCTCTCGACCTCGACCACGCCCTCCCCCTCGTCGACACCCCCCAATTCCACCAACCAGGAACGCAAAAATGGCCGCTGTCCAGGGAGCTATTTCCAAGCGCCGGAAGTTCGTCGCCGACGGTGTCTTCTACGCCGAGCTCAACGAGTTCTTCCAGCGCGAGTTGGCTGAGGAGGGATACTCCGGTGTCGAAGTTCGTGTTACTCCCACTGTCACCGACATCAGTACGTTCGCCCTTCGATTTCCCTATTGTTGATGGATATTGGGTGGAATTTGAGATCTGCAAGAGCACGGAATGTCTGGAATTGCCGACATTGAAAAATTTAAAGATCATCCATTTGGGGGGGCATATTCAGTGAAAATTGGGATTCAATGCTAACGGATGGTGCTTCCTACAGTTGTCCGTGCCACCCACACCCAGGAGGTTCTCGGTGAGCAGGGTCGCCGCATCCGCGAGCTCACTTCCCTCATCCAGAAGCGTTTCAAGTTCCCCGAGAACTCCGTTTCCCTCTATGCCGCCAAGGTCCAGAACCGCGGTCTCTCCGCTGTCGCTCAGTGCGAGTCCCTCCGCTACAAGCTTCTGAACGGTCTTGCCGTCCGTCGTGCCTGTTACGGTGTCCTCCGCTTTATCATGGAGAGCGGTGCCAAGGGTTGTGAGGTTGTTGTTTCCGGAAAGCTCCGTGCTGCCCGTGCCAAGTCCATGAAGTTCACTGTACGTTTGCACCGATCAAGAGAGGAAATATGGATGGTCAAGCCTGCGTGTTGGAGTTGGACCTTTCGACCGATCAGATTGTGTTCGGATCCAATGCGTGGGGGCTTCCCCATATGCCCCTCTCATGTCTCACAGTTGTCTGCGAATCTGTTTCTAACATGCATCAACAGGATGGTTTCATGATCCACTCCGGTCAGCCCGCCAAGGAGTTCATCGACTCCGCTACCCGCCACGTCCTCCTCCGCCAGGGTGTCCTTGGTATCAAGGTCAAGATCATGCGCGGCTCCGACCCCGAGGGCAAGTCCGGCCCTCAGAAGACCCTCCCTGACTCGGTCACCATCATCGAGCCCAAGGAGGAGCAGCCCGTCCTCCAGCCCATGAGCCAGGACTACGGTGCCAAGGCTGTTGCCGCCCAGCAGCTCGCTGAGCAGCAGCGTCTGGCCGAGCAGCAGGCTGCCGAGGCTGAGGGTGGTGCTGAGGCTTACGCCCAGGAGTAAATGTTATTCTTTCATTAATCCTGGCTATTCCTTTTCTTTCTTCCTCTCCTAACCTAACCTCATACTCTCTACCTCACGCAATCAAAATTACATGAAGATTCAAGATTTTTTGCACTAGGCATATTCCATGATATAGTCCTTCACTGCGTCTTTGGATCCACGTATTTACCATAAGAACTGTATTGTGCGGGTTAGGTCAGACCAACTAACTCCTGTGGATGCATGTCAGTCGATAAGAAATTATTATCCCACACACCTTTCTATGCATCCAAATGTATCACAAATATCAATGGAGCACTTGAGATAACCCAGACCTTGGTACAATATCCACTCTTTTGTTTAACCCTTAAGAAGTTACTACGATCATTTTACCATTTTAGTGATTTTTCATAGAATTCATACCCTGACATGATCCACTTCTATTTAGGGACCCCACAGCACAGCAATAATTGTATGCAAACTTTTTCGCAGTCTTAATGACCGCAGATGTATGATTCTGAATTTCTAAGGCAACTTGTTTCTTCGTGTTCAATGGATAATGTCCTTCGAATGTTTGATATACTGCGCCTTTATCTCTTCAAGAATGATCAAAGCTTGAATTCCACGTGGGTCAAAAAGTGGGTCCATATGTTTACACAACGTTCCAAGTGCATATCTATGGGCATATTCAAGTCCCTGATCACCATTTTCTGCCATTTGCCACGAATCTTTGCTTCCTCCATTCAATACTTTGAGCTCTTCAACCTCTCATTATGGGCATGAACGGACCCAGAATCAAAAACCCTTTGGAAGACCTACAGTGGGAAACAAGGCTCAAAGTCACTCTGTACAAGAAAAACGACTGCAATGCCGCCATTTGTGACCAAAAGTCCCCCTGGCTCTAGGGCTTAGAGTCCGCCGACTATGTGTTACACGTAGCATTCAGCACCGTGGCGTTTTCGCCCATGAAATACGGCGTTGCACCGAAGTTCACTTGTGTACTCAGCATGCGTGCATCTATGAGCGGAAGGATCCTAGACATCAAAGACCCCTCAGAGATACCCTATTGCATCTGGCATTCAGAGCATCCATTCCAGACGATCCTGCGCGAATTAAAAAAAGCATTATCCCAAAATGATGTATCACGCGGCTCGCGCCTGTGCCGTGGCGGGATATTCTGATCTCTACTCGGGACTCCAGACCTTCTAAGGTCCATATCGCTGCCGAAGCTCGCGAAGCTAGCTTAGCGAGGAGTAACATAGGCAGCGAGGCAATATACGAGTATGGAATGTCAAATTATTTGAATTTTGAGATCATTAATGATGATAATCGATCTGTCAATATTGACATTCCTCCCATAGAGAATGACTTAGATACCCCAGGCTTGATTGACTTTCTCAAGTTGTCAAATCGCATGTTTATGCCGAGGCTAAGGAGTCTTCAATTCGTACTATCTGGAAGGCATCAAGTCGCTCAGCGCAGCCAGTGTAGAGGAATTAAGATTCAATATTAAATACTTGGAGGACACCCACACTGCCAAAGTGCTGTATTCCCTGCGCTCGACTACCAATAGAGCTCTGTTTAAAGACGAGCCCTTCAAGTTAACAACTGCAGAGCAGTTCTGATGGAACCTCGAGGCGACTAAGCGATTTGGGATTTATATTCCTTGGCATGGATGCTATTGGCTTTATTAAGAAAATAGGAGAGCAGGAAAGTTACTAGGATGTCTAATAGATATGTGAAATCCCGAGATCCTTGATTCCAAAGACCTTTCTACATAGAATCATGGAAACGACCTCTAGACGGTGTTAACGTTGAAGCATAACATTTGATTTTATTTTGGCATCTCTGTAGCTCTAATCGAAACAAGGTGTATCAAAAATAAGAGCACTCCTCATCATGTCATCAGCTGCGTCAATCTTCACAGGATATAGCTATATTCAGCCTACAGGAAAGGCTCGATGTTGATCTCCAGGGTGCTGACGGGGTACTTAAGCTCGTACTTCTCCAGCACGGTAGGGTGAAGGATACCAAAAGTACCAATGACGTGTTCCTTATCACCAATGCGAACATGAATGGTTGCGGCATGGCCAGCGAAGTAGGTGGGGTCTGCACAGGAGTAAGTTAGTATCTAAGTAGGTGAAACACGGTGTCATGGAAACTTACCATCCAACTCCTTGATCCAGTACTGCGCAGCACCAGAAGCAGCGTTATCGAGACCCTCCTCGCCGATAATGAAGGCGCTCCGCATCATGGCCATCACGCGATCCAAGAGACCGTGCACAATCTCGAAACCGCTGGTCTTTCCGTACCAGGCAGCGGCGAAGTGTCGCTCGTTGCGGCTCTTGCGCTCCAGGGTCAGATCCTTGAAGGCGACATCGCTGACCTCGAAGACCTTCATAGGCACGCTGTGGCCCTTGTTCTCTCGGATGGTCTTGAGAAGACCGGGGAGCAGACTGGTGCGGACAATCTGGAACTCCAAAGTCTTGGGGTTGGCCAACTTGACGGCGGTGGTACCGTCGTCTTTGCGGTTCAACCAGGCAAAGTTCTCATCGTGCGAACACAAGATCAGAGGGAGAACCTCGGACCAACCGGCCATGGCGGCCTCCATACGAATGATATCGGTCAGCTTGTTGACGGGGAGGGGCTGGGCAACGGTGCCAGACTTGCTGGGGAACGAGCGGGGGAGGTTGTTGAAGCCGTAGGCGATGGCGACATCTTCCATGATATCGCACTGGTGAAGGACATCGGCACGGGTGGGAGGAATTTCGACTTCGACGATGTCTGGCTTGGTGGCAGAAGGCTTGGCCCGGAAAGCCATCTTAGACAGCCGGGTGCTGATGTCCTCCGCGGTGAGGTTCAGGCCACAGCATTGGTTGATGTAAGAGACCTCAGCCTCGGCGGTACGGGGAGAAAGGTCGGGAGTGATGCGAGTCTCGTTGTTGTGCTCCGAAACAATCTTGATGGGCTCGATACTGTACATTGAATTAGTATATATCCATAGGACCAAATGTAGGACTCCGCTTACGTGAAAGGCTCCGAGGTATATTGAGAGAACATGGTGACCATCATACGGTTCACGATCTCGAGCTTTGTTCGGTCAAGCGCGGTGATCTCAATGAAGACATTGGTGGTGTTCACAGAAATTTTGGAGTGGTCACCGTTGATAATCGGGGGCAGAGAGCAGACGGTCCGCTTCGAATCATAGATGACGGGGTAAACGGGGGAATCGCGAATAATGTGCAGGAATTTACCCAGCTGTTGGTGTTTCTGTTGCGCGAAATGAGTGAGCATCTGGCAAATACCAAAGAGTGTTAATCCTGCCATACCTCGTAGAAGGTCATCATCTCCTCGCCGTTCATTTCCTGGGTCTGGTTCAACGGGGTGAACTTGATGTCCTTGGGAGGGAGAGCCTCGTAAGTGAATGGCCCTTGAATGGTATCCAAATCATGGGTACCAATCGAGACGAGGGTTCGTTGACGGGCCAGGTTCTGGTGAAGCTTGTCCTGCAGAGCGATGAAGGACTCGTAACGAGCGGTGTCGAACTTGACGTTCCGTAGGATAGCACCGGAGACATAGGGTCGAATCTTGGTGGTCTTTTGTGGTAACTTAGTAAATAAATCACTTACAAACGTCACTACTAATACTGACCTCTTCCTTGACGATGATCTCCTGGAGCTGGCCGTTCGGGGGCGGAACCAACTTATACTCGGGCAAGGGTTTCCGGCCCAAGAAGATATTGAGCATCAATTGGATGCCCTCGAAGCACAGCAAGTCATATCTGTAACCTGTCTTAGTCTCCGCTTCAATGTGTCCTGATAGGGCCGGGCATACCGGTTGGCGGGAATTTCGATCTTAAGCTGCGGGGGCTCCTGCACGCCGTTGACGATGGGCCGGTCGGAATTGGTGGTCTGTAGTTTCTTAGTCGCAAGTTCCAAATGTAGGAGATCGCAGAGGATCATACGTCTTCGTCAAGCTCGATACCTAAGTAAATTGGTCAGCGCAATGCCCCGCAAGAGTTTATCAATGGGATTGACTCACCAAATTCGAAGCACAATTCATCAAATTCCTCCGTGGTATATCTAGAGATTTGTACAATATCAGGTTAGATAATCCGAGGTAAACAAGTTTCCCGAGGGAGTGACATACTCCCGGCCCAACTCCTTGAAGAGAGCGGCCTTGTCGACCGAGATAGTGGGCATGGCGGGGGTAGTTCGCTATGCGATGCGACACAAATCTGGCAGCGAGAAAACTTTTATGTTAGCGGAGGAAGATATGTGGAAACTTCAGGAATAACGGTATTGCCCGTCCATCGAGAGATCAGGGAGTATCGTACCAATTCCGAGTCACCCAAGGGAACACTTAGCGAGGAGAGAGATATGATAATGACTCCGAAACAGAAATTCTACGCGCAAGCCACCACCGCCACATTAATGCCCCCCTCTTTGTGACAGATACTGTATTGTACTGTCACACTTCCATGAAATCTGACCTCATAATGTGGGTTCATGGTGGGAAATGGTCCGTGCCGTGCGGTATGTAAATTACACCCAGCCGCAGTGTTTGATCGCTGAAAGCTCAGAAGTGATTCAAGTCGGTGGAAAACATTCAACGAAAAATAGATCTGAGGTTTTCCGGGGGCTTTCAACCCAAGACAAACTAGCTTTAGGTGATAGGCTATATATCACTTGTCAATTGTCTGGTGTGTCCTTGTCTTCCGCATTTTCCCTGCTTGCTGCTTCACTCCATCCAAATTGGTGGTCTGCGGCCCAAAACCCCACGAAACCTCGCTCCGGCCGCTCTCTCTCCAACTACCACTCTCCCCTACCTATTTTCGATCCACCCCGCGTCAAAACTAACCTACTCTCGGACTCCTCAGTGTCTTGAGTTCATGCCGTCATCCTTCCTTTGATCACCATTAATTTCTACTTCGCTGGGTCGAGCCTATCCCCGATATCAACCCTGCTCTCAGGACTGGGACCTTCCGCCCCGACTCCCCGACACGCCACCTAATACACAATCTACACTGATATCCGTGATGGAGGGCCAAAACGAGAACGATGAGCTTTACCCCATCGCGGTGCTCATTGATGAGCTGAAGGTATCTTAAGGATGAACTCTATGCTCTCCCCCCTCCCTCCGCCGGAGGAGGGGTGAATCTGATGTGTCAAAGCTCACATCCCAATTTCCTAGCACGACGATGTCCTCCTCCGCCTCAATGCTATTCACCGTCTATCTACCATTGCTCTGGCCTTGGGTCCCGAAAGAACCCGAGAAGAGCTCATTCCATTCCTGGATGGTTGGTTTCCATTTACCGACCCCTACCCATCTTGCATGCGCCTAACAGAGTTTATCTTTAGACTCCGTGGAGGATGAAGACGAGGTTTTGACCGCACTCAGCGAAGAGCTAGGCAACTTCACAGAGTATGTCGGAGGACCGGAACACGCGCACGTGCTCCTGTCTCCGTTGGAGAACCTGGCGGCGATTGAGGAGCCTTTGGTTCGGGAAAAGGTCGGTTGAGATAAATTTGAGGCTGGGTGGACGTTTTGCTGATTAATAACGCAGGCTGTCGAATCTCTCAACAAGGTTTGCGAACAGTTGTCCGAGAGCCAAGTTGAAGAACACTTTGTACCCCTGGTCCTCCACCTCTCCAAAGCCGATTGGTTCACCTCCAAGGTCTCAGCAACCGGCCTGTACTGCACACCATACAAGAAAGCCACCGCAACGACGCAGCAGAGCCTTAGACAGCATTTCGGTGCCCTTGTACACGATGAGACCCCCATGGTGCGGCGGCAAGCGGCCAACAACTTGGCCAAGTTCGTCAAGGAGATGCAGACCCCCGTCGTTATCGATGAAATGATACCCCTCTTCCAATATCTTGCAAGTGATGACCAAGACAGCGTTCGCTTGTTGACAGTCGATATCCTCATCGCAATCGCGGAGGAAATCCCCAAGGAACAGCAGCCCAGCCATGGAGTGCTGCTGACTTCGCTGCGGAATTTGTTTGAGGATAAAAGCTGGAGGGTCCGTTACATGGTCGCTGATAGATATGAGAAGGTTTGTGCTCTACATATGACACATTGGAGGTTAATTTTTTTATTTGCATTTGGTACTAATGTTTTTCCAGATCGCCAAAGCAGTGCACGAAGAAGTTATCACACGCGATATGGTACCCGCATTCGTGAAGCTTCTGAAGGATACTGAGGCTGAGGTCCGCACGGCTGTTGCTGGCCAAATTCCTGGTATGTCGTCCGAACCTGTATTTTGCCTCGTGACAGCTATTAATAATTCTATTAGGCTTCTGCAGCTTGATTGACCGCGACACTCTGCTCAACGAGATCATGACCAGCGTTGAAGATCTCGTTTCCGATCAATCTCAGCATGTTCGGGCTTCTCTGGGCACTCAGATCAGCGGCCTTGCACCTATTCTTGGAAAGGAGGAGTTCGTTCTAATACATCTATTTTGAAAATGGCTATACTTTACTAACCTAATCTCTAGAACTATTGCCCATCTTCTTCCTATGTTCCTTTCAATGCTCAAGGATGACTTCCCTGATGTCCGCCTTCACATCATCTCCAAGCTTGAGCAGGTGAACAAAGGTAATCTTATTTTTTGAATAACCCTTTTTTGAACTCGATCTAACTCTGTCTTAGTTATTGGCATTGACCTTCTTTCCCAATCCCTGCTCCCCGCTATTGTTCAGCTGGCTGAGGATAAGCAATGGCGCGTGCGTCTTGCCATCATCGAATACATTCCCCTTCTTGCGAGCCAATTGGGAGTTAAGTTCTTTGATGAGCAGTTGAGTGATCTATGCATGGGTTGGCTAGGTGACACAGTCTTCTCGATCCGAGAGGCTGCCACCCAGAACTTGAAGAAACTTACAGAAGTCTTTGGTGTAGAGTGGTCCAAGGAGTCTATTATTCCCAAGGTGGTCGCCATGGGACAGCATCCCAACTACCTTTACCGCATGACAACATGCTTTGCTATTTCTGTGAGTCTGACATCCATTCTCCACTAAGTTGTCACTCCTGCTAATTCTTACAGACTCTTGCACCGGTTGTCACTCTTGATATCATCGAAACCTCCATCCTTCCCATCCTGGACCGACTGGTGGCGGATGAGATCCCAAACATCCGGTTTAACGTTGCCAAGTCTTACGCTGTTCTTATTGATACCTTGCGCCGCCTTCCAGCTGACAAGACCCTGGTTGAGGTAGAGAAGTCGGGAGAGACCGTCACTCCTTCGCCCCACAGCCAAGAGCTCATTCAGCAAAAGGTTATGCCCAGCTTGGAGAAGCTCCAGGAAGATGACGATGTTGATGTCCGATACTTCGCCACCACTGCGGGTGCTGACCCGGAGGAAGCCATGCAGACCTCTCCTTGAGGAATTTACTGGAAACCTGTGGCTTCCCATGCAAATTGACTTTCTTGCGAGAACATCCAGTGCGCAAAGAAATAACGCAAATACCATTGTGGTTTCCGGGCATGGACATCCTGTCAGCTTAGAGAATAGCCAGCTTTGTGGGATGAGATGTCTTGATGGCGTTTCCTTTTAATGTAGAGGTTTTTTTGATCCATACATAACGGTCTATGCCGGTCCGAGGTAGTCATAAAAGCAACGACGACAGTATTAATTTTTGGTCGGTTAATTCGACACTTCATTCATTAGATTCTAGCACCTGGTCTATAATCTAGTTTCCCATTTATTCTGCTGATTGCTTACTGGGCTAAAGTCGGTTAATATCTCGGTGCCTCCCTCTCCTGTCATATGGCACTATTGAGTAGAATTATCTGACCCCCTTAACACGTAATCGCATTTACCATGAATAAACATACCAGTCACGGTTCTAGGCGCTAACAATGTACTCCAGTAAGCTAGGATGACGGACGAGTCAAATCGCATCATTTGTCAGCGGGCAAGGGACGGCGTCACCCTAAATCCGTTGCACGCGTAAGTCGATGACACTTGGTCAATTCCTTGAACAAAGCTTGCTAATGTTTACACTAGCAATTGCCAAAAAGGAATACCAAGCTTGCCCGTCAGCATTTCCCTCCAGTATGTTTATGTCCTGCTAATTCTGCACTATTTGGGATCCGCGGGTTCTACATCACATTTACAGCAAATAACCCCCATCAAGCGCTTCAGTGCATTGATTGACCTATTGGTCTGGAGATTAGATCTCAATTCATCACTTAATCGAGTCTAGAATCTGGTTTACAACATGGAATCCCCTTGGCCGTGGCATTTCATCACTCTTTCTGAAGAGGAGAAGCTCCATCGCAGGGAGCTCCTGGACATTCGGGGCGCTTTTGCGCAATGGTCCATCATGATTGTCATCATTCTTCTTCGAGTCATCTCCCAAAGCAAGAGGATCTCTCAGACTGAAAGCGGAGCAAAAACACCCCGGGCACCTGTCTCATGGTTGGATCGGCCTCCGGTCGCCGGGTGGCTTGAAACTCGGAGGCAGTATGCCTTGTGTGGCCTTTGGCTATCATGGTTGTTTGGCCTCTGTGTGTGGAATAGTGGCGATGGTAAGTTTACTTTTTTTGCTTCCCTTTGGTTTGCTTGTACAACCCTTGTCAACAGCAGCTTACGTCCCGCAGATTATCTCCACTTGACCAAGGCGCTGGGCCATGTCGCTCTCTCTCAGCTTCCCTTGCAGGTTTTGATGTCGCCCGCAGCATACATATCAACCTCGAAGCCATTTGCAGCATCTATCTTTCCGTTCATCACTTCTGTTCCTCAGAGTACCCTAACCCCATACCACCGGCTTTTTGGTCGTATGGTTATTTCACCTCTGATTTTCGGACATGCCACTCTCTACCTCTTGTTCTTTGTACAGAATAGCCACCCAGAATTTGGCACACTCTTGGCCAAGCGAGTGCGTGATTTCGATGTCCAGTGTGGCCTTCTAGCTCTATCTGCGGCCGTCGCTTTGTTGCTCTTCGTTCGGCCTCGTGGTATTACTCAGAAGGGGGCAGCTCGCTCCGTACAGGATCGGCGACGGTCATTCTATTTGGTACATATTTCGTTGGTTGTTCTGCTGTGTGTTGCAATTTACCTCCATGTTGCCCAGGCGCAAAAGTATATGGTTCAATCATTTGGTGCCTTTGTGTTGAACGGGGTGGGTTCTTGGGTCGCTGTGCGGTGGGGAGGCCGAGTATAGTATTTTTAAGAAAGTATTGTTCCAGTGAATATATCACTGTGAACTGACTACTATGGGGGTTTGGAGGTCTTATGGCCCTATGTATGGATCACCCTCAAGCCTGTCACCACGAACCTTTCCCAGTCCCGACCCTGCGACAGAGAGCCCAGGAGCGTGACGTTGCATATATAGGAAACTCAAGTCCTACTGTTGACCCAAGTACATGGGCAGTAGCATAAATATTTGGCATGGAATTAGCCACGTTTCCAAGACTATATTGATCTATGGGTGCTTCCAAAGTTTGCTGTATCGAGGGGGAAATAAATAAGCGAGATGTTGTTCGGTCTCCACTTGGAAGAACATTAAACAACTTTAGTAAGGGACCAGACCATTTATAGATAACTTAATCTTTGTCTATTGTACGTATGCTTAAAATAGGGGAAACTTCAGTTTAAGTATCTTTGTCCTTGGAAGTTCTAGCCTTTCCCTGCAACAACGGTATCGCTTCCCGATGTATGAATTCGCCCCCTCAGCTTGAGGAGATAGCCTTGGAATCTATTGGCCAAATAAAATAAGCATCATAAGATAACAGCCTTATAGGTTTAAAAAAGCTTGCGCTGGCATCGTACGTGGACAATTATGTCAAGAGTCTTGGCAAGTGGCCCCGGTTTTTTAAAATAATAGGTTTGGCCAGCCTGGACACCTCCAGAATGTAAATGGATCCCTCTCCCTAGACCCCTTTTTCCTTGTCTCTAACCCCCCTCCCCTCCTCCTCAACTTATTGATTCCTCTCCTTCATGCCTTCTCCAGATGGCAGGATGCGACCCCAACGTCTGATCATCCTACTTGCGGTCGTTCTGCTCGCGTGCTTCTCCCTCGTTTACCTCCGGCCTCCGAAAACAACCCCCCAGCCGCCGGTAGAACTCCCTCCCCCCGAACCGATCAAGCATCCTCAACTCCATGCCGGCCAGACCTCGTACACCCCTGAGAAGATTCATCCAATTGCAAACCTAGTTGACAATGCCGAGCAAAACTTTGCCCATGTGCAGTCGCGCCAGTCCGTCACTCTGGCCCAGGCGGTTGAGGAGTACAAGCGTCGCTACAAAATGCACCCGCCTCCCAACTTCGACAAGTGGTTCCAGTTTGCCAAGGCCAAGGGTGTGCAGTTGATTGATGAGTTCGATTCTATCTACCACTCTTTGCTTCCCTTCTGGGCCCTGAAGCCGGCAACTATCCGTGAACGCGCCCGTGAGACGCTCGGTTTCGACAACGCAGTGCTGGGTGTTCTGATTCGTGATGGTAAGGTGACCCTGACCGAAGGAGGCGGCGATGGGAGGAAATGGCAGCGCGATGCCACGGCTGGTATGATGGCCAATTTCGTCCAGTACCTTCCCGACATGGACCTGGTCTTCAATACCCATGATGAGCCTCGCGTCGTGATCCCTGGGGAAGACCTCCACCGTCTTGTCCAGACCGCCACCGACTACGTGATCCCCGCTACTTTCAATGGCAATACACCCACGAACGTATGGTCGCCACGCGCCGCGGACCTGAACAAGGGAGATCGTATCGATGAGGTGCGCACCACTCGTTTCAACCGTTTCGCGCACCAGCCTACATGGACCAACTCGCGCATGTCTTGCCCTGTGGATAGCCCTGCGCGATCGCTCGACGACGATGTGGCCGATAATGGCGACCCGTACGCATATGGAGAACTAGGCTTCATTTACAATGCTACCGCCTTCTCTGATATTTGCCACACCCCGTCCCTTCGATACACCTATGGCTTCTTCGACCGCCCGAATGCCTTTGATGTCGTCCATGACCTGTTTCCTATCTTTTCGCAGAGTAAAATCTCTAGCTTCCAGGATATTCTTTACCCCAGCCCTTGGTACTGGGCCGACAAGGTGCCCTACGATCAGCAAAAGGACTACAGCTGGGAAGCGAAGACGGATCGGATGTACTGGCGTGGGTCTACGACCGGTGGCTTCTCGCGTGCAGGCGGCTGGCGTCGCCAACACCGCCAACAGTTTGTCGACAACGTTAACTCCCTCGGTACAACCAAGATTCTCTCCCGCCAACCGGATAATTTGTGGGCCGCGCAGGAGGTGAAACAGGAGCAATTCCGGGATTCATTCGACGTCAAATTTACCTTCATTGGGCAGTGTGACCCGGATGACTGTCATGCCCAAGAGGAATACTTTGAAGTTGTCAAGGCAGCTGATCAGCAGGATGCATGGGCACACAAATACCTAGTTGATGTGGATGGAAATGCCTTCAGTGGACGATTTTATGCCTTCCTCCACAGCAACAGCTTTGTCTACAAGATCGCCATTTTCCGCGAGTGGCACGACGAGTGGCTCAAGCCTTGGGTGCACTATGCGCCACTCAGCTTGAAGGGTAATGAGTATACAGAAACCATGCGGTATTTCTTGTCGGAGGAGGATGGCCGGAAAACAGCGCCGAGGATCGCAGCTCAGGGCCAGGACTGGGCCCGGAAAGTGCTGCGAAACGAGGACCTGGAGGTCTGGTTCTTCCGTTTGCTCCTAGAGTAAGTCATTCTCCCTACATTGTTTCTGCCAACCTCTAACCTGAATAATAGATACGGCCGTCTCGTGGACGACAATCGAGATAGACTCGGATTCTCGCTGTGAACTGCATGACATCCTCCTCCCTTCCAAGACATCGTTTCTGTATATACCCTAATTTCCCACCCTGTCCCGCATGCTGAACCGAGACATACTCGTGCGGGAACTCGACGAGATAACGGCCTTTTCTTTGTTGTCTTCAATGTTCTAGATGTTATTCCCCCCCCCCCCCCCCCCTTCTTATTTCATCATGCCACTAACCCCATCATGTGTTAATACCCTTTTTTGACGTTGTTTCACTCATAATAATCGCTTCTGCCCAATTGGGGTCTTTTTGTCCCGCCTGATACACTTTTTTTTATCTTATTTTTCATCTGATTGCATGTGAAGATGGACTTGGCGTTTCCTGGAGGATCCGATACATTGAGGCGGATATCACTGTATTTCACCAAAATGCTAGAAAAGCACTCTTATCCAAGCGATTTGCATACAACTGTTTAAGTATTGTAATTCAAAAGATTGATATGTGAAGAGGAGGTTTCGTTGGCTGATTGTCAGGTGGAGACCTAAAGGCTAAAGTGGATGATTAATGGATCCGAGGCCGAGGTTTCCCCTCTGGCGTGAGCATTCTTTGATAAATACAGCTGTCACACCCTGAAACCCCCTCAGACAATCTTTTCACCTTTGTCTATGACCAATTGCTGATCATCGCACCACAATGGCAAACCTCCTAGTCAAGGGCACCATCTGGATGGTGGCCTACACCTATGGTTTCATTTCCATGGTCTTGTACGGCCTCCTAACGGTCCGATTAGGTATATTTTTCAAAAAGCCCACGGAGAAGGATCAGCTAGAACTCCAACTTGGTATGTACAATAGGTCTTCCAGTTCTCAGAGTTTCTTCTAATCTAGCACAGCTCATGACCGCCTGTGGAATCTGTCTAAGGACTATGCTGGACTCTCCCACTATTTCCTGACTCTTCCTACTGGATTCAAGTTTCATTTCCTCAGCAATGATGTCCCCAATTCTCAAGAAGTCTTGGCTTCCAGCAAGCCTTTGGTGATCTTTATTCATGGTTTCCCAGACAGTTGGGCTGTGTGGCGACATATTGTTAGCAACACTGACCTGCAAAAATCTGCTACATTAGTAGCGATTGACATGCCGGGTTATGGTGGCACCCAAGGCGTGAAAAAATACAATGGGACCAACGTCCTGGAGAACATGACCCAGCTTATCATCAATCTGCGAATCCAATACGGCGTTGATAATGCTACGGAAACGAGCAAGAAGAGAACTGTCATCGTTGCCCATGATTGGGGATGCGTTATCGCGATGAGACTAGCGGCTGAAGCACCATCGCTGGCTGACCGTTTCCTCCTGAGCAATGGCCCATTGGTAAGCAAATCCAAAGCGAATCCTCATCCCTTACTGTGTAACCCCAGCTAATTTTCGACTCAGCCAAGCCTGATTAATTCTAATATCCGCCGTATGCTTTCTACTGCACGGAAGATGCTTAACGATGCATGGAACTCTCCACTCAATGCTCGTGCGCCGTTGCGCCAGGCATGGCAAACCCTGGCTCCTTTGAGATACCAGCTCAAAATGTCGGGATATATCTTCGTGATGCAGCTGCCCGTTCCCTTCGCCCGTTTCTTTCTGACAGGCGGCAACCAAGCATTCATGAAGATGGTCCACATCGGTTCGCACGGCAATGCGAAGCCTACTCCTCAAGATCTGGCGAATTCCATGGCCAGCAGCATGGGCCCCTCTCTGGAAGAGTCCAAAACTGAGACTGCGGACGGCGAGACATACCCGAGCACTGTTCGCTTCGACTCCAAGTTTGCCAACGTGATGAATCTCGCCGGCTACTACCGGGACGGTGCGGCGACCAGTTATTGGAAGAAGTCTCTCGAGACAGTGGTTGCTTTAGATAAGCTCGCAGATGGAAAAACTGGGCTCCAGGGAGTCAAGGGAGCCCTCAAGGCCCGTTCGACCATATTTTGGGGCAAGAAAGACATTGCGCTACACACTGCCATCTGTCTGGATGGCATGTCGGATTTCATCCCCAAGGACAGCCAGGTCATTTTGCTCCCCAATTCGGGACATTTCACCCCCATTGAGTCTGAGAGTCGAGCGGCTCTGACGAAGGCGGTTCAGTGGGCCATTGACGGCGAGCAAGGCGACATCGGCGCTGCGTTGGCTACGTCCAGCGTGCAAGTCATTGCCCGGAAGTAATTCGGGCAGAATCTACCTTTGTAGGCATCTCGCGCACTAGAGATTCCTATAATTATCATGTCCGTTGTCCGGAGTCTTTTGTATCACCATGCAGCGTCTGTTACCGGGTGGCGTCCCGCTTTAACCCCCTGGCAACCGTCCCAACCAACCCCCGGCTCCGAACGGGAGGCCAATTTGACCAGCAACGATTAGTTGTTTTCACCCCTTTCTCTGCGAGATACCCCAAAACATTGGATCTGTGAGCAAATTGAACAATTCCAGGTGATTATGCGAATCAATTAAGAGTAACTGGAACGTAGCGCGGGAAAAGTCTCGTGTTGCAACTGCTATAACCTTGGAAGTGGAGCTACTGAACGCGGGTGCTAAAGCTCGGATCACCCGTGTCAGCGAGTGGAGATTCTCCCCGAAATCCACTTTTCCCCTCGATCGCTAGCTCTGAGGAGTTCAACGTTTCCCCTCTTTTTAATTTCATTTCTCTCAAAGTTGGAAGCTTCTCATTTACCCCTGATTGCCACATCGACTAAGAGTCACCTTGCACGACTTCCCCGACAGAATGCTGCAGCGCTTGTGAGAGCAAGTCGTTTTCGTTTTCCTCGAACCTGCGTCCGGTTCAGGTACCACAGTCTCTGTGGTCCGCTAGCTTGTTGAGCAGCGGGACCAGTCCAAACCGTCATTGGAGACAAGTTCGACCAGGATAAATATAACTGTGGGCCAACAGGGGTTTCTTTTGATCGGCCTTTTCCCTCACAATTGCGCGCGTGCTGTTTACTCCCAAGTGCTGGGTCACGTTGAGGCAAGCTTGCCGTCATGGGTTCTGAAAAGAGGGGCGTTTATTGTACGGTCAGTGACGGCGGCTTCCTTTCATCCGAGTTGGAAGAGAAGACGAATCAAGCTTACGTCCATCTATAGCTGCTGCTGAGCGATAACTATTTGCCAGGTAAGCAGCCTTCAAGGTTCCGCCTCGAAAATTGTATTCTGACCTGAGCTTTGCTTAGGTGCTATGGTACTGGCGCATTCATTGCGCGATAATGGAACGACAGCTAAGCTGGTGGCGCTCTTTACACCGAACACACTAAGGTCAGAGACAGTCAATGAGCTCCGGGTATGTTCTTATCGTCACCATACTCGTCTGATTCAAATTAACATATCCATGTGCTCCAGACAGTCTACGACGAGCTCATCCCAGTCCATTCAATCGTGAATGGCAAACCCGCAAACTTATGGCTGATGGACCGACCCGATCTGATTGCGACCTTCACAAAAATTGAGCTCTGGCGCCTGACACAGTACGAACGGATCGTCTATATCGACTGTGACGTAGTGTCTCTTCGTACACCAGACGAGCTATTCGCACTGGACGTGAACTTTGCCGCTGCTCCCGATGTAGGCTGGCCAGATTGTTTCAATAGTGGGCTCATGGTTCTCCGCCCCAATATGCAGGACTATTATTCTCTGAAGGCGCTGGCTGAGCGGGGCATTAGCTTTGATGGAGCCGATCAAGGCTTGTTGAACATGCACTTCCGAGATTGGCATAGGCTGAGCTTCACGTATAATTGCACCCCCAGTGCGAACTATCAGTACATCCCTGCATACAAGCATTTTCAGAGTACGATCAGCTTGATTCACTTCATTGGTTCGCAAAAGCCATGGAACATGCCCAGGCAGGTAGTTCCACTGGACTCGCCATATAACCAGCTGTTGAACAAGTGGTGGTCAGTCTATGATAGACATTACCACTCTCCTTTTGTGAGTATTGTGCTCCCGATGAGGAGCCCAGCTAACAGTGGATTCAGGTCTCCTATTCGCAATCGAAAAGCACTCCACAGACTTCGCAACTCTCAAGCTATCCCCAAACAGCCCATATTGCTGACCAGCCGGAACAAACGGAACAAACCCACCACGAACATTGGCCAGAACCTCATCACTTCCCTCATGCGGAGGATCACAATGTGCTCGGCCAAGTACCGGAGCCGATGAAGGCGTATTATGAACAGCCGCATCATGGTCACCATGTAGCCAGCCAGGATCCCATTACGACCGAGATACCAGTCTTGAGTGCTGTTCCGCAGTATGTTCGCGGAGAAGAACAGTATTCGACTTTCATACCGCCCGTTCCCTATGCTCCCGAGCCGGTGATTCATGGACACCATGAAACCCATGAAGCGGACCCAGAAGCCCAGCAAATGCAGCATGATCATCATCAACACCACCAGCATCATCCTCATCCTCATTCTCATCAGCAGCAGCACGATCACCACCACGATAATTACCACGATCATCACCACGATCATCACCACGATCATCATCATCAACCGCAGCACCACCAGCCATCTGACCAAGCTGAATCTCATATCCATCATCCTCAACCTGTTTCACCTTCGCATGTGGTGGAGAATTGGCAACGAGCCCCTTCGCCTGAGCCAGAAGCTCCACATTTCCAGGCACCAAAGGCAGAATGGGATGCCTCCCGGTAAGGCTGCTTTTTGTTCACCAGTCATTCATCTGAAAGCGGTCCGCTTACACAAGACAGAGAACCACCACCGCTCAATACTAAGCCCGAAGGTATTAGTCTGGAGCAGAAGACATACACCATGTCCGAGGATACCGCGCTATTCCAACCACCTCCATCGTATCCTGAAGCCCCCAAAAATATGTACTACCAAGTTCCCGAATCGAAACCTGAGCCCGACAGGGTTACAAAGATTTTCCCTTGGGAGAATCATGCGCCCAAGCCGACCAGAGTCTTCACAGAGCTGTCTGCTCCTCGTTCACCACCCCCAGAACCGCTTTTACCTACGCTTCCGCAACAGGCTGACCCGGTATCCTTTGAACCTACTCAACCTGAAACCACCCAACCCGAACCCCAGCATTTCCCACCTCAAGCAGTATTCGAGCCATCTGCACAGACTTACGAGCAATACTCCCGTTCCAATGCCTGGGATGAAGACCTGGATATTCAGCGCTACATAGACTCTCTTCAACAAGCTCGCCGTGGAAAGCCTCAGGTATTATCTGGCTCCGTGGAGGCAGGCTCAAGCCATAGCAGGAGTACTAGTATGAGCACAAGCAACTTCTCAACAGCCTCCACAGCCACTACCATCGGTACGACCGCTGGGCACCGGCCAAGCATGAAACTGACCGATTTCCCCACGGAAACCGAACGGCCCAGCCTCCCCGTGACCCCGGCGCCGATCCATCGAGTGCGGGGTCTGGAGGGCGACGATGATACATCCACCCTCCCTACCGCAGAGGGGGTTCCGAACCAGGAGGAATGGGTGGGTGTCACGGTTGATGCGTTCTCTCAACTCCTCCGGGCCACATACTTATTATGGCGATCTACAGAATCCCCTGATCCAGCTCGAAGAGCTCCGCCGTCGACAGTCCGCAGCTTGGGAGGATCCGGAGCTCTTAAGTAGGGAGCTTTCTGGACCTCGGGAATTCAGTTCCTAGCCCGCCGTGGGACGAATAACCGCCCATTCACGATTTCATTTTCATCTTTTTCCACTTTTCCACTTCCGCGGTTTCTTTGGTTCGAATGTGCATGTCCGCGACGTTATTAATCTTGATGACCATCTTCGTACTGAAGCTTTGAATTCCGGTTTGTGCCGATAAGTTTGTTACGCGTTTCCATCGCACATTGTACATTGCATTGCATAAATTAGGTAGTTATCACACCCATATGAACCGTGTTCTCCATATGGCTCCACCTGTCATTCATACGAAAAGGCAATTTCATCCGACATTTCAGTATGTCAGTAAAGCCAGTCATCCAGTCGAGATCACGTCTATCAGAGCTACGCGTCTGGCCCAAACATCAGTGCGATTCATCCGACATCCGAGATTGGACCCCACTAGGCTGGGTGGTTATTGACCTTCCTAATGCGGTAGGGCAGATCCGCCACAGCCAGGATAGCTCGGACGGCTCGAAGTCGACCTAGGGCTCCCGATGCGAAGACCAATAGAACAGTGGCAAAGGAGAAATAAGCAAGAGGCTTATCTCGTGCCCTACATAATGTCTTAACTTAAAATCCCGGGTGAACCGGTGAGAGAAAATTTGGTACGTAGATCTAGGTCAGCCACGCGGAGTAATTGTCAACCACGCGAGGGACTGGATTCGTATTCCGCCCAAACTTTGTTTGATTTTTGCCTCAAAAACTCTATAACGAAGTCTAATTGGAAAATCGAATATTGACATGTTCACTAAAAAGTCATTTTGATTTATGGAGAGCTTCTTTGGTAATCTTTGGTTGAGGAAGAATTATGACAAGTTATGTCTGCCAAGAAACAATGACTATGCCAAGGACATAAATGGGGACAAGATGGCAATGCGGACGATCGTACGCGTGAAGCTCGGGGTGCAAGAGTCCAAGTCCGGAGTCCTTAGGAAGAAAATAGAGCCGACCCGGAACGACTCAATTCCTCTGCGGCACCTTTCCGAAGCCACACCGGTGAACAATAGTAGAGGAGAAACCGAGAAAACTTGATTTCTGACGATTCATGGCAAACAACATTTTCATTCAGATCCTTTACATTTCTATAGAAAAAAAGTGTTTGCCATCACCTCCTCACCCAACAATCATTAGTGAAATGGCTATAGTTGTACCTGCATAGCGCGGCTAGGAACCGCCCAGGGTCAGATCGTTACCTGCAGAAAACTTTATTAGTCAAAGTTAGTGAAGCCGCACCGCTGATTGGTGAACCAGCCGATTCTCGGCCCGGTGTCAGCCCTTCAACCAACCACCATCCAACACGGAATGTTCGGTGGATCTTCCAAAGGCTTCCGAAAACAGTTTTGCCTCTAACGGGGCAAAATCGGCACGCGGAGATTTTGGGGTAATCAAAACTCTAACCCGGGGCCCTTTTAATAAATGCCTCGCGCTGTCCTTATTCATTCCCCATACCCTGCTTGTTGACAACCCCGGAATCCATCTCTCTTCACTACTCAACATGGAGTCCGTCAACATCCAGCCTCCCGCTTACACCAATGACAAGATCGGGGAGGAGCAGAAGTATCAGCAGGACATTGAGGATGATGTCCATGCTATGAAGCATGGTGAGGTCTCGGATGCTTTTGGTAACGAGGAGTATGCCGAGATTAAGTATAAGACTTTGAAGTGGTGGTATGTTCTTCCTTATACTTCGGTTTTGTTGGATATTGCTGATCAGGTTTAGGCAATGTGGTCTTCTTATGATTTGCGAGTCTGTCTCGCTCGGTGTCCTGTCCCTGCCTAGCGCTGTCGCTACCCTTGGCCTGGTTCCCGGTGTCATCCTGATTGTCGGCCTCGGTCTCCTTGCTACCTACACCGGATACAACATTGGTCTCATGCGTGAACGCTACCCCCACATCCAGAACCTAGGAGACGCCGGTGAGATTCTGCTGGGCCGCTTCGGCCGCGAGCTCTTCGGTGGAGGTCAATTCTTGTTCTGTATCTTCGTTATGGGCAGCCACATCCTCACCTTCCGTGTCATGATGAACACCATCACCAACCACGGCACCTGCTCCATCGTCTTCGCCCTGGTCGGCATGCTCATTTCCCTCGTGCTGTCCATTCCCCGTACCATGAAGGGTATGACCTGGATCTCCTTCGCCTCCTTCATCAGTATTTTCAGCGCCGTCATGATCACCATGATCTCCGTTGGTGTCGAAGAACACCCCGGCCGTATTATCCAAGCCACAACCGAACAAACCCTTTACACAGCCTTTCAGGCCGTCTCCAACATCGTTTTCGCCTACTGCGCCCATGTCGCTTTCTTTGGTCTGATCGCCGAGATGGAGACTCCCCAAGATTTCAAGAAGTCCCTCTTCATGCTCCAGGGCTTCGAAATCTCCCTCTACCTAACCGCCGGTGTCGTCATCTACTACTACGTCGGTAGCGAAGTCCCCTCTCCCGCCCTCTCCGCCGCCGGCTCCCTCATGAGTAAGGTTGCCTACGGTATCGCTATCCCTACAATCGTCGGCGCTGGTGTCGTGAACGGCCACATTGGTCTGAAGTACATCTACTTCCGCCTCTGCTCTAAGTCTGGTCTGATCCATCAGAACAACTGGAAGTCCATTAGCATCTGGGTCGGCCTCGGTATCTCCTGCTGGGTCGTTGCCTGGATTATCGCCGAGGCTATCCCCGTCTTCAGTGACTTGAACAGCTTGATCAGTGCTCTGTTCGCTAGTTGGTTCAGCTATGGTCTCAGCGGTATCTACTGGCTGCACTTGAACAAGGGTTCTTGGTTCGCTACGAAGCGTAAGATCGCTTTGTTTGTGCTGAATGTTGGCATTGCTCTCTTCGGTCTTGCTTTGTGTGTGCTTGGTCTGTATGCCTCTGGCACTGCTATCCATGATGACACTAGCACCGCCAGCTTCACCTGCAAGAACACTGACACTTAAGTGCGATGTGTGGGTTTTATTGTATATTTTGAACGTTTACGATCTTGCATTTGCACATAGCATTATTCTTTTTTTGGCATAGCTTGGGCTCTATAGACTGGGGCTTTTATAGATTACTGGTTAATCAAGCACATGTTTTATTATTGACTTTTTTATTTCCATTTGCGTAACCTTAACATTGAAGTTCAGGGTACACCTTGAATGTGTGCATAATCATTCTTCTGAACGTTAATTTTGCAGTACAACTAGATTAAGACGTCTCAGTATCCCCCCAAAAGAATTGAGTCAAGGCTTCGCCTTACTCTCTCATATATTATTGCAACAACTATGCAGTACACCTATATGGGTGCCTGACTAGAATTTACGTGGGTGCGGGACCTCTGGAAGAGTTAATAAAAAGCTAGTGGATTCCATAAGAATAAGTTGTCATTCAATCATAATAGCGTTATGCCTCTAGAAGAAGTCGTGAATGCTTCGAATGTGCAGCCGATCTTTTGCGACCCCGGAGAAAGAATCACCAAACAGAAGAAGAGATGTGCCTAGTACTGTCCAAAGTCAAGACGCTTCCCACGCACAGAATAGAAGTGGGTTTGCTTGATATGTTTTGCTTTGCCAGTTTTCTCATCATAGAGACAAAAGCCCTCCTTAGCTGCGTTAGGTGGTGTGTAAACTAGATGATGTATGAGTGGATATCCCATGCTAAACAAGGAGAAAAGACTCACGATGAAGCGAAATTGCGAAGTTGTTCGGGTCGGGGTTTGATATTCTATGAAGCCCAAGCTTCATGCCAGTCAGCATCGTTGACCTCTGATGAAGTTTATTGGGCATAAGACAAACCTTGTCGGACATGTAAGTAACTTGATTTTCCCCGTAGATAGTCTGCCGGGTAATCTGAGGTGGGGATGTCTCTCCGTGCTCTATCTTCTCTTGATCAGGCCATGAGTACAATGTTTCCTGTAGCTTTCCTTTGAGAATCTGCAAACAGTCAGCGAGGGTCCCGGCTTCACTTGAGCGGCAACCTTACCTTCATGACGCAGTGTGCATTGGCATGATCGTGGATTGCACTGCCCTTTCCTGGACTCCAGACAAGGATTAACTGGAAAGTTGAATTAGCACGGCCATGCGGCAGACCTTGAGACAGATCCATTCATTGGGCTCTGCGTCATCATCATCATACTCACAAGGTTGCTCTTGCCATTTCCCTCATCAATGAGGTTTCGGGTGTAAGATCTGCTGGCATCGCCCAAGGCACAAGATTCCCACTCTTCATACTTGGATACATATTTCTCCATGAGAAGTTCAATATTCTTCGGGTCGACATCATCTGAGTCAAGACCGGAGCTCGGGCCTAGAGCCGCACTGAGATCGTGCACGAGCTTTTCGAATGCATTCAAGCTTTCCTCAGTATCGGGAGGAGTCTCAGACCCATTTTTGAGGAACGGCATTTCTGGTAACGATACTTGAAAATGATAATGTGTTGATATGGCGTGTTGACTGTGGTCTTTGGGTAGAACGTGGAAACCGTTATCGGAGTTTGCAATCAAGCCGGAAATGCCGCTTTACTAGGGGTCCTCGTCCTCTTTCCCCACTGTCATATAATGAGGGGTGACAGCAGTGTGAGACTGAAGCCAATTGAAAGAGCGAAGTCACTTGCAATTGACCATTGAATGGTGAATAACAAGCTTGCACTTCAATCGAATAAAGTTACTTGCCACAAATTTTGGTTCCTGCAGCCGATGAGCTATAAGCGCCTGAGGCATAGATAATATGGCCCGAATTCTCAGGCAGTATATGACATAATTTCCCACTTTTACTGCCTCAGGCCTGCACCCCGCCCTGACTAAAATTCAAAGATTGTGGTCTCCACAACCCTTGGTGCACTTTGTTCGCCACAACTTACGAGTCGCTTTTTTGCAGAGGGAATCTACTCGGTAGAGAGAGCCACCTCTGCGGTATCGACCAGGACCACCCTTTCCCTTCTTTTCTTCGTGCCTGCTGTGATATTCGACCGCCAAAATGTCGACCACAATTGACAAGGTTAGTGCGGGACTCGAATACCTTCACACATTGCGCCCACAACGCTGACGGGATTTATACTGGCTTAGATCAAGGAGGTCGAGTCCGAGATGGCTCGGACTCAGAAGAACAAGAACACCTCTTACCACTTGGGTACGAAAAACCGAATGAATGAACGAGCGAGATTGAATCATGACAATGGACAAGGTTGACAATCGGTGTAGGACAGTTGAAGGCTAAGCTTGCTAAGCTGAAGCGAGAGCTTTTGACCCCATCTAGTGGAGGTGGTGGCGGTGGTGGTGAGTTAAATGGCGAAACTCTATATACTAGATCAATCGCTAATGTGGTTTCTTCTAGCCGGTTTCGATGTTGCTCGCACTGGTGTTGCTAGTGTGTAAGTGTCATGGATATATACTATGTCTGCTGTTATATCGGGCTGCTCACACATTGTTCAGTGGTTTCATTGGTTTCCCTTCTGTCGGAAAAAGTACTCTGATGAGCAGACTCACTGGCCAGCACTCTGAAGGTTTGTTTGGACATATCCTGTCAACTTTCTGTTGCATACTGACTCGCTTCGCAGCTGCCGCTTATGAGTTCACAACCCTTACGACCGTGCCTGGACAGGTCATGTACAACGGAGCCAAAATCCAGATTCTCGATCTCCCCGGTATTATTCAGGGTGCCAAAGACGGCAAGGGTCGTGGTCGTCAGGTTATTGCTGTGGCCAAGACTTGTCATCTCATTTTCATTGTTTTGGATGTGAACAAGCCCTTGGTCGACAAGCGCGTCATCGAGAATGAATTGGAGGGCTTTGGTATCCGGATCAACAAGTCGCCCCCCAACATTAACTTCAAGAAGAAGGAGAAGGGTGGTATTGCGATCACCAGCACTGTTCCCCTGACGAACATTTCCCATGATGTGAGTCCTTGTTCGGTCCGGAGTCCTTGAGAGCAGTCATTAACACTCAGGAACAGGAAATCAAAGCCGTCATGAGCGAGTACAAGATCACTTCTGCCGATATCGCCATTCGATGCGACGCGACTATTGATGATTTGATTGATGTCTTGGAAGCCAAGAGCCGAAGCTACATCCCCGTTGTCTATGCGCTCAACAAGATTGATGCCATTTCTATTGAGGAGTTGGATCTTCTGTACCGGATCCCCAACGCTGTCCCCATCAGTTCCGAGCACGGCTGGAACGTCGACGAATTGCTGGAGATGATGTGGGATAAGCTTAACCTGCGCAGAATCTACACGAAGCCCAAGGGAAGGGCACCTGACTACTCAGCGCCTGTTGTCCTCCGTGCCGGTTCCTGCACGGTGGAAGACTTCGTAAGGGACCTTGAACTTGTCATTCGGTGTGTTTTACTAACAATGCACTCAGTGTAACCAAATTCATCGCACGATCAAGGATCAGTTCAAGCATGCCATTGTGTATGGCCGCTCTGTCAAGCACCAGCCTCAGCGTGTTGGTCTTGCACACGAGCTGGGTGACGAGGATATTGGTGCGTACTTTTGTCTACTCGGAAAGTGAGACAGGGGCAGAATGCTGACGACAGTGGCTTTTAGTGTCTATTGTTAAGCGGTAATGGATTCTACTCCAGTACTCGACCATCACAGCCCGCTGGGCGAGGCGACGAGTCGGTTCAAAACATGCTGGGGGTGGTAGATTGGGCTGAGCCAGAAAATACCTTACCCATGTATCTCCATGCTGACAGGTACGGGCTTCTGGACTGTAGCCATCTTCCCTGTAAGACGCCACGGAACCCAAGTGTGGTTGGATCGCGAGAATCGCTCTCGCACGGACAACCAGGTCCGTCGAATAAGGCCTCTCAGAGTTTTGTTAAGGCTTTGAGAGTGGAGATTGATTGCTGGGCTGTGAGCATGCTTGCATGCACTTGCTTATTCTGATTTTCAATCCCATCCCCTGTCTCAAAGCGTGACCTGAGCCCACGAGGTCCAGTTGGAGAAAAGCCCAAGGGTCAAGGGCCGCAGAGATGGCCTTGTTGACGGTCTTGGCGGGCGCCATGTCTCAATCTTGTTATCCATTTGTTAGTTTGGCCTTTAAAGCGACCGGTCCATATTGTTATGATTACCCATTGATCTTTGGGGAAATTCTTGTCAGCCCAGAAAAAAAAATACAACCCAAAAGTTCTAAATCGTGCATCGTCAAACTATATACTGCATAATTCAGTTACATGTACACATCCCCGTGGCGGCGCCTCGTTCAAGAGAGAATTAAAACTGGGAATTTTAAAATGACGATGAATAGCGTCGACTTTGCTTCTTTTTGGCCCAACGATCATCCCACTTAATATCGACAATCATATTAACGACCAAAATATTAATAATCATGATCTAAGCCACAATTACCCTTCACGGCATCAATATACGACCTGCATTTAATTTTCTCGGCGACAGCCAATGATGCCGCCGGTATATAGTCCTTATCGGCGCGATATCCAGCCCTGGAAAAGACTTACCTCCTCTGCCGTCCTGCACAAACATCCTTGCTAGCTCGAAAATTGGCAACTCCCTGGTCCAGCCCCCATGGACAAACCCCGGTTTCCCCTTTTGCCGATCTACAGATTGCCACGAGTCGTCAGGTCAGCTTGACCTCAGGTCAAAGCTCCGGGGGAATCGATAGCTTCGACCCGACAATTACATACATGTGGAAGGGCCGGGACCCCGTGCACTGACCTACATCCACATGGATCCCCGTGCCAATTCGGCAACGGTGATCATGAAGCTGATCAAGGGGATGCGTATACCCGCAAGCTCCGGGGTAAATCAGCCCGACAAGCAAAAAGGGGATCCGATAGGTTCGGTCAGAAATTGCAGAGAGGGGGTGGAGGACAAAGCAAAAATGATATGTCAACCCAAGGCTAGAGCATCTCGAGTCGAGATTAAAAAATTGGACCTTCAAAAGTACGAGCTCTTCTCTCAAGGATCAGCAAAAACTCACATTTCCGGTTGCCTTCGTGCTGCATTTGAAAGACGGAGCTAGTAGGTCCAGTAGTTCGAGGTTGGAACAAGCGGTGAATCTCGGTTGGAATCGCCATGGACACGGGTTTTATCTGATCAACCCTGGGCCTCGGTGACTGTCGGAGTACGAGAACTCAGGTGCCACAACAGGTGTAGGGTCAGGTCTTTTGCAAGTACCCAATAGGGGCACAGCTTGAGCCCATTTGAATATGAATGGTTGCGGAGAACAGACTTTCTGGCCCCAAGTGGAGTATCGCCAATCGCCGATCTCGCCCAGACCACTCGGGGAGCTGTTCACGATCTGAAGATCGGCAGGATTCACCTGGAAGATGGTGCCTCTTGGGCCGTAAGAATTAATTAGGAAACATCGTAGTCAGCCTGAGCAGAGAGCAAATGTTTCCCATCAGGTGACTGTGGGCGTCCCGATGCCGGGTAGGTGGACTTTCTCGTGGGATCCATCGGTCGCCCCCGTTGCATTGCATTGCATTAGCCGGTTCTGCAATCTTTCCCCGGAGTTAAATGAGGATACAGGTTCATTACTGAGCATTATGTCATCGTCTTGACCAAATAAGGCTGGTTCGTCCTTTAGAGTAGTTCTTGCTTTCCATGGCAAAATGCGATCGACATCAGGAAAACATTGCGCAGTCCGGCCGAAATCCTCCGTTAGGGCAAGTCTACGGAGTGGGAGATTACCGTAATAAGAGGATCGGTACCTGACTCGACCCAACCATCTCATCCTGTTCTAATCCTTGTCCCCTCCATGCATTCTGACCTTGTGTTCCCCGACCAGTCTGTTCCTGAGTCTAACGGTGGAATGCACCTGGGCTTATCCCGCATGGGATACAGAGCGGGAAGGGTAGTGGGCATACAAGAAGCAATTATAGCCAGGTAGCAGAGGCGATTTCAATTCTGACTGGCCTAGACTCATTTCTTCTGCTGCTCCGAGGGATAAAATCTCTACTACGGAGTACAATACGTAGTAAAGCCACGAGTCAAGGCATCATCCACCATTTTCTCCCCCAATGATGGCGTCAGCCCATCAAAGAAATAAAAAAAGAAAACAAAAAAAGGTGAAAAAGCCAAAGGACGCACTAAGAAAGAATTTTCCAGTCAGAAACAATATGACTGGTGCAAAGTAGCAAAAGGAAATAAAAAAGAAGAAAAAAACCCGGCAACAAGCAGGAATGATTGATCTAATCGACGAATCAAAAGCCGCTGTCACCGACGGTTAATTCACAAACATACCGTAAGAAGTAATTTGTCACCTTGTTTCCTTTTTTTTTTGTTCATCCTCAAACATTGAACGATTCTACGCAAAACAAGGAACAGAGTCGATGAGGGCATCTACATGTAGAAATTGAAATTTCTAGTCCAATTCTACATTGGTTCCCTCGTGGGCTTTCGAACAAGCGGGGGAAACGTATAGTTTCTCGTAATCGTGGATGCGACCCAGACCGCATCCAAAGAAATCCAGATCTTGGAATATGGCTAACCGGCTATTCCTTTGCGTTCGGCTCGCGTAATCATCTCCGGTTCATTGTTCCCTCTTCCCACTTCTGTCCTCCCCCGCCTCCGGCGAAGATCCGTGTAAAAAGCTGTTTGATGATCAGGCTATCCGCTCTTGTCATTCTTTACTGAAGGTTCCCGGCTCGGAGAGGACCGCTGTGGGTCGCGCAGGGTAGAAAGTGGAGTCGACAAAAAACGAGGGCTGAGAGTTAGCGCTAAAAAGGCACGATCGCATCATTGGAGAGTTCCCCTCTCTTCGCCGAGAAGCCATCTCTGCCCTGTGATAGGGCCAGCCTCAGCCACCAAGTTCGGCCCTTGTATCGATTCCGTATTGCGCACAAGCGAATGGGCGTGGGGGATTCGCCCATAGGAGAGGAGCTATGCTGCTCCTCATTTGCCTATTTGCCGTGTCATGTCTGATGCATTCAGGAGCCTGGTTTCCCTTTCGAAAAAGAAAATAAGAGAAATATCCAAAATAACCCAAGACTGATCCAAAATCGCCCAAAAGGGCAAAATCAGAAAAAAAGGCCAAAATGAGATCGGCATATCCTTCACAGATCCGTTGCTCAAATACCATCTAGGGATATGCTCTCCTGCTGCTACCCCGATTCTGCCCCTACCTGACCATTTTGATGTGAAGGGGTTGGTCCAGTCATGAGGGAGATCATCTCTTCGACCTTTTCATTCGCAACCTTCATCTCGACCGAGACGAAGCTCCGTGCCCCTGATTATGTCACATGGTATGGATCAGAAACTGGGATGCGACGCTCTTGTTGGCCGCTTTGGTAAACAGACCGTTGGAGGTTTCTATCCTAAAATGGTGGACGGGACGAGACGAGCACCGCCGCAATGAAATTCCACTTGATCGTCCTGTCCTACACGGATGTCATGCGGGCTTTAAGTTCAGCGGTCCAACGATCCGCTATCCGGTTCCTAGCAAATCATTGCGATGATTGACCTGGAACATCGCCTTCTCCGTACATCGTACACGGATGATCTGCCTCTGATTGCCCACCGAGAGTTTTGTGGATTTCCTATAGTTTCACCGACAATGGCGAGTCATGCTGAAGGATTCGACAGCCGTCAAAAAACGGGAACAAACGCATAGTGACTGAATAAGTAATTGAAAAATACAGCTGAACCATGGATCCCCGGACCCCTTATACTAGGGGGACATGGGACCATGGGAATGATTTGGGATGGGTACCCAACAAGTTTGTCCGAACTATACGCAAGTTCAAATCCCGGTCAAACTGAAGAGATCTTGAAGAGATTAGGGGGAAAACGGAATTTAAGAAAAAAAGGAATAATAAAAAAAAAGAACATTTCAAAAAAAGACTCATATAAGACCAGATTACTAGGAAGATCGGACTTCCCGCGTTTGCCCTATTTTATAGAGCCACTGGGCCATACGATACATGACACGGTAATACCTGAACCAGGTACGCAACTAGATGCAACGCCATTATATGGCTCTGGACCAACCAGCCGTTCCCCTCACCATTTTGCAGGGGTATTTTTCGAATTTATTGCTCAACAAAAATTCACTTTAAATTCCCTATTTTTCTTTTCTTAGCCCGAATGGCTTTTTCACGGTATCAGCCAATCACCGTGTAGATCGGCAGTATTCTTCTCGGGGCAGAAGGTTATCAATGGATTTCTCCGGACTCTGTGCCCTTTCGTGCCAGTTGCAATCGAGATTCACGGTCTGTCGAATCCACGCGATTTTTGATCGTCTGAGTACTGGTTTTCTTTTAACTCCGTCCATTGCCTTACCCGCATGCCGCATCTTTCTCCCCTCCCTCCTGCATGTATAATCCCCTTTCGCGCCCTTTCTCTTTATTAGGCGACTAGCTTGCTTCCAAAGACATCTCGTTCTCGCGCGGCAATTCGACTCCCATTCTTATCAGGTCTCCTTTGCCCTCAATTTTATACGGGGTTGGGGTCTCTCTGCGGGTTGTTGTATGTGGAACATGCATTATCTCCCATTGTCTCACCTCTAATCACATTGTTCCCATTGCTCTGGGGGGCTTTATTCCTTTCCTTTGGGTTTCTATTGACCTGGAACCTTGCAGCTCAAAGAACTTCAAAATTCTACCACATTGAGCAATGTCCATGGAGGACTCCGCCATGGAGACCGAGCCCCATGCACCAGAAGGGGAATTCCCACATTCACCCTGGGTTGACTTGGGTCCATTTACCTCCCCTCATAATTCTCCTCCGATGCCTGAATTCAGTGGGTTTGAGTATGGTCCTTCGCCTATTATGGCGGTGGATGGTTACGGCATGTCACTGCCGCCACCTTACACCTCGATGCCACTCCCGATGCCTTCGCATGCTTGGCCCAGCATGCTTACGAACCATTCTCCTTTTCAGGAGGGACTTCCTCCAGTTCCGGCACCTATATCGGTTTCACCTTCTGCGCCCACGCCTCCAGTGCGGAAATCTTCTACCGGAGGAGCTACTCCGCGCAGAACTCTGACCGATGAAGATCGTCGGCAAATGTGTTTATACCACGAAGAACACAAGACCGCAAAGCAAACTGATATTGGAGGTAAGTCTATAAGTACATTGATTTAGAGATTTGTGGGGGCTATTGGGCTGACATTCAGCACACAGCATTATTTGGGGTCGAAAGAAGGTACATGGGTTGCTTCCCCGGTTTCTTAGAGCCACTCTAACATGAATGATTTTAGTACCGTGTCCAAAGTTTTGCGACAGAAAGAAAAGTACTTAAACCCTGATGATGGAAGTCGGTCACCTATTAAACGGGCCAAGGGTCGGGTCCCTGACATTGAGAAGGCCCTATCAAACTGGGCAAGAAACTACCAGCGCGGAGGCTACCCAATCAACGACGAGATGATCCAAGAGAAAGCTCTGTTCTTCGCCAGTACCTGCGGGTGCCCTGAGGGTAAAGATAAAGTGCTCACAGCTGCTTGGTTGGAGCGATTCAAGCAGAAGAACAACCTGATGGGTGCTACGTCACGCAGGGGTTCTCTTGATGCCCGACGAAGCGGGTCCAACAGCCCTACTCGCATCAACACTAATTTCTCTGGTGCGACCAACAGTCCTAAAGCTCACTCTCCCATCTCTCCTACCAATGCATTTGGATCACCAATCTCCCCCGGTCAAAGTCCGGACCGCGTCAAGCGGGAATACGATACAGTCCCTGAACTGTCGGGAGGCTATCTACATGGACATTCGAAAAGCACCACTTCCCTGGATACCTCCTCCAGCGGGATGATCAGTCCCAGCTCAACTTTGGTCTCCGACAGCCCCTTTACACCGACCAGCCAGTCCCGTCTTCCATACTCGGGTAGCAACAACAGCAACAACAATCGACCCCGCAGCTCGACCTTCCCTCTCCCGATCGACCCAACCCTAATCACGGCAGACCACTCGATCGACCGAGACAGCAAGACAGATCCACGAAAAGCTGGACCGGTCGCCATCCTCGAGTCGCCTCTGGAATTCGATGACGAGCAATCCCAAGCATTCAAGGGAAAGGACCCGAGGAAATTGATCAAGCGGAACCGCAGCAACCCCGAAATCACGACGAAGTCCATGCAACCACCGCCCGTGGTGTCCAAATCCGCTACCGTGTCCCCCATCAGTGCGCCTGGATCTCCGACACAAGATGAAGCCCGGCAAGCCTTGGAACTTGTGATGAACTACTTCCAACACCAGCCATCCGGTCTCGCAGCACAGGAGTACGTGACAATCGGCAAGCTGATGGAGCGTCTTGAGCTGGCAAAAAGCCAAGGCTATAATTTCCTCGGTGGTCTTCCTCGAATCGACGAGCATGACGATGGTCCCCGTGTGACCAAGAAACGGAGCATCCACAATCTCGGCTGAGACATCCTTGAGTATCGTTTGCATTGCATTTTTCCTACCGTTCTCGCATCGCATCTACCGCCCACTCTTACTCTCATTTTCTTACCACTATGATTCCCCTGATTTGATGCCCCTGGGTGGCCAATTTGCTTCTCTGTTACGCTTTCTTCACGCTTTTCTTTTACCTTTCGTTACATCTGTATTCCACACGCCGAAATCTGGACCTCGGCGATACTGGACATCCTCAAAAGATCCAGAATCATACACAAATCAGAGGGCGACCTCACACTTGCTTTGAATGGGTTGGATTCGGCGCTGGTACACGCATATGACGGAACTGACGAGTCTCGTCCCGGCTTTGGTACATGAGATATGGCACATGGGTTCGGTTCCGGTATATTACATCTCGATCGTGGCCTTTGGATTGGGCCCTCTCGTGGAGTTTGAATTGTTTTCGGTTTCTTTTCTTTCATATTTGCTTTCCCATACCCCATACCCTTTCCTTGATTTTGTTCTCATATTCTCATTCCATCCTTACGTTTTTGTTTTCCCTTCTTCTTCACTCTCTTTGATTCTTATTTTTTTACCTGGATTTCTAATTTCTTTTTCTTTCGTACTTCTCCGCATTGACTTTCTAAACTGAGCCCGCTCACGCGGAAAGAAGCTGATCCCCTTATATATGGTCCAGCCGGTTGTCAAATTAATCCCTTTTTCTCGTCTGTCTTTCTTATCCTTTGCTGTTTTTCTTTTCGGGTCTAAAGCCGTGATGAGTATGACTACTCTTCGTGTTTTTTACTCGAAGACTTGACACATTATATTATACCCTTCCCCCTGAAATGTCCACTTACGTTCAAGTTACAATCTATTTTATGCGTGATCAAGAACCAAAGTAAATTCAAACTAACCACTTGTAGCCTTGTACAAAAACGTGTCTCATTAAAGTATATCGCTAGGAAAGAAACTTATGTATCATGCAGGAACCGAAAGTGAAATTTAGCATCACGAGGATGTACGTATGCACTTAGAAGCCAGCGGGCACGGGGACAATGCCCCGATCCTCCATGAGATCTGCGACACTGTGCTCAGCCAGTTCAGGGAGGATTCTAGCGAAAACAGTCTCGATAATGGAGTAGACAAGATGTTTGTTACAGTACTCATCCGAGAAGGGATCTAATAGATCGGTCTCGATCGACTGCAAGAGGAACAATTTGTCCGGACCAACCTCGGTCTCGTCATCCATGTCTGTGCGCGATGTCTCAGCGGCAATGAAATCGCCATTTTTGGGCCCTGGCAGGGTAGACGCCGAGGGGTCGTGTGGGAATGAGCATGGTGACGTCCGCTTCGTCCCCTGGGACGACTGGCCCCCACCAGACTCATCGCTTGACACGGGTGGAGACGGAGAAGACGGGGAGGTGGTGAGGGAGGACAAACTCCCAGTGGTGGTGCTGCAGGTACCATCACGTTTGGATGAGGCCGGAACGCCGAAGAAGGTTCGTGCGACACTGGGCGGAATCAGAGCCAGGAGACTAGCTGCACATCGCCGCTTGGTAGTGGCGATCTCGGAATCAGGGAGCGATGATTTTTTCTCCGATCCCGTTGGTGAGTTTGTTGAGTCCTGGATCGCCTCTGCCGTCAATGGAGATGGAGTAGGTCCTGGTAGTACCGCTGGTGCTGCGGGCAGCTGATCATTGACGCCACCACTACTCTGACTGCCACCGTTGCTCCCGCTAGTAGCATGATTGCTGCTACTGCCGACACTACTTTTACCTATTGCCTCGCTACCAGGAATAACCTTGACTTTTTCCGTATGGGGTATTTGGGGAGCTGGTGCCGTGGTGAGGCCTTTCGCACTAAGCGTTAGAGCGGGCACGGACACCTGCGGAGTTGTAGCCGGGGCACCAATGCTACTCGTAGTGGCCGCTACAGCTACTGGGCGGGCATTGGCCGGGAAAAGAGTGGTCCTTGTTGCGAGAAGAAGGTTGGGCAACAAAGTGGGGGGCAGGACGTACTCCTCAATGGTTTCCCGGAGGAATCTAGACAGAGTGGAGTCAGCCAAAGATCTCAAATAATGAATTATGACATCGGCCGAACCGAAGAGACAAAAAGTAAAGTGAAGCGGAATATGGCTCTGTTTTCTTTGTTGCTCTCTCGACTGTGGAGCTTTGCCGGGACGTTAAGCCGCGGTCATGTATTTTTTTTTTTTTTCTTTCGATCCCACCGCCAGAAAGAGCTTCGGTTTGACCCCAATTTACTAGGGTGAGAGCGAAGTGGAGTGGGTAGGCGGAGCATGATCGGCTTAGTGGATGTGAGCTGGGAGCTTGGGCCATTTATCTGGTGTGTAACAGGGATGTCACTCCTAGAAACCTCAAGGCGACCAGCAAGTAAGGAAAAAAACAAGGCGAGATGCGGGCCCTGCCTCATTCTTTTTTTTTTCTTGGTCTATGGCTGTGCCTTTTCTTTGCCTAGTTCCCTTTCCCCTCTCTTTCAGGCGGGTAAGATCCCGGTAGCGTGCCTGGCCCTGGCACCAACCTGCGGGCTTCATGCGCCTGCCTCGGTCAGGATGCGAATTCGAAATCTCGCTACCAGGAATTTCGCTGATTGGACCCAGGCAAAGAAATTCACTAGCCTCGACGAATATATTTTTTTTTCATGCAGGCTCTCGAAAGGGCATGGTCATTCATCGCCCACCGATGAAGGATCGGCATCAGACGATTTCTGCTCGTGCATGCGATTTGCCCCGTCCGGCCGAAGTAAAGTTTGAACATCCTTCGGCAGCCAGGAACTTTCTCTGTTGGCGTTCTTTTCTTTTTTCTGCGTTTTCCTGTTTGTTTTGATTCCTTTTGCAGATCGCAACTTCGAGGAAATGAACGGATTTCGGCAGTAGTTCGAGATCCAGCGTACGAAATGCGGCACGGAAAGGGCCGGGCCCCGGCGCTATCACGACAGAAAAATGAGACGCAGGAAGTAGACCCAGAAAAGGAACCCTGCACGCAAATCGATGCTCGGACCAAGTTGCAACTGGCCAATCATAAACCAGAGTCGCTCCGTCAGCATGACGGTAATGACCGTACCAGCAAGTAAGAGCCACCGTATATTACCATCACCGTTTCGTATGCAATTTTTCTTACAGGATCAAGTGATCGCAACTGCATGCGAGCAAGACGCTTCTTCGTCCCACCATGACTTGCACAAGTGGCACTTGACCCTCGAAGATCGTGGTTCAGAGATCGTTGTAGCTCCACAGTCGAGAGTTCATGCGGTCTCGGGAGGCCCGAGCCCGGAGGGATAAAACAAGAAAAGATACAGGAAAATGCTCCGGATGGAAATAGACTCACCTGTCAAGGACTCCGTCCGTGTCACCAATCCGACCTGGCCCGGCCAGGATCAGGTGCTGGATAAGAGCAAGAAGCCCAGAAAGCCACGGCATTCTTCGGGACATCCCAAATAACTGCGAAGCCATCGAGACCACTCGATAGTCGAGAACAGGGCGCTTATTGGTGATATCGTCTGACAAGAAGGACTTGATGCCCTCCTTGGGAAGCTCTGGCGTTGCAACGGGAAATGAAACACCGGCTCCGTGCGAGGATCCTGGCCCTGGATTCGATGCGACGCGGAATAGGCCCGTCGCAATGAAACGCAAGGCAACGTAACAAACATAGATAATTTGGAGAACGTTCCATATCCAGACTGTAACCTGCGATTGGCTGATTGGTTGCGGACTGACAGGCTCGTCGTTGGTTGATAGTAGACCATATTTCTCTAGTCGATTCGTAGGGGCAGCGCTCGTGGAGCCCGTATTCTCAGAGCTTTTACGTTGTCTCATTATCTCCGTGAGCTTAATGGTGACTTCATAGAGGAACACTCCTTCACAGATTCTATCCCCAACTGCTTTGCCCAGGATCAAGTCTGCCAGAATGTCTCCGACTAATGTGCGAAGGCTACCATTTTCCAGGTCATCCGTAGGTAGCAAAATTGCCAAAGTGCCTTGGACGAGTAGTTGTCGGTATACTGCCTCATTCTCAGACTGCGCGTTAATTGTATCAGGATCTGCAAAATCAGGGACTGGGGATAAGCCAGGATGGGGATTCATCTCATGGTAGAGCGCTCTATGTGACGTTGTCAATCCAGATAGATGAGATCGTTGCTTGGCTAATCTGTAGGCTATAAAAAGTTGCCGTTGAAGTTAGAAATTGCCTTTTTATCTCCCTCCGCTAGGACTCAATACTGAGACAGTCGGGTCTTACAGGTTATATGTGCTTCCACCAATGCTGGAATCTCATCCAGGATCAACTGTCCAGCATTGATTTTCCGGATTCTCTGTTCCAAAGCTCGGGTGCAGTGTGCAATGACGTGTAGGACCTCATTTACGAATGTCTGATCCGGGGTGATCTTCGAGTACCACGAATAGACAAACTCTTTCATTATAATGGCCAAAATCGCATAGAGTTGACGATCAACGTCATTGGAGCTCGTGAGGGGAGGTAACAGCTCTTCTGGAGGCTGTGGAGAGGAGGCGCCATGGTTGCTTGCCTGAGGGCAGAGCACGCGTCGAATGAGAGCAAGGGTGGCTTTTTCGCTTCCAGCATCTATTGCTTCATCTCGATGAGAAGCTCTTTGGGTCCTCAACCGAGAAGATGGACGTGTCACAGACGGCTGAATCGGAGAAGGCAAGGCGGTGGATCTGGAGCTGGAGGTTGTTGGTCCAGCTTTGAGGTGGGAGACCGGTTGCAGACCGGGGCGGAGAAGGTCGGTCATGGCATCGCAGATGCGCAAGCCGTCTTTGAGTTTATTTCAGGGAAGTTGACAGAATTCCAGGGGTTCAACCCTTCTGGATGGAAGCAAACGACAGCTTGTCGCGAAGTTAACGATTTGGAATTTCCATATCGGGAATATAGGGCTTAGGGCAGGAGATAGGAAGCTTATCAGCATGCGGGGAGATATGTTGTTACCCCAACTCCATTGTGAGCCCCTTTGACTCATCAACTCTCCCCTTGGGCACTTTAGCAATGACGGTTAATGTTGGATATGAGACTCGGACCCCACTCTGGCTTGACTGCGACCCTGGTGAGTGAATCATTCTTTCATGCCTCAGAGTTTACTAAATTAACTCTCATCAGGCCATGATGTAAGTCTTGTTCCTATCCACAACTACAAGATACTAAAAGGCGTATCTACAGGATGCGTTCGCAATTCTGATTGCTGCTCTACACCCTGCTTTGGAGCTACTTGGAATCACAACCATTCATGGCAATGCCTCTCTAGCAAAGACTACCGCGAATGCTGGGAGTATTCTGGAAGCCATCGGCCGCCCAGAGGTTCCTGTGTATCCGGGAAGCGGAAAGCCTTTCTCACGGCCCGCTCTTCATGCCCCAGACATTCATGGTAAGCCCAGTTCAAGCAGGAAAGGAATATATGCAATGTTGACCTTATCGGATAGGTGAATCGGGCCTTGATGGAACAGACCTTCTTCCTAAGGCCTCCGTGGCACCAATTACAGATAAGAACCCGATCTTAGCTATGCGGGATGCACTTTTAGCTCAACCTAAAGGTACTCCGTGGGTTGTAGCCACTGGTACTTTGACTAATGTTGCTCTGTTATTTGCAACGTTTCCTGAGGTTGTGGATCACATCGCTGGCCTGAGTATCATGGGAGGTGCCGTCGGCAATGGGTTCACAGATGCTCCTATGAGCAGGCTGCCAGGTGAAAAATCACGTATTGGAAATGTGACTCCCTGGGCTGAGTTCAATCTTTATGTTGGTTATCTACATTCATGTGCACGAGGACAACTGCTAATTCACCCTCAAAGTGCGATCCCGAATCCTCGGAGGCAATTTTCAGCAATCCTCCATTGGCAGCCAAGACAGCTATAATGAGCTTGGACTTGACTCACCAAGTGCTTGCCTCGCCGGAAATTCAAACCCGCATTTTGCATGGTGGCAAAGACGCATCTGAAGAACCGACAGTTATTCGACAAATCCTACATGCTCTTCTGCTCTTCTTTGCGGGAACGTATGAGAAGGTCTTTGGTTTGTCTACTGGTCCGCCACTGCATGATCCTCTAGCGGTGGCCGTGATACTGTCAAACCTTAACCCAGCTTTCGCACAGAAACATCCAGACCAAGTTATCAAATTTGATGATAAAGGAGGCGAAAGATTCGCTGTCAGTATTGTCACTGATGGTCAGCACGGTCAAGATGTGTCTACCACAGGCCAACTGGGACGCTCGTTGGCTGCTCCAGTCGAGGGACCTGGTGTTGCTATTCCCCGTGGTGTCGACCTTGAGGCATTCTGGAACTTGATTCTGGAGTGTGTGCAGCTCGCCGACGACAGCAATGCAGCTCGTGGAAAATAAGTACTTGAACGCTTGTGTTGAATTTAGATTTGTGGATCTGCTAGACCTGGGAGGGGCACTCATTGCACATAGTACCGACCTGCACTACCCGTGGCCCCGAGATTTTTGATGGCTACATAATTAGAATATAGAGTGGGAGCTATGTAGATTCCTTGCAATTTAATTGACAATAAGTTCAGCACCAGTTCGTATAGCGTCGTAATTCCAGGGCTCCACCTCGGGTAAGTTCTTCATCATAGGTATATCTAGTGGCAGCCTTGGCTGCTTGCCCAGTCCCGACTTTAAGGGTCACCACGAACCAGGCATATATGGAGATGCTGACCGAGCCCCCGGGCTTTTTGAAGCAGCGGGTATAACAGGAGGATTGAATGCCAGGACAGAGCTGAGGCCTTTTAGTGTTCAATTAATTGAAATTTTATAAGTTTCTTCGCCACGCCATTCTAGAATGTTGAGGCAGCTCCTTTGCGATGGATATCGATTGCTTGGAGTTCGTTGGCATTAGCGTAGGAATGCATATAATGGCGCCAAGCCTCATCCATAACGGCTATTCTAATGCACGAGCTAGATTTTGACTTGATGTGTCGCACACTTAAACCCAGTGTTGTTTACTTTAAAAGTATATAGAAGGAGTTCCAAGGTTCTATCCATGGATCATATATGGTTACCTGTGTTAGTATTGTCTAAGTGGAACAATGAACAATCAGTTTTGTTCCGATTGTGATTATTATCAACGGTCAGGAGATGTGGCGTCGTTAGTCCTCTTACTATACGATGTTGATCGGGCCACTCCAATCTGGAAAAGAAGAAAGAGAAAATAGGAGATCTTTATTCCCCAGAAATGTGGAAATCCATTCCAAGGTTCAGTGGTTGAAGGTGGCAACAGTTTTTTGTGTCGCGTCGGCAGAATACAACCAAACGTCATTCAACCTACATCTCTCCACATTTTCAGAGTTGCGCCGGTTGAACACTCTCCCCTTCTGACTTGATCAAAATTTAGTGTTTCTCATTGATTTGGGCTCTTCGTATTGTCATCTTGTCTTCCCGCTCCCTTACCGCGGAATCCGGCCCAGTGAGGAGATGCCGCCTCCCAACTCGGCATCAGTATGTTCTCCGCGACATCCCACACTCCACCCCTGGCCTATCCCATAAATCCCATGCCGGTATCGCGAACTGCGCGCTAACCCTAGATATTATAGCACGGCACTCCAACGTTGTCCCCGACGACGCCGGCACCTGATTCGTCATCGCACCTTGACCACTGGGATTTCGATACCGTCGCCGTGGAGAGCGGTAACGCCCACGACGAGAATGTAAACTTTCTTCGTTCTCGCGCCCTACTGTATAATTCACATAATCCGTCGTCACCCGCCCTTACCCGACTTCGTCATCGCCGGTACCCTCCATCCTACTCGCAGCCGATGGAAGACGAAGAGGATCGCATGGAGGTGGATGATCCCAATGTATCAGTCGAGATAACCCATCGCATCCCTATTGTACGTCGTCCACACGGAGATTCCACTTCAGCCAGTATGCCCACCTACGAGGGCCGCCGATCAAATCCCCGATCGCTCTATGGATGGGCGCCCGGGTCAGATGATGAGGACGAGGACATTCGCCGTGCCAACGAATCAGAAGACGACCAGATCCAGCCCTTCCTCCATGCCATCTCAGACCGCAGTACGTCATCAAGTCGACCCCGGCGACGTGAACCGACTGGTCGCACCCCGCCCACCAACGCTACGGACAGAGAGGAAACACCTGAAAGGGAAAATCCGTCTCGGAATCCCCCGATCTCGACGATGGAGGCCCTGTTGCAGTCGGCAAGGCGACAACCCCGGTTATCACGAACCCGCACGCTGGAGAATTACCTTTTGGACAGATATAGCCGGGCCAACGACGAGTCAGAAGAGACCGAGCGACCGGGAGTGGGTTCATCCTCGTCCCGGGCATACCGATACCGACCCACGAATCGAGGTGACCCCCATCGGATCCTCACCCACAGTGATTTGCGTGCTCGGGCTGCCGCACACCGGCAGCTATACTCAGGAAGCCCTGGGGACTCGCTTTTGAAGGATACAATCAGCTACCTCGATTATTTGCGCTATTCCAACTCCGTTGAGGAGAGTATCAGCTCGGCTCACGCAAGGGGTTTCCTGTCACCTGAGAACTTCTCTAGCGATTTCATTCTCGATACAAGCACCATCGCCCCACCAGCAGCCTCTTCTTGGCTCCAGCCCGGCGTTGTCTTCACTGGTTGCCAAAGGGCTGCAAATGCAGGCTGCTCGGTCATGTCCGCGCGAATACCAAGTCCGAATGCACCAAGTGAACCTGTCATTGTCAATGGAAGCGATAGCAACGCTCGGATTACTGTGTCCACGACCAGTGGACGGCGATATCAAGCTAACACTCGCGACGAGAACTGGCCCGTTAAGGTCACGATTCACCATATCAACTACCACGAAATGACCCTCTCTGGCACAATGGAGGCCTACAACATTCCCGACAAGACTTCTCCGACTCAAGATGCCCATATCGTGACGTTTTTGGAAGGAGAAATTATTGACTTCAACCAACATACCCTCGAGACAAAGAACTTCAAAGCAGATGCGGACACTGACTCCACCTATTGGCGAGAGCTCCAGCCATTTAAGGACCTGTCTGATGCCGACATAGCCAAGAATCTTGTTAGCCGTACATGGGTTACCGAGAAACTCACGCAAGGGTGGATCTTGATGCGATGGAAGGGTAGGTTTCACAAGACCCCGTATGTTTCCCTTCTAAAAGTCTTACTAACGTGCAATAGAACGGTGTTTCATCACCCCGACAGATTCGCGTCAAGGCCTTACTATCTCTGGCTTTTACTATATTTCTCTTTGTCGAGAAACTGGTCATATCGAGGGTCTCTACTACGATCCGGGAAGCTCCCCCTATCAGCAACTCTCTTTAAAACCGGAAAGTGCCATGATGACTCGTCCGTCTTATTCTTTCCGGTAGGTGGAGCCGATGCGGTGCCAATTCCAACGCCAAGTCGGTTGCCAGCACTGGGCTCACTTTTGTCGGTGGCGCTCTCATTGAGCGGTGCTAAGTCATCCTCCGGCTCCGGTCACCCGTTGGTTTTGAGGGCGTTGATTGCTGTCTTTTGCGGGCGTTTGAACAATTTGGGATCATATTTCATTTTATCACTTTTGCATAGCAGGATGGTGTTACATTTTGATTTTCCTGCAGTACATTTAAGGAACAGTTCGAACTGGGTGGTTATTGGAAAAGCCGCTTTTCTCTACTAATAGGCGTGCTTATCTCCATTGTAATTACTCACTAGTCCCGCAAAGCTCAAATGTAATGAGAACCCACATCTTCTCAAGTTACAGATGCGGGGATGGTACCAATGTCGCACGAATAGTATGTTCAATGAGGTATAGCTGTGATGATCATTGCATGGATAACCCAGTTCCGCATGGACTTACCCGATCTTGCATCTTGGAACATGCGGATCTAGTAGAGGTTACATGACCCTGTCGATCCTAGGCATCTATGTACCTACTGTATGCAGTATTCAAATAGGTCTCCACATCCGTGCAGCACACTATGCGACAGTATTTATTACGACATTTTCACCCTTGGATTTCATTCCAAAACACACTGTCTGGACATTCTTCAGCGCTATGCATTTACCTCATCTATCCGTCTTGGCGGCCTTGGCTAGTTGCTCTATTCCAGCTGCTGCCTACGTGCCACACCAGTCGAGAGATCAGGGGAAATGCAAGAAGACGACTGTTGCTATTCTGTAAGCACCGGCTGGGATTTGGCTTCCCTATTCCTGACTCGGAGCTAATAATCTGGAGGGGAGGTGGAGTTGCAGGCATTACCGCGGCTGTGAGTTATTCCCACAACTTCTACTGTGGATCCTGTTAGCTTCTTATCTAACCGTTCGCAGCAAGCTCTTTCTAATGCCTCGGTCCATGACTTTGCCATCCTGGAGTACCGGGACACAATCGGAGGCCGAGCTTGGCACAAACCTTTTGGCAAAGATCCGAAGACTGGAAACCCTTATACAATTGAGATGGGCGCAAATTGGGCATGTTGAACTACACTGGGCGTATGATCTTCACACTAATGATCTATTCGTCCAGGTGCAAGGTCTTGGGAATCCAGGCGGTCCCCAAAACCCCATATGGACTCTGGTACGTATAAGACAGGCCCGACCGTCACTGAAGCATAAAGTAATGGGTTTAGTAGGCCCAAAAATATAATCTGAAGACTTATTACTCCGACTATGATAATGTTTCGACCTACAATGAAAATGGATACTCAGATTATAGCCATCTGTTGACTGAATATGACAATGCCTATGATATTGCCAATCAGAAGGCCGGTGAAATTCTTTCTAGGAATCTTCAGGATCAGACGGCTCAATCTGGCCTGGCCCTAGCGGGTTGGAGCCCGGGTAAGCATGATATGGAGGCACAGGCCGTTGACTGGTGGAAATGGGGTAGGTTTTCGTGGATTCACCTGCTTAAATTTGTTTCATGGGCTTATTTGTCTTCTGCCAGACTTTGAGGATAACTTCAACCCACTGGAGAGCTCTCTGGTTTTTGGCTGTGCTGGCGATAACCTAACCTCTAACGTCTTCAGTGATCACGATAATTTCGTGACTGACCAGCGCGGATTCAACACTATATTCAAAGGAGAGGCTGCCACATTTCTCAAGCAGGATGACCCGCGACTGTATCTCAATACACAGATCACGGAAATCTCATACTCTGATGATGGAGTCACAATACACAACAAGGATGGCAGCTGCATCACCGCAGCATATGCCATCTGTACATTCTCTCTAGGCGTCTTACAAAGCGATGAAGTCAAATTCACACCTGCACTCCCTGAATGGAAACAAACCGCCATCCAGAAATTCACAATGGGCACCTACACCAAGATTTTCATGCAATTTAACGAAACCTTCTGGCCAACCAACACTCAGTATTTCCTCTATGCTGACCCAAGCCTCCGAGGCTGGTACCCCATATTCCAATCCCTCTCCATGCCACAGTTTCTCCCAGACTCTAACATCCTCTTCGTGACGGTGACAAACGAGTTTTCCTGGCGTGCAGAACGCCAATCAGACGAGCAAACCAAGAAAGAAATAATGGACGTCTTACGCAAGATGTTCCCAGAAAAGACAATCCCCGAGCCAACAGCCTTTCTCTATCCACGCTGGAGCACAGAGCCCTGGGCACACGGTAGCTACTCCAACTGGCCTCCAGCGACGACGCTAGAGATGCACGAGAATTTGCGTGCCAACACGGGTCGGCTCTGGTTTGCGGGCGAGGCCACTAGCCCCACCTACTTCGGTTTCTTGCATGGTGCTTGGTTCGAGGGCCGGGATGCGGGCCGACAGATTGCCGGTATTTTGCAAGATCGGTGCATTCATGCTAACTCGACTAAGTTGAGGGAATGTGGGGCTAGGAGGCATTATGAGGTTTTGCATGGGACTTCGCCTTTTGCTGATTACTCGGCTGTGAACGGGTGGACTGCGAATAGCTTCTATGATAGTAATTCGGATTAGTGAGTCGAGTGGACATTGTCGGAATCGGGTGTATCTTGATTACATATGGTCATTGTTGATTATTTGACTCAGCAACCTGTATCTTCAATTCAATTCATCTTGACATGCATTGATCCCGAGATCGAACCACTATCTCGCATTCGGATTTTCGGAGTAAGCGATCGGAGCCGACCGATATCCGAGTATGAGATAGCAGATCACCGCTTCTCTTCTATTTATACTTCAGAATTCTCCATGTTCACCAAAGCAGCTATTTGAATCTCAAGTCCAACCAGCGCTCAGAAAACATGCCATCCGAAGATCATGAACTCGATGCCGACATCATCGGGGCCATTGGCCCAACCGACATTGAAGTGGCTCCAGCCAGCCATCCCAGCAAAACAGAGGACCCATTCCTAGTAGCATTTGCAGTCCCCTTCGACCCAGACAACCCCAAGGATTGGCGATCAGGTCGGAAATGGGCCGTCACTGACGTGCTCTCCGCGACTGGCTTCAACCGCATCATGGTATCCACTATCATGGCCCCGGCTTTATCGACAATAGCCAAAGAATTCGATATGAATTCTGCTGAGTCGGCTATGGCATTATCGATTTACCTGCTAGCCACTGCATTTGGTCCCCTGGCTATCGGACCTTTGTCGGAAGTATATGGTCGGAAGCCAATTCTACATGCATCGAATATCTGGTTCATGATCTGGAATATTGCGTGTGGATTTGCGACTAGTAAGGAATTGCTAATTGCATCAAGATTCTTGGCGGGCTTCGGTGCTAGTGCTATCTATTCGCTAGCTAATGGGGTCCTCGGTGATGTGTGGCGGCCAGAGCAGCGTGGTCGTTCTTTGGGCATTTATCTGCTTATACCTCTTCTGGGTGCAGCTGTCGGTTTGTGTTCCTGATCGTGATATCTTGGGGAAAAGATCTATTTTGCTAATCTGTAGCATAGGTCCAATCATTGGAGGCTTCATGGCAGAGCGCACTACCTGGCGCTGGATGTTCTGGTCAACATCTATCTTTCAAGCTGTGATGATCGTGGTTTCATTCACTTCTTTCCACGAGACATACGAGCCGTTGATCCTGCATCGTCGGGCGCAGCGTCTTCGACGTGAGACAGGTGATTCCCGGTACTACACCGCAGATGAACGTCTCAACGCAAACAGATCACCCACCAGGATTTTGGGAAGAGCGCTGGTCCGTCCACTTCGGCTTTTGACCTTCCACCCCATTATTCAGATTGCCTCGCTCATCTCCGCTTTTTATTATGGTATTTTATACATTGTGCTATCTACTTTCTCCGATCTATGGACTAAGCAATACAACGAGTCTATTGAGATCAGCGGGTTGCACTACATTGCGGTTGCATTTGGTGAAATTGCAGGTAGCCAGATCTGTGCAAAAATGATGGATGGCCTGTATCATAGACTCAAAGCCCGCGCCAATGGTGAGCACAGTCCGGAGCTTCGCACACCTTCTATCTTCCCAGGAGCGTTCCTTGGTCCATTGGGTCTGTTCCTTTACGGATGGGCAGCCCATTATCGCTTACATTGGATTATCGTTGATATCGGTGTATTCATCACTATGCTTGGAATGCAGATTACAAGCATGCCGCTGACGGCATATGTTATGGAGGCATACCCAGAGCACACTGGAAGTGCTGGTGCTGCAAAGCAATTCTTGTGCAGCCTTACAGCTTTTTTGTTCCCGCTTTTTGCGCCGACTATGTACAATGTACTCGGATATGGCTGGGGTAATACCACCATTGGACTTATTGGCTTGTTTGTTGGGCTTCCGGCTCCATTGATTATTTGGTATTATGGTGCTTCGTTGAGGTCTAAGGCAGGAAGAGTACATTAGTCGGTATCCTTGCAAACCAATTCAATATATCACTTTTTGACGCACAAGCTCCCGGCATAATTTTTGCTGAACAATTCAATCTTTACTGAAAGAGCTTGCTCTTCCCTCGCAAGGATGGCCCATAGGCTCTGAACACAAGAGGAATTGGAATCATGACCGCGGCTAAGCATCCAAGTAGCGTGCAAGCCCACTGAATTCCCATGTTCTCAAACATTTGCTTGGTGAATAGCGGAAAGCCTGCAGCGACCGATGAGCGCAGTATAATGTTGGCGGCAACAGCAGACGCGGCGCTATAATCACTGGTTAATTTTCTGAAGACTTTAGATTTGCAACGCGGACTCACAGTGAAATATAAGAGTCGACCAGGTAATTGAAGCACGGAAGAAAGACGCACAGAACTCCAAATCCAATGAAAACTCCCGCTGCAGTGGGAACAGCCCAGTGAATTGCAGGAGTAAAGCTCGTCCAGCCGAACCTAAAAACAGACAAATAAGCGTATGGTCCACCAAATAAAAAGACGTACACTCACCAGAAAATTCCAATTGTAAATACTGGAGCCCCAAGTATAGTGGGAGTTAGTCGCCATTCAGGCACAGGGACATTCTTGTTCTCGGCTAGCTTTCGTGCATAGGTCCCCTGCTGGGAAATGATGAAAGAGCAAGCAATGAGCTGACCTATGATCAAGCCGATGAATGGCAGTCCATCCACTCCGATGTTCATCCCATATGTATGCTGAAAGACATAAGGATAAGCCTCCAGAAGCGCATACACTAGCCCATAGATAAAGGACATGTAGAGGGAGACAAGAAGAATAATCGGCTCGGTGGTCAGCATCTTCAACGGCCGCGTAAAGTACTTCTCCACAAGCTGCATCAAGTCCACCTCAATCTTCTCGTGCTTGGCATGAATCGCCCAGTTGGCAGTCTGCTGGCGTAAATAAGCCGCTTTCGCAACAAGCAAACAAGGGGCATAGGTTTCACGAAGAAAGAAAACCGAAATACACCCATTAACAAAGCTCAGAATGGCCGGTAGATAAAGCGTCCATCGCCATCCCAGGTAGCTCGCTGTAATGAATCCACCGAGAAAAGGCGCTGTGAATGGACCAACAAATACTGTCAAAGCATACAGCGAGATAGCCATCCCCCGATATGTGTTATCGAAGACATCTGCCAGGACGCCGGGAACAACAGTGAGCTGACTCGCACCACACATCCCAGCGAAGAAGCGACAGATTATCAGTGTCTGTATATCTTTGGCTACGGCTGACGCGATTGTGAAAATGCCTCCGCCAAGCATGGCGATGGTTAAAGGCCATTTCCTTCCACGTAGCTCGGAGGCGGGAGCCCATATTAGAGGCCCACATGCAAAGCCAAGGACGTATAGAGATGTGCCAAGTGATCCGACTTCTGAACTGACATTGAATTCTGCGCTGGCTTTGTCGATCCCCGGGGCGAAGATGGCGCTTGTTAATGATACGATGAATGTCCCTGAACAGACTAATATAGCGGGAAAAAGCCTGAGTTTCAAACTTCTCGTGAGCGATTGCAAAGTCAAGGCTTTAGAGGAAAACAAACACACTTGGCAGATAGTCTCCAGTTGTAAGGATGTGTCGGGTCATCGGGGCCATTGAATTCAACGACATAGGCTTCGAGGTTAGGAGGTGGAGGCGGAAAAGTTTCTTCCAGTCGTAAAGATGACTTCTCATTCATGGTACCTGGCTGCATCACGGATTCCTTTCCCGTATTTGACTCGGTCGGTGGCATATTGTAGAAATGTTGTACGTGTTTGAAGTAGAAGGCTCTTTAAGACAAGGATGGAGGTGGCATCACAACTAAATTGTTAGGAATCTCTGTTGTCGATTCCGCAATAGCTGATGTCTTTAAAATTAATGGCTATTACGGATGTTTTGCGGGATGAACGGTGTCTATTATGATGTTATCAAACTGGGGCCGCAATTCCCGCAAGAGCCGCAATCGCGATGTTGGATTCGCCACAATAAGTACCGAAACCCCATACAAGACTCTTCACTTTGAAACAAATAAAAGAGTGAAAACACTATATATAAATCTCCAATCATTAGATGGAACCACCTGAAAAGGAAGACGTATCCATCATATCTGCGTTCAAAAATTGGTCAAGGTCTATCCTTTGTAGACCGGGGAGATCAGCGACGAGCGCTCCAAGCCACGAGTATTCCTCAGAATTGGGGTTGAGCTGCGGGGGAGACTCTATCAGTCTATTTTGCTGGTGAACATTGAGTGCCTCTCCCAATATAGTTATATCATCTTTTCTGCGTTGCTGATGCAATAAAACCAACAGACAGGCTGTGCTATAGGCTTCTGCCAAAGCTTCCGTATCGTAGGTAGATGCCACCAAACCCAGGGTGCGCATTGCCTCGGGAAGTATAGCTAGCGATGGTCGAGTGTCCATCGTCAGGAGAACACAAATGATTTGAAAAGGCACATTTGCGACCTGATGCCATGGTGAGCAATCTAGCACCATACTGCTAGCACAGCCGAGTCCCTTCTTCAATAGAATTAAAACTCGGTCGGCTAGACTTGAGGAGATATCCAAGTTCTGCATATGGATTCGTCGAAGAATGCAAAGTGCGAGATTGCATTGTGCGAGAACCGATGGAGGCTGTGTATGTGTTCCGTCCAGAAGCTTCGCTAGAGTCGACGTGAGATCGGTCTCATCTTTTGCTCTCCCTGGATCAAGGCTAATTGAAATGGGTAAAAGACCAAGAATTTCATCGGTATAGTCACCTGGTTTAGGTGATGGAGGTAGTGGTAGGTCGCTCTTTTGGAACGATACTCGTGAAAGGCCCAGGTCGAATGAGGTCCATATATTCAAGTGATGCGCAACACCAACCAGTCGTCTCCGAATATCGGGGTCGCATTGAGCACTGTGAGGAAGGACTGAGTTTTCAGGTGTCTCGGGGTGAAGGCCTGCGGCCTCGAGCAGATGCATAAGGGTTGAGCTAGCTATCCAAGTCGAATATGGTGAATCTGTTAGACGAAGGTAGATAGATCTCAGTGCCCATCCAGTTAAGAGATCGATGGATGGAGGACCACTCAGGTGGTGCATATTCAAGCAGCAGTTGGCCGTTCGCACCAAGTGCAGTTCCGTGACTGTGGCATTTCTTTGGGAGAATAGACAACCAATTGCGGCAACCCCCGATAAAACGCTCTCGTAAATATCGGGGATGAGTGGTGATAGCCAGCGTGCGTTCAGTCTCTCGAAGAAATTTCGACGATCGATAAACCCATAGCATGGATCCACTTTATCAAAGTACACTTGCGCCAAAGATTTTATGTGTTCAAGCGACGTGATCTCAATGATCGAAAGTGCAGAAGTGGGGATATCTTGAGTCGACAATTTCCGAGTTCCAATATTCCACCCAAAGAGATTGAGCTTCGGTGCCTTTGCAGGATCAATCTTGAGGCCAAGCTTCCTCACAAAAGCTGCCCCGGAATTGGCCTCTAAGCGCCGAACCAAGCCCGATTGATCTAAATCAATAGTTTTTGGCTCTACAGTAGTCTGTGGAGAGGATCGAAGCTCGGATTGAGCATCTGGTGTTGGTGTTGGTCGCTTGACTGTTCGAGGCTTTCTTTGTCGGGTTTCATAGTGGCACTCGTAGCCCCAGTCAGAGCAAGTGGTGCAAGGTTCACCACCATCGCATTTCCTTTTTCGCTCTCTGCAAGGCTTACAAGCTAATCGGGAGCGTTTCCGTTTCAGGGTCTGCATCAAGGCTGTGGCTGCGTTGATAATGAGAACAGGTATGGTGGGAACGAATGGGAAATGCGGGATTTGCGGGAGTAGCGGGGTTGAAACGGTTCAAGGACAAGGAAGCTGAATAATAGCGAGTCTCAAAGGATTTATTTTCTAAATGAAGTCATCTAATCAACATTTCTATCATCTAAAGTCTAGGCACCATTTTAATAATTTTTACCGAATTTTCCTGGGTTGTTTTGTTAAGATACAATCAAACATCCCAGACACAAGGGGTTCGGAGATGGACGTGAATGACTTCATCGACAAACCTCGGTTAATCCCCCTCACTCACCATGCGCATACAGGAAACTAATCACTTCCGATAACCACAGAGGCCCAGCCAATATGACCGCGAAATTATTATCACGCTATCCATGGGCATCAAGCCCGCTTATCATCAGCGCGCCGATGCGTGTCATGTCCGGCCCAGCACTGGCAGTCGCAGTCTCACGCGCCGGTGGCTTAGGCTTCATCGGCCCTGGCATTAAAACCACAGATATGGGGAATGACCTCGAAGAAGCATCGGCCCTCATCCAAAAATCCCGTGTCTCGTCGCCAATATTCAACTCTTTACCGTCCCAAAATTTACTATTGCCAGTTGGAGTCGGGTTTCAACTCTGGGGAGACAAGCTACCTGATGCCGTCGCTGCGGTTGAGAAATTCAAGCCTTGTGCAGCTTGGTTGTATGCCCCTAGTGATGGTTCGAAGGATTATGATGACTGGTCGAGTCAAATTCGCCAAGTATCTCCCCAAACCCAGATCTGGATTCAGATCGGTACACTTGGAGAGGCGAAGCAACTTCTGCATATATCCCAGAAACCGGATGTCATTGTTGTGCAGGGATCTGAGTCGGGTGGTCACGGTCGGGCGACGGATGGCATGGGTATCATGTCACTGTTTCCGGAGGTAGCAGACGCAGTTGCGAGCAGCCAGATTCCTCTGGTAGCGGCTGGAGGTATTGCTGATGGACGAGGAGCTGCAGCGGCCCTGTGTCTAGGTGCTTCGGGTGTGGCGATGGGCACTCGGTTCCTAGCTGCTGATGAAACGCGCATTAGCCGGGGTTACCAAAATGAGGTCGTGCGTGCGTCAGATGGAGCTGTGAACACAACACGGACACTGCTCTACAATCATCTGCGTGGTACATTTGGGTGGCCAGCTGAATACAGTCCAAGAACAATTATTAACAAATCTTTCGTTGAGCACCAGGCGGGTGCTTCCTTTGAGGAGCTCAAGGGTCTTCATGATGAGGCTATGAAATCTGGTGATGATGGATGGGGCCCAAATGGCAGGCTTGCAACTTATGCGGGTGCCTCTGTTGGATTGGTCCACAATGTGGCTAGCGCAGGGGATATCGTGCGAGAAGTTCAAGGAGATGCTGTCAAAAAAATTCAATCATTGGGTTTTTAACATGCCTAGGTTGAATGCCTCCACCTGAGGTCTTGAATCCACTCCATCCTACACAAGACTTGGCAGGATCGACAGGAGCAGCCCTGAAGTATTGCACCATCTACAGTAAACAAGACAATGATCATCCGTTACCAAGAATAATTATTCAGACTTAGTGGGGAATGCAATGAAGATCTAAAGTGGAGGCCGCTGGTATACGAAATGGATTACGACTTACATTTGCGTGAGTTCATTATACTATCCGGACCTTGACAATCAAAATCACCCGGTAGGGCTCTATTCTTTTCCAAGATTCTCGTCTTGTAATCCTACTTTCGACAGCCTGTGAAGTCTCTCTGTTACTTCGTGCCAAAACATAGGCTTCACAGGTCACACCTCGGTATGAGATCATCGAAGGTACATTATTCGATCTACCCTCGTAGCACAATCATTGAGTACCAAAGAACCTTCACTTTGGCGGCCTTTATTTGTATATATAAGAATAAAAGAATGTATCTCGGAATAAAACAGTAATGAAGAGTTTTATCTTGACAAAGCTCGCAAGAGAGAACTCATAAATTGGTGGTACAAGCGGTCATAATATCGGCTTTGGAAGTCCTGTCAGACTGCGGTGCTAGCCCTTATTCAGGTGGTTAGTTGGAAGGCTGGGGAGCAGCGCAAACCTTGTTGCCCTTCTGTTGAGTGAATCAATATTTAGCGCATGCATATTGAAGGCAAAAGGGGGAAATACTCACGGTCTGCTGGCAGGTCTGGTTCTGCTTGCAGTCGGCATCAGTCTGGCACTGGTCAACAGCCTAGTATGAGTTAGTCTCAATAGCTCTGTATCTCGTATCACAGATACTTACGTTGCGCTTCTGGTTGTCGTTCTGCTCGTTCTTGGGGGCAACGCAGACATTGTCCTGGCAGGCAAGACCCTTGACACAGTCACCCTTGACCTGGCAAGGACCTTGGGCCTGAGACTTGGAGTTCTACGTTATGAGATCATTAGCATCGTCTTTGCCGAGTGTGTTGACTGTTGACACTTACCTCACGCTTATTCTTGGGAGCAATGCAAGTGTCCTTCTCACAAACCAGGCCCTTGCGACAGTCACCAGTGCTCTGGCACTGTCCGTTCAGGGCAACGTCAACCTGGTTTCCCTTTGCAAAATATTAGACAAGTTAAATCTTTAGACTCTTCGTAGGCTACTCACGTTACGCTTGCCCTTGGTGGCGAGGCAGGTGTTGTGCTCACAAACCAGACCCTTCTGGCAGTCTCCCATCTTCTGGCATTCCTGGCCAAGCTGGGAGTTGGAAACATCGCGCTGCTGCTTAGGGGCAACGCAGGTGTCATCCTGGCCACAAACAAGGCCCTTCACGCAGTCACCAGAGACCTTGCAGTCCTGGCCGATCTCGGACAGAGTCTTTTATCTGTTAGCTATCTGTGAATCAAGATTTTAGTGAGTTACTCACGTCGCGCTTGCCGTTTGTGGCAACGCATATGTCCTTCTCGCACACAAGGCCCTTAACGCAGTCACTGGTGACCTTGCAGTCACCATTGAGGTGGACGAGAGGAGCATCACGCTTGCTCTGGGAAGAAACACATATGTCCTTGACGCACTGAAGGTTCTGAGTACAGTCGCCGTCGACGTGACAGGCCTCATTCAAGTTTGCCAAAGGAGTGTCACGGGCGACCTTGCTGGCAACACAGTTGCCAGTCTTGTCACACTGCTGGTTGGGCTTGCAGTCGGTGTCGGCCTTGCAGCTAGGAGGCTGCTGAGCGGGGGAAGCCATAGCGAGACCCGCAAGCATGGCAGAGATAAAAACAGAGGTCTTCATTTTGGCAGATTTGTAAATTGAATAATGCAATGAAAATAGAGATTGGAGATAATTAAGTTAGATGTGATAAATAATGAATGTGGTTGTTTGAATGATATCCAAAAAGGCAGAGTCGAATGGGTTCTTATAATCTTTCGGTCACAGTCATAGAGGTCTTTCAGAGTCTCGAATTGAGTCCATGATGTCTGATCTAGACTGCTATCCCGTGCCACGCGTTGTATACATGATGGTTCCATATGATGCTACACGCGTACAACCACCTGGGCAATGCTCAAGCGGTCAAAGCACGTCTTTGGTGTAGAGCCTTAGATCTAAGGGGCTATTGATCTACACTTCGGAAAGGCGCGGGAAGGCCATTAGCTTCCGGGGTGAAGTGGAATGCCAAGCCAATCCTCAGAGGCCCGCAATGACGAATCGCTGAACATTTCAGTCTTCTGATGCATGTGCGGATTACGATCAAATTTGACACACATATTATGTCTTCACAATTCGTTGCGCGCACAATACTAGCTTACATAAAGTGCCGGTCCGTTGAGAAATTTTGAAATGGATTATACACGCGTTCCAGAGCGAGACGTTGGTACTAGAGGACCATGGGATAAGCCCAGGTCTAGACCAAGTCGGCACTGCCGCACCAGAAACACAAAGGACTGTGAGCTAAGATCCTCAATAGCTATCATGCAGAACTTGCATCATAACGACAGTAGTTTACGTTGCCGCCTGTTCTCCTGAGCCCCCATTCGTTAGAGCTTATTTTAGAACGATAATCCGCTAAGGCCCGGCTTAGAGGCTCCACTGGTCGACGAATCCAATCTAATGCTTATTCAAACGTTGGGGCTGCAAGCCCACATCGTGGTCGTCAATGGAGGTACGTAATCTTTCCACTCAGCCTTACCCCGGATTGAGGTGGTGATCATCACAAACGTACGTGGCAGGTAATATCTTGTTTCCCAAATGACCCTCCATGTTGGCGAGTCCATAAATTAGAAGGGATATGATCGGTGAGGAACGAACTTGAACTGCTCAATTGTGAAGGCCTGAATGCATAAGTAAAGGCATTTTGTTGAGAGTTCTCATCAATTCCGTCCTGTTATGTGGGGCGGCGCGTGTATGCTCCACATTTCTAAAAAGAAGCCGGGGCTCCACTACGTTCGCAGGCCTTGACAACCCAACTATTGGACCATGCCGTGTCAATAAGGTCGGTGCTTGTTGACTAGATTGCGCCCCTTGAGTCAATTTTACTAGTTAGAACGCCACTTACTCGTTGTTTGGTTCTATCTAATCAGACTGCAGTAAAGGAGCATGATCCTCTGTATTGACAAGTCGTTGCGCTCATTAGTTATTTTGTAGGCTTCTTTATGGAAGCCATTCGATCATGAAATAAGACAATGGTCCTGGGAAGTTAAATAATAGCAATGATTTTGATTTTGGACCGCCAAGTCGATCTTAAGTGGATTCCCACCTGAGGTTCAGCGGGGTTAGAATATGCAATTCCGGTACTTTGAAACCGGTTCGTATTTTGACATTAGGGGTCAAGTTGAGAAGAATACTATTATATACATGGAGTGGATATTCTATAACCGTGAGAACGCCAAGAAGGAGAATAATGGATCACATGGAGCCAAAGATCTGCATCATCCACGCATCGTCAAGACCATTGATGGGTAACATGGCGAGATCAGGGGCCGGTGGAACGAATTCGTCACCATTGAGGTCACTAGAAGGCAAGCTCGGATACCAAACCTCCATCAGCTTTGGCTCCCAACCTTGTTTGACTGACTGGACTATCCTGATTCCCTTTTCAAGGACGCACCAGTCCGGATCACCGGGAGGCATAGCCGTTTCAATACATCTCTTCATACTGTAACATGTTCGGTCGAGGTAGTCGAGGACATTTGCAGTATTCCGAACCATGGTCTTGTCCCAACCGGGATCATCCAGGGTGGATAGTCTGAACAGGCTCACAATGACCCGTGAGAACTGGAAAAAGGATGTAAAGGGAATAGCCTGGTACAAGAATGGTGAGACGGAGAGCCAGACCTCAAGCCAGTTTTTAGTGGCATGGAGAGCGGCACAAAGGCTTTCAATTCGGTACAACTCGGGGGATTGTGGATCAACAGGGGCTTGGATGGCCCACTCGTGGATGACGAGCTCGGCGTGAAACACGGACGTCAAAATGGTTTCTATTCGGTCAGTGGCTATCAGAGCGACAGTCTGGCTCGGACTTACCATTTTGTTGCAAATGTGCGGGTATTTGTTTTCGTACCACATCAAGTTGTGCTTGAAATGATTTGATGTAGAAGCGTGATATCAATTGGTCATCACCGTCTCGTCGAGCTTGATAAACTTTGTCCACCACCAATTGGATCTTGACCAGATTTACCAGAACTTCATCTTCGGGGCATTCATTTGTTTCCAATAAGACGGTAAGACTTTCTTCCATGTGAGGACTCCATCTCAGAGCATCGATCCGGTTCAAGGCCAGTGCAACACTGGACAGAAAGTTAGATTCGCTGGTATAAAAGGTAGACCTGAAACTTCAAGCAGCTTACCTAGATGTAATGAGAAAACATCCTAGAACCGCTCTTCTTTCTTCCAAGGTTCTTGTGGTACTGGCTTGTGGTTGCCAGCCCACTGCACATTTGAAAGCCTGCAAAGTTGATAGGTCTTTTGGGATGGCTTTATTTATTCCTATGTCGCAGATGATCCCCATGACCATATGGGCATAAAAGTTGAGGAATGGCCTCTTCGAAAAGGTATTCCTGGATAGTAGCAATTAGCATTGATTAAACCATTTGATTTGTTCTGGATGCTTCTCATATGCCACTCACCACAATATAAACGTCATAATTCCTAAGAGGATGTCCATGCTTGGGGAGACCCCGACGATGACTTCTTGATGAATGAGCTCTGTCACTTTGTTGAACAACATGTTTCTTTTACTCTCGCCTGGGGTGTTGACAGCCATGATGCATAACCAGAGAAACGGCTTGTCATTGCGGAGTTGCTGAGAGGTAACATGAGGCGGGATGTAAAGAAAGGGGATCAACTTCAAGTTTTGTTTACGAAAATCGTTGATGGTCTTTTCGGCAACGTCAGGAGCAATGTGCAGTCCAGCGCAGACGTCCGTTATTGAGCTATTATTTGGCGAAGGTACCGTTTGTGGTGGAGATGGCATGTCGGGTCGGTGATAGTTAAACGGAGATGTTTGCTTTGACCCCGAGGTGCTTGAATCCCAGTCTCCGGGCAGACCGGGATTCGAATTGGTGGATTGCAGTAAGGAAACAATACTATCAAGTTTTGCCTCTAACTGAGCTGTTTTGGACGCCGACGAGCGACTACTTCGCTTTCGCACTGTCGGCGACGGTCGACAATCTTTCTTCAGTCGTTGACATCTACGGGCGGTGAGCCTTCAATCTCGCATTTTCAACCCTTGCAGTACTCACCTCTCACAACCTCTCCCGGACGTCAGCAGAATACATTTGCTTTTTGCTCGAGAGCAGTTGACGCATGCCCGGCCATAGGGTGCCGGGGTCCCACTTTGGCTTGGACTAGTGTCCATTCCAATATCCGATAGTGGAAATCCACGGTCAGGCCGCAATAGATCTGTTGAGAAAGGAAGCCACCGAAGTATACAGCAGTAGGGATTCAAGGAGCAATTCTAATCAGAATCCGAGAAGCCTGGAGGAATAGGAGTGATTAGTGCGGTCAGGGAGTGGTGCCTTGGTGAAAAGAACGGGGTTCGGACATGTGCCATTCTGAATTCCGCTCGCGGGGACAGCCCTCTGCTTACGTGCCCGCTGATGGGCCAATCATTCGACATCACTCACCTTATAACAGAAGCACAAATTTTAACAGAAGCAACAAATACCGAACACGCTCACTCGCGAAGTCCAGATTTTATGTTTCGCTTACCAATCTGAATATTGTAAATACTATAATGATCTAGATAACAGCATATTGCCGTGAAATTGCGAATGCTTACTAGGTACCTACTCTCCATATCTAGTCGGAGCTACCGGGATTCGGGATTCGGTTTTTAAGTAACACAAAACTACTGACGCCGTACAACCTTGGCGCCTACACCCACCCAGAATTGATTTTGCCATCTTGGAGGGATTTGCGGGCCATTGAAGATCTGTCCGTGGGTGGAGGCTTATAAAGTTGAGTCTGACGCGCCATGAGCTCTTCAATATAAAGCTGGTTTGGTTTCCTCTGCCAATCAACGGAGCTAGAAAACCAACAGAAACATGGAGACACAAGTACCCACTCCCCGAAACCCTGAAGACCCCACCTACCCGTCAAGCTTGGGATTCGAGAAAGAGGTCACTTCAGATTCGTCGCCACGCCATTCAACAAACGATTCTCCAAGGAAGAGTCTGGCGACCGTAGAAGATGTCAATGATGATGAAGGCAAATATCTCACTGGGATCAAGCTTAGCCTGGTGATCGCTTCTGTCACCTTGGTCACCTTTTTAGTACTCCTTGATATGTCAATCATTGTCACGGTGGGTGGTGGCTCCGTTTGATACGTTCAGACAAGGTTTTAACACATCTAAGGCTATCCCAACGATCACCACCCAATTTCACTCTCTTGGAGATGTGGGGTGGTATGGAAGCGCTTATCAGATTGCAAGGTATGTTTCTTCTTCCTAGCGTTGGCACTACTCTAACTACATTGTTCAGTGCTTGCCTGCAACCTCTCACGGGTAAACTATATACCAACTTCAACTCCAAGGTATTTACTAACATATATCTTCTTTTGATCAAGTGCTAAGAATTGTAGTGGACCTTTTTGGCCTTCTTTTTCGTGTTTGAGCTGGGCTCTCTGCTCTGCGGTATCGCAAATTCATCCAAGATGCTCATTGTCGCTCGAGCGGTGGCAGGCATGGGTTGTTCTGGCCTAATGAATGGTACCCTGACTATCATTTCGTCCTGTGTTCCGCTTCACAAGTCCCCGAGTATGTTCTTTACCTTTTCCGCTACAACGGTTTGCTAATCGGTCACAGAAATCATTGGCATGGTGATGGGCTGTCAGTACCCCATGTACTTAGATTCTTTGGCCATTTTGCTGACAATTCACACAGTCTGTCAAACGGGCCTTATTTGTGGGCCATTGATCGGAGGTGCCTTTACCGAGAAGGCGTCCTGGAGGTGGTGTACGTGACTTTGATAAATCTGTTCGCAAGCGGTGCAGCTAATTAATACATTCTCTCAGGTTTCTACATTAATCTCCCCATTGGAGCTGTCGTCGCAATAGCTTTGGCATTCATCAACATTCCTGAACAATTCCCCAAGCCATCAATTAAATCCGCTGCCAAAACCATTCTTCATAAGCTTGACCTCATCGGCTTCATCCTCTTTTCTCCCGCAGCGATTCAACTCCTCCTTGCACTGGAGTATGGTGCTGGCAGCTATCCGTGGGGAAGTGCGAGGGTCATTGGACTTTTCTGTGGATCGGGTGGCGCATTTATTGTCTTTCTCCTCTGGGAGCATCGTCAAGGAGACAAAGCAATGATCCCTCTGTCTATGGTTGCGCAGAGGACAGTCTGGACAAGCTGCGTCTTCATGATGGGGCTTTTCGGAACGGTCCTCGCCTTGTCTTACTATCTACCCATTTACTTTCAGTCAGTCAGAAATGATACGCCGATCATGAGTGGTGTCTCGCTGCTCCCTATGATGCTGTCACAAGTCGTATTCGCAGTGAGCTCGGGTATCTTAAGTACGTCACTACTCCTACCAGTCAATTTGGAATTTGGCATTGACCAGAAATAGTTGGAAGACTAGGATACTATCTTCCCTGGGCCGTATTTTGTGGTGCACTTACTGCCATCAGTGGAGGACTTCTTGCAACATTGAGTCCCCACACATCAGTCGGAAAATGGGTTGGATATGAGATTATTGCTGGCGCGGGTCGAGGAACTGGATTTCAAATGGTGAGAGTCCCCGAACACAAGGTATGGACTATGTTGCTAACTTAATTCCCTGCAGCCCATCATTGCCATCCAGAATGCCCTTCATCCAACTCAATTATCAGTCGGTATGGCTGTTCTTATGTTCACTCAAACACTTTCTGGTGCCGTCTTTCTCACACTAGCGAATGTGATTTTCGATGCTGGTCTCAAGTCACTACTCCCCAAAGACGCGCCCAATGCCGATGCAGCGGCTATTATTGCTGCCGGAGCTACTGGTTTTAGATCTGCTGTGTCGAGTGAAGATCTTCCTGGTGTCTTGACAGCCTACGCAAAGAGTATAGATTATGTTTTCTACGCGACTGCTGGCCTGGGAGTGGTCATGTTCCTTATTGCATTCGGCATGGGCTGGAAAGATGTCCGAAAAAAGAAGACATCTCCTGAAAGTGCATGATCTAGACTGGTTGGGCTTTGCATGTATATCTCGCATCACGGTGATATTGGACCCGGAACTAATCGATAGAATACATTTTTATCTCAAGCTATGATTACATTTACAATCATTCTCTGAACATCTTCATGAACAATGCGTCATCGGTACAGGAGTCTCGCTGAGAGCCTGGTTAGGGAAGATTAACCACTCCCCCCAGTCAGGTCCCAGATACTCGGCGATTGATTGTATCAAGTAGTGGCCACCATCCCCAAGCAACCAGTTATCCCGGTGCAAATGCAAGATAACTGCATAGTGTGCCAGAATTACCAGAGCATCTGGGGATCGACGCTCTAGAAGATCAATATATTCGAAAGTTACACTTGCTGGCCAAGAGAAAACTCCGGTACTGCAGATATTTGGCTTGCCAATAGAGGATGCTGAGTTGAACGCCAATTGCAAGCCCTCAATGGTTGATTGGTAGGTTCGAGTAATCGACGGGCCTAGCTTGGATTTTTCAACAAGTTCTAGCAGCCGGCTGCACTCCGGACCTAACCCTGCATTTGATTGCAATTGTAATTCTCCGTCTCGCAAGATCGGCCCCAGAGCGGTATCTGTCAGAATGTGCCATTTATCGCGGATCACCGAGCGAACACCACACTGTATTCGTAGATAGTGTGTGAAAGTATCGAGGAAGATAGTAAAGTCGGGATCTCGAAAATTTAATGTATCGCACAGCATATGCACGCCAAGAATTGAGGAAAAAAGGAATTGAGACATATATCCTTCTGGGTTCTCGAGGTTATTTGAGTTATGGAAGGAGGTCAATGCATGATTTTGTAATTGAGTCGCATGGTGACGGTAAAGGCTCCGGTCTGATGAGCGCGATATGCTAATGTGAGTGGCGGCTAGAGCAAGTAACTCATTCATCAGGTAGGGATTCACTGAGCTGCACCTCAGTACTTGGGTTTTACCCATACCCCCTTCATCTGCCTGTATGTAGGGCAAGGTCTCTGTGACCAAATGGCAAAATAGCTCTGCATGAAGGATGTTGACGGGTGGTCCTTGGAGAAAGGCAGCATTGTCATCCTCCGGTGAATGATTAAATGGGGAATCCCGAATATTAGAAGATGCCGGGGTTGATGACAGGCTTTGTCTCTGAGAAGGAATTGGCAATACCCTCTTTGTCTCCCGTTGCAGGTATTCACATAGTCGTTCTGATGTTGTGCATTGTGAACAGATGGGATGTCTTTCATCACACTTTACCATAAGTTAACTATAGATGCATTAAAGGGATTTTTACAGGTATAGTCCCACCTTAATATGCCTGCGCTTGCATTCCAAGCATCCGCCCCTTGACTTCTTATGTTTTCTGCGTGGCATCCCGCTTCCGGCTGTGGTAAGATAAGACAATCCAATATCAAATGCTGTGGCGAACAAAGATCATTGGGTGATGCGAAAAGTATTGATCTTATTGAAATGGCTCCATTTATTTTGCAGAGATATTGAGAGAAAAATTAGTACCGCAGAGTGGTAGCTTGTCCGTTTGCAAGGTAACCATATTCCCTCCGGAGAGTCTTTATTCCGGTCCGGTCTTAGAGTAGACCCATAGATCCACTCTTTGATTACATCTCCTTCCTTTTCTATTTCATTCAAATTGAAACGAATGTCAATTTGAATATATGGAATTATATCTGATCCTTCCTTGCATCCCAGGCCCACTGAAGTATCTGTATAAACTCGGGCCTTCCCATAACTTGTTTCCTAGTCCAATTCCACGCTCACATCGGATTGTGAGAGCTCGCAAGGGTACCATATCAGCCAAGACACCATGATCAACCACATCAACAGAGAATCCAATATGTACAGAGTCCACTCGTGGGTAAGAGGATATCCATCAGTACCTAATCCATACTCCACAACTCGGAAAATCGAGCGTATCATAATCATAATAAGCAAGCTGACCGCATACAGCAAGTAGAGATGTCTCTTCCATGAGATCAATCCACCTCTTGGCCTAAGAGTTGAGTCACGCTGGGTACGGACTTGGAACACTAGCGCGGTGACCATAAACAATCCAAACATAATCACTTGGATTAAGAGTCCAGCCATCACCATATCCTGACCAATTCCAGAATTTGACGCGGTCACCATCAAACCCGCTGCTCCTCCTTGAACCAAAAAGGACACAACGTCTCCTGCGACGAAAATCTTTGTAGCCCAGCGAATGGGGATTAACGAATTGTGCTTGTCTCCGGTGGCGGAGATAATTCGACCGAGTGTCATGTACACCGATGCCGCGAATAAAACGGTCCAAGAAGAATGAAGACGTTTTGGATGGCATAAGGCATAATGCTATCTGTGTTGTTATGGGCAAATGCTCGAGCGAAATAACCTATTATCTCGACTGCAAGCTCATGTTAGATTGACGACCGGGGTAGAGTAGAGAGAATAAAGAAACAACGTACATAGACCACCAATGGCAAATGGAATGCAGAATCGGGTTCGGGTCTTCCATACTTTGAAGAAATGCATCACCGTTGTGCAAAGAAAGAGAACAATGAATATTATAGCAGCTGCGAGTGGTGGCACATATTTCCTCATCTTTTTTATACGCGTATAGAAATGACATCAGTGGATCCCCGTTGGTCAGTGCACTCGCAAGGCTCAGGTATTTATACGCGTATAGACTCGAGGGCTACGGGACATGTAAAAACTGGCGACCTTTTATTTTTAAAATATTAGTTTTCGAGAATCTCCCTCCAATCCTTTGACGCGTTTGCCGCTTCACCTATCTGATGCCAGTTCTGCATAGAGCTCATGCCTAGTACTCGGCATACTGATCAAATCTCGGGAAGCGGAATTTCCCCCAATAGCCTCCGAATCCAGCTCACGCGGTTGCTTGTTGATATATCCGGTAGAAGTAGGGTTGAAATCCATGGCTTTTGAGTTCTTTTTTCGTTGCTTCTGTATGTATAACAATAACAAGCCTGCCGCTAGAGCCGCCCCGACTCCAATCCCTATGCCAATTCCTACTTTTGCTCCTGATGATAACCCCGAAGACAGATTGCTAGAGTTGGCAGAGTTATCTGAAGAATTTGAAGCTGCAGTGTTTGTTATTTGATTGGCACTGTTTGTCTGAGTAGCGGATAAGGATGCGGTTATGGCCGATGTGGAGGAAGTTCCTAGGCTGGATGAGCTCGATGTTGATGTGCTTTTATAAAGGTTCGCAGCAATAGAAATCGCAGCAGAGGTGCCGCAACACGTAGTGTTGAGAAGGCCACAACACCAGTATTCAGAAGTTTCCGTACCATCGCAAGGGGTTATCTGCGCGGTACCATCGGAAGCGCCATCCTAACAGAAAATATAAGTTGTTAGCTTAATGCGCCATACATGAGGCTGACATAATAATTTTGGAATGCGAAGGAAGATATCCTGCTGTGGCATACCATCCCATTAGAGCAAACATCCAAGCACCTCCCACTGCTCCAGTCGCTAACCGTACACTGATCCCGCCAATAATCTGTTGAAACTGACCCATCATCAGTTGTATGTGTATTCATACAAAGACCATTCTCGAGGCACATATCGGCGGTCAGCCCAGCGCTAAGGTGACCCCCAGACGGATTCGTGCGATTCGTGGCACAGCACATGCCCGTCCCACCGTTCGATCCAGGACATGGCTGATACACAAGCGACTGCTCGCTATGGCCATCTGGGTAGTAACAGACGAAAGAGTTCACTGCTGTGAGCAAATAAAATATGAGGATACCGCCATAGCGAATCATTGCATTTGCAATAGAGGTGTCGAAGAGATTAACCCAGTGAGCGAAAGGAAAGGAGTGACCTGAATTTAAGAGAGAGTATTGCGAACCATTCGGTCTTCTCCTTTTACGCCATTACTTTGGGGGCCTTAAATTGTAAATCGTCATCCTGGCTAATGCCGTGTAACCCGAGGCTCTGAAACCGGACCAATAGAGTGCATCCCTTCTACTATGCATTCTAGAAGTATTTGCCTTTTTCTAAGCCACATGGCTTTTCTTTTTTTTACCTTAGGAAAACTCTCAATACCTCTCACGAAAGCCGTCCATCTAGGTTTTGTAAATACTTAAATACCCTCGATAGTCGCAACCTTTTGGCGGGCCCCTAGCTATTCTCCAGAATCTTAATCATCTTTTGTACGCTCGAGGATCGGTTAAAGCCCCACAAGAGACCCAAGTTTGTAATATCAAGCTGAGATCTAGATAAGATCGGAAGCTAATCGAAGGATCATTTAGGGCGAAGAAGGGTTCATTTCGACCATGAAGTATCTTACTGCTTAGATGGAGCTTATGGAAACAACTCAATTAACAGCTTTCAGAGAACGATTTACGGGCGCTTAAAACTCTGCTAAATCTTGTACCACCAGGTTTGTAAAAGGGTCAGCTACGCCACTTTGTCTCACTGATGGCCTTACAATCCATAGCTGGGTTTCTGTAAGATGTACCACTTACTGGCGAGCGCATAGATTAGGTACATTTGACCTTATTCAGTTTCTAGTACATCAGAACCCTATCGTGGAGATACACATTCACAAAAATAAGCAATACACCACTCAAGAACTGGTCTCCCTTTTCACGGTATAAAGTACAATATGGCTTTTCCACTACGAAGTACTAATCACCGACAGAATGGCCAGCTCAGAATAAACTGGTAAACTCGATCAAAGACTCACGTATATATTTTAACAATAGCAAGTATCATAATTGTGCCTCTTGTGAAGGCTCTAGTGAAAAGTACATTTCATCACGACGTCAAACCCAACCGCCAAAGCATCCCACTTATAAGCATCAACAAACATTAAATCAAAGGTAACTCCGCGGTGTTCACATAGTCAATATTTTCCTCATATCCCTCTATCCGAGGAATATCTGTATTGAACAATCGATCCCATACCCGGGTCTGCTTGCCATAATTATGGCTATTCTTCCAGCCCTTGCGGTGATGAAGATCATGGTCCTCAATCACAAGGTCCATATCGCATA